ATAAGAACTTAAATAAAAATCTCAACTGTAAATTCATTACATGGTATATTTTGTCCATGCATTTCAGGGACACCCTGTATAACTTTTTAAATATTAAATATATTGTAAAAAACAAATTTGTAGAGAACAAAATTGTTATATAACTTTTCGACCAATTTTTGATTTTCACTGAATTTTTATTTCTGAATATTCTATGACAAAAAACGATACGCTTTTTAATATTTCACACTATTATTGTATACACAGTATTTCGAACGACTTTGTTCATAATACAAGCATCACAGTTTAAACAATCATTATTATCGTTACAAGTTAAAATCTATAGATAAGAACGTGCTAGTAATTTTATTTCAACTGCCTAAAGTGGTTAAGACTTAAAATTAATCAACAGTTTGCATTGTTTTTGAAGCTGTCAAGCTTATAGACTGGGTGTCCGATTTAGGACGCCCTTTATAACAACGAAAAAAATGTACTCACACCAAAAAGCGGTTTTAAAAAATGTATAATCAATAAATTATTATTATTTATAAATTGTGCAAAAATTTAAAACAAATTACACGATTTAAACAAAAAATAAGAAGGCGTTTTTTTAATTTTACAATAATTATTATCAACAAGATAAAAATAAATCGATTTAAACAAAAATATATAAATAAAAAGGGCTTTTAAAAGTAATTAATATACGTACAGATAGAACTAATACGTTCTAATATTTAAATAAACCTTGTAAAATTACACTGGCCAACCTATAAAAGTTTTTTTTCGAGCGTTTTTTATTATTAATTAAACTCCATAATATTGTTTAAAATATCGAAAAAAAATTCCCTTAATTTTGTTTCTAAGTAATTCCTTTTTCATTTTGAATTTTTTCCTTTTAAAAAATATGTATTATCAATCACTTTTTTTTTCTATATCTTTGCCGTGTTTTAAGCTATCACATTGTGGTTCATAGTGACTTACAGAGTATTTAAAGTGAAAACTGAAAGTATTTTTTTTTACTTTTTTCACATATTTTTGAAAATATTAAGAGAATGGCTTGTCTTACTAACAAATTTTAAAGGAAAAAGTTGTAGAAAATTTAATTTTCTACAAAAAAAGTTTTTATGTTTATATCGCTAACGTGCACAGTTTACAAGATATTTAACAGTCGTGAAATCGAATTAATCTCAAGAAAACACAAATTTTTAATTATTAAACTGCTCATACCTTGTAAAATGTGCAGCTTTAACAAACATATATTGTTTTTTTGAAATTGCAAATTGTACTTTTGAAATTATGAAATCGTTTGTTTTATGTGAAATTTGACCTTTTGGCTTTTTTTTTGACTTTCTAAAATGTGATTTTGACATTCTACATTGTGTTCTTAGCAATCTAAAAATATGATTTTAACCTTTTAAAATGAGTTTTTGACATTTTGAATTAAGTTTTTAACATTCTTAAGCTTTGCCAAAAATGTTTCAGAGATTATAAATTGTTTTTTAACATTCTAAATTGTGCTTTTGACATTCTAAAATTGTTTGTCAAAAACATTCTTAGTTAAATTTAACCGTTTGGTTTTGACTTTCCAAAATTTGATTTCGTCATTTTTAACATTCTACATTGTGTTCTTAACAATCTATAAATATAATTTTAACCTTTTAAAATGAGTTTTAGACATTTTGAATTGTTTTTAACATTATTTGTCAAAAAAATGTTTGGGAGTCTATAAATTGTTTTTTTGACATTCTTAGTTGTGCTTTTGACATTCTAAAATTCTTTGTCCAAAAAGTTGTTAGTTTTGGTTTTGACTTTCTAAAATGTGATTTCGACACTGTTAAAATTATAAATTGTGTTTTTAACAATCTAAAAATATTAATTTAACCTTTAAAATGAGTTTTTGACATTTTGAATTGGGTTTTAACATTCTTAAGGTTTGTCAAAATATTTATATTTTATAAATTGTTTTTTTGACATTCTGAAATGTGCTTATTACATTCTGAATTTTTTTGAAAAAACATTCTTTAATTATTTAATTTGACCTTTTGTTTTTTACGTTTTGACTTTGATTTTGACGTTTTGAACATTTTAAATTATATTCGTAACAATTTAAAAATACGATTGAAACCTTGTGTTTTAAGCTATCATATTGTGGTTCATTGTGACTTACAGAGTATTTAACGCTTTTTAATTTTTTTTCCCAACTTGATTGATGTCGAAAAAAAAACGGAAAAATTGGGGGAAAAACTGTTTTTTTCGGTTTTTTCCCAGGCTTTGGAAAAATTGTCTATTTTGGCAATCCGGCAATGAAATTTGAATAAATGGGAAACATTTAAAATGAAAAAGGAAGTACTTAAAATCAAAATTAAGGGCTAACTTTTTTTTTGATGTTTTGAACAATATTTTGCAGTTTCGGTGAAAAACATTTTGTCGACCAGTAAAATTCAGCAATTCAGTAAAGAACACAGTACCTTTTTTATTACAAAACTGTGTTTGTGTTTTTTTCAATTATTGTTTTGTTATAAATCATTTTGGTAATACAATCTCGAGACAGCCACAATCCACACAACAAGCTCTGTTCTATCTCATGCTAAAAATAATAAAAATCACTGCAACACTGCACAGAGTTTAACGGCGGCCATTTTTGTTGTTTACAATTTTTGTGCTTTGGGTTTGTGCTCTGTTTAATAATTGTTTTAAACGTTGTGTTTCTTACAGAGGCACTTGTAAGCCTCAAATAAGGCCTTTAAGTGCTAAACAACTATTTTATTCCTCTTTTATAATAAATATACCTTATTCTCTCAGGGCTGTCAAATGACAATTTGAAGGTTAATTTGTGGGTTATAATTTAACCTTAAAATTGACATTTGACAGTTTTATGACAGCCCTGATAGAATAAAGTTTATTTTTTACAATAGAGGAGTAAAATGGTTGTTCTTGGCACTTTAAGGCCTCTTTTAAGGCTTACTATGAGAAACGCAACGTTTAAAACGATTATTAATCTGTATAAACAGAGCACGAACCCAAAGCACAAAAATTGTAAACAACAAAAATGGCCGCCGTTAAACTCTGTGCAGTAGGGTGATTCATTTCCGCAAAGTTTTTGTTTTCTTCGGTGCTCAAGCAAAATATTAATCTGCATATAGAAAAAAAAAATTCTCAACAAGTTTGAGCTCTTAATATAAATTTTAAGTACTTACTATTTAAATTTAAAGTTTTACCGTTTAAAATGCATGTAAAAAATATATATATTTTTTTCAAATTTCTAATGCTTACCCACCTTTGACAATATTGCAAATCGGTTTAATACACCTTATGGGGAATTTCACGCTCTTTAAAATTGCTTTTGAGTTTTTTTTTGTAACTCGCATTGGTTCACCAGTAGGAGTAGTCAAAGGACAGTTTTTGAAAAAAATCGGTTTTTTTTTAAATTTTTTCTAACAAACCGCAAAAAGTAGGGAGAAAAAAGGGCTGAATCATAAAAAAAAGTTATCCAACCAATATATAATGAATTTACTGCCATTTTTATAACTGAAAACGTAAGAAATTGATAAATACCAACCCATAATGTTATTTAGATTGATTTTTTCTATTTATTATCATTATATTTCCCTACACTAAGAAGTTTTTTAAAATTATTGATTTCTCACTTATAATGAATATGAAAACAACAGATAAATTAATAAAAAAACAATAAGAAAATTGTAACGTGGATTTTGCAATTTTTCAACATTTCTGTCATATAGCAAAAAAATATTTAAAAAGATTATTTAATTTTTTGAAGCGAAATTTGAAATATGTTACATAACCTTCTGTATATTCCTATTAAAGTTTTGTTGTTTTTTTTTATGAATTTATGTGTTGTTTTCATATTCATTATGAGTGAGAAATCATAATAATTTTAAAAAAGTTCTTAGTGCAGGGAAATATAATGATAATAAATAGAAAAAATCAATCTAAATAACATTATGGGTTGGTATTTATCAATTTCTTACGTTTTCAGTTATAAAAATGGCAGTAAATTCATTAAATATTGGTTGGATAACTTTTTTTTTTATGAATCAGCCCATTTTTCTCACTACTTTTGGCGATTTGCTCGAAAAAATAAAAAAAAACGATTTTTTTCAAAAACTGTCCTTTGACGACTCCTACTGGTGAACCAATGCGAGTCACAAAAAAAAAACTCAAAAGCAATTTTAAAGAGCGTGAAATTCCCCATAAGGTGTATTAAACCGATTTGCAATATTGTCAAAGGTGGGTAAGCATTGGAAATTTGAAAAAATATATATATTTGTTACATGCATTTTAAACGGTAAAACTTTAAATTTAAATAGTAAGTGCTTAAAATTAATATTAAGAGCTCAAACTTGGTGAGACTGTTTTTTCCTATATGCAGATCAGTGGCGGCTGGTGGATTTTAAGTATACCAATATCTCAGTTATTAGACATGGGACCCACACCAAATTTATAATAGTTTATATTGACATTAAATAAACAAGTTCGACGCAAACATAATTTAAATTGAAGTTTGCGAAAAAAAGTTAGTTTTTCCTGTCGCCTACCCTGCCTCCAGGCCCCCCTATTTGAGATAATTCAAATTAAAGTGGTGCAATTTATTATCTACTATAATTTATCGACAAATTTAAAATTTTATTCAAAAAATCCAAATATTACAGATTTTATTCGATTTTAAATTTTTATTATTTATTTTATTAAAATAAAAAAATATTTAAAATGGTATAAAAACTGTAATATTTGGATTTTTTAAATAAAATTTTAAATTTGTCGATAAATTATAGTAGATAATAAATTGCACCACTTTAATTTGAATTATCTCAAATAGGGGGGCCTGGAGGCAGGGTAGGCGACAGGAAAAACTAACTTTTTTTCGCAAACTTCAATTTAAATTCTGTTTGCGCCGAACTTGTTTATTTAATGTCAATATAAACTATTATAAATTTGGTGTGGGTCCCATGTCTAATAACTGAGATATTGGTATACTTAAAATCCACTAGCCGCCACTGATGCAGATTAATATTTTGCTTGAGCACCGAAAAAAAACAAAAACTTTGCGGAAATGAATCACCCTACTGTGCAGTGTTGCAGTGATTCTTTGTATTTTTAGTGCGAGATAGAACAGACCTTGTTGCGTGGATTGTGGAGACGGCAACTTATTTTTACCTTGCCCGGGCCGAAACGAAAAAATCTCAACAGTGGCCCAGGAAGCCGCGCAGCAGGGTCTAGGGATGCGAATCGCGTCACCTGCGCCCCTCCAACGTGTGCACGTTGATGCTGCTATCGGAGGTGCCGGTGGCCAGCGCCATCTTGTGCGGATGGTAGTTGAGGCAGGTGACGGGACCGGCGCGCAGGCTCATGAAGCCCTCGTAGAAGCGGATGCTGTTCACCAGCGTGCCGTTCAGCGTGTAGATGTTGACGCACTGGTTCGAGGAGCCGCTACAAGAAACGCGGCGAATGAGCACAACCACGACAGTTAAGACAGTTAAGAAGCAACTGCCCTGTACGCAATAAACCTACTGTATACTAGACTGAGCCGAAAAAATAAGTTTAAGACACTCTGTAGAGTGGCAAAACCGTATATTGTTCTAAATTAAGTTTTATTTATCAAGTCACATCTATTCTTAACAGTTTTGTTTTTGGTTCACCTCGATATATTTATTTTGTGGAAAATATGGATTTTTTAAAAAAACAGTGCAATTTTCAATATTTTTCTGTATGAAGAACTAAGGTTGCTATGGTCCATCCATAGGCTATGGAGGATGACAGTGACAGTTTTGTTGAATCATCCCATACTTGGACATGTCATTCACGGCTTTCAAAAGCTATCAAATTGTCTTTTGCAAATTAATGTTTAAATTTTGAGGTGTCTTCTTACTTTAAAAAATGGATATGTCTCCGACTGATGTTGCCAGAGCCATTAATTTAATCCAGGATGGACGGTCACAGCATTACGAGGCAAGTGTTTTAAACGTCACAAGAAGTAAAGTAAAAAGGGTCACTGTCATTCTCCATAGCATATGGATGGACCATAGCAACCTTAGTTCTTCATACAGAAAAATATTGGAAATTGCAATGTTTTTTTAAAAAATCCATATTTTCCACAAAAATAAATATATCTAGGTGAACCAAAAACAAAACTGTTAAGAATATATGTGACTTGATAATTGAAACTTAATTTAGAACAATATACGGTTTTGCCACTCTACAGAGTGTCTTAAACTTATGGTAAAAAACATATTTTTGTTTAAACCTGTATATTATAAACGTACGTGTATTTTTTAGTAATTTTTAAAATGTGAGCGATTCTCCATTAATGTATCTACAATATTCTTTAATATTTGTTTAAATCCTAAATCAAATAAAAAAGTTATTTGTTATTAAAATTTACCGAAAATTTGTGTGGATCGATTATTTTGCCTGTGAGTGTATATCGAAAATATTGTTTGGGGTGACAAAAAAAATTAAATTGAGAGGTCTATCATCGCAATTTTTTTTCCCTGAACGAGTTTTTGTCCCAGAACTTCCAAACCATTGAGTTTAACAAAATTGACTTAAGAATATTTTTTTAAGAAAATTGAATGCTCTACAAAAAAGGTTTGGTTGGAATGTCCCGTCAGATGAACCGTTTTCTTACAATCATGACTTCAAAATTGGTATAGTTTTACAATTTGATATTTTAACTTTGGAATTTTGTAATTCATGTAAAAATCAGTACCCGGAAAAAACCGATAGATATTCTTGTGGGAAATCAAATGCCCTACAAAAAAGTCTTCTAATATTTTTGGCTAAATTCACTCCTTCAAAAGTTATTCAAGGTTAAATTTGAAGTAAAACGAAATTCTTGTTTTTCCGCTCTAGATTTTTTTTGGGTCAGTTAAAAACTTGGATTCTTTTATCGATGATAATCTTTATGTTATTGATAAAATTACTGAAAATTAAAAAAAAATTACAAAGAATTTTTTCGCTATTTTCTTTGGAAAATATTATTTTCACTGTTACCTATTTAATCGTTTAAATAATAACAATCATGTTGTTTTTTATTGGAAATTGTTAATTATTTATATAATACACATTTATAAAGAAAAAAATCAAATTATCATCCATAAAAAAATAAATCTACAGAGGAAAAAACAAGAATTCCGTTTTGACTTCAACTTTAACCTTGAATAACTTTTGATTGAGTGAATTTAGCCAAAAATGTTAGGAGGCTTTTTTTGTAAAGATTTTGATTTCCCATAAGAATATTTATCGGTTTTTTATGGGTACTAATTTTTACATAAATTACAAAATTTCAAAGTTAAAAGATCAAAATGTAAAACTATACCAATTTTAAGGCATGATTTTAAGGAAACGGTTCATCTGACGGAAAATTTCATTTAACCTTCTTTGTAGAGCATTTAATTTTCTTAAAAAATATTTCTGAGTCAATTTTGTTAAACTCAATGGTTTGGGAGTTCTGAGACAAAAACTTGCTGAGGAAAAAAAAGCTAAAATTGCGATGGTAGACCTCTTAATATTAATATTATGGGCTCAAACTTTCACAATATTTTTTTTTTGTCACCTCAAACCATATTTTCGATATTCTTTTAAAATTTTTTTTGGCCCAGTCTACTGTATACTGTGCAGGGCGATTGAATGCATTTCGGTCAGTTGTTCCTGTACAATGAATGGCAAAACTATGAGAAAAATTCGGCTTTTTTTTCTCAAAAAAATCCTTAAATAGGCCGATTTTGTTTTTTTAATTTCGCACATTTTGACGTACAATTTTCATATTTTCTGCCATTTTGTAGAATCTCTGACGTATTAGGCCATTTTTTTAAACTGTACCCCTCATTTTTTTGGAGATTTCAATACATTATCAAACTTTGATGTTGCACATTGGGCTGATAATTTCGAAAATTATTTATTTAAGTGGAAAATTTATAGTTTTGATGTTTTATAATTTTAATTTAAAATAATTTTTTTTATATATATTCCTTTATTATTTTATTTAACAAAATAAGCAGTTTTTCTATGCATATGAATTTATTCAAATAGTGTTAAGATATTATTGTGCTTTAGTTTTAGATCTTTTAAGTGCTTTTTTAGATTATAGAAACTTGTTTTAAAACTGATTTAAATAATTCATTCCAACATTTAATTGGTTAATGTATCCATTAATAGTACATTCTGTAACAAGTTTGGAATACGGCATATTCCGCTCGAGTGAAAAGTTTGTCACACGAGCCAAAGGCGAGTTTGACGGTTTCACGAGAGGGAAATATGCAAATCCAAACGTGTTTCAGACTATACTTTTTCTACGTTTCCAAAAAATACCATAGACCAATAATTTAATTGGAAGAAAGTGAGGTTGGATCGGTCTAAAATTTGTTAGATATTAAAAACAGAGATGTCGCCACGAGTGTATATTCTGTCATCAGATGATAGAATATTTCATTCTGTAACACTTTACGGAAAAATGTCATTCCATATATAAAAGTGATATTAGAACGGTCATATTCCATAATAGGAGTAGAAAAAAGCATTTTCAAAATAATTTTCATGAAGACGCCGATGACGTCATAGCTTCTACAAAAATGGCGGCAAATATGAAAATTTTACATCAAAATTTGCGGAATTAAAAAGTAAAATGTGTTCAAGGAATTTTTTTGGGAAAAAAGTCACATTTTTTAATGAACTTGTTCCATACTTTTGCCGGTCATTGTATATATATATATAGTGTTTATATTTTATTACCAATCCCGAATGATTGTTACATACTATACTAATATGCGATAACGACTATTCACGTCTGTTCTAATCATGCTTCGTTCAAATTTTCGACGATCCACCAAGAAAATCAAATTTGACATATTCTTGCAGTTAAAATTGTTAGCTCTCAAGTAAAATTCTTTACCGCATGCAAAATTTTGTACACCAAACTATAAAACCTTAAAGAAAAAAACAAAGGACGACAAAAATATTTATTCACTTACCATGCATAAGTGCTGGCGGATCTGTGTATCGACATGCACGACATCTCGCCGCTCGGCAGTAAGTTCGTGTGAATTGCTTCGTTTTTCCTCACGTCGAATACTTTGACTTGTCCGGTTTTACTACAATTAAAAAACAAGATTTTTGTTACTTCCTGGGATGGTAAGCGTAACGCGTAAAGCTTAATTTTCATGTATACGTTTGTCCGTCAGTCCGTTCATCCGGGAGCGCTCTTGCCTATGTTCCGTAATTTACTGTCAGTACTGTCGGTACTGAAAACGCATTCCGAAATCCACTTTCAGTTACTGAGCTCAGTGGTAAATACTACCCTTTTATAAATGTACGGCAGATTAATTTTACTGAAACAACTGGGGACAGAGAGGTGCTGTGGCTCCAGTAAAACACATAACCAAACTTTTAAACAAAAAATAGCTGTCAAATAAAGTGAGGGATATAAATTATTTCATATAATGGTATTTGGTGAATACCTATAGGACTAATTATTTCAATATTTAATGATAAAATATTACTTGAAAGTACAAGCAGCAGTGACGAAGGCAGGTCGGCGGGGAGTACGCATACGAAGACCCAGAATATGAAACTACCTACTATAGTACTACCCACAATCCATGTTGTGTGGATTGTGGTACTACCTATAGGTAGTACCTATAGGTAGTACGGTACTACTAGTACCTAGAAAATGTTATATATTTGTATTCAGCGGACGAATTTAAGAGTAATGTTTGGTATTTGGCTTATTATTGTGGTGTCAGTGAAATTTTATATTTCCTATTCCTATATACATTTTTCGACGCGGACGACGATAACATTAAATTTTCCATATTTCTCTGCCATAAACCAAACATTATATTTCTTATAACTGTTATATTTATTTTTTATTTATGTTCTCTGCTGTGCCGAAAGTAAAGTTTGTCAATTGTCAGTAGTAAATCACAAATCATAACCTTGCGTAACCATTGTCACTTTCTGCTGCTACTGAGGCGCGTTCCAATTTGACTGTGCGTCAGTACTGAATAAATTACGGAACGGTCCTTTTCCGCTACTGACAGTAAAATTACTGACAGTAATGGCAGTAAATTACGGAACACAGCCCTTATTGGTCCAATTATAATTCGAAAATTATGACATTTTCTCGGTCCGTTAAGTTTCAACTTCGTACGTCTGACAGAGAAAGGTTAAATAATTTTCACTCATACGACACTACACATCGGCCATTCCAAGCCCATGGACAGGACACATCAGAAACATGTCTAAATATATTCTTATTACTTCCTTAAGTTTACTTATTTTTTCTACCAGTATTTATGAGAAGTATTAGCCAAATTTGGGTAATACTTCTCATAAATACTCGTAGAAAAAATAAGTAAACTTAAGGAAGTAACAAGAATATATTTAGACATGTTTCTGATGTGTCCTGTCCATGGGCTTGGAATGGCCGACATCTGTTTTTGACGCCTAACCTTATTTTAAGATAATTTATTTTCAAATATTTTTATATTTTTTCAATTAGATTGTAAAACGGAAATATTACGTTCGTTATGTGAATAATGTTTTACTGTTAAGTTTTTATTTAATTCGAATAACGAAAAAAAAGAGGACAAACAAAAATAAATTAAAACTAGAACCAAAAGGACATGCTTTTTTAAAACTATATATTTTAATGTACAGGGTGTTATGTAATTAATGTTATATATTAAAATATTGAATACCTTTTGACATAAGGAGTAAAGGAAAATATTTAAAAAAATATTTTTCCAAAGATAAAGAAAAAATAGGCATTAGAAGTTTTTTATATTTTTTGTGATACGCCACTGGTTACACACTTTTTATCTCTACACACTTGTGTTCTGTGAGTACATAGATACCAACCAACAAAGTAGCTGCGCGTTGCCATATGTAAAAAATTGTTACTAAAAATTTTTCTTGCAAAAAATAAATAAAAACTCAATAAATACAAGTTTTATGCCCTTAAAGCTCTAATACCCTTCTGAATTTATTTACTCATCCAACTATTAGCTTAAGCAATGATTAGAAAATTAATTTAGTACCTAACCACAAAATTGATTTTTCCTCGGTTTTTTTCTTTCTGTTTACTCAGATGAAATTGGACCAGTTCACAGGTTAAACTTTAAACATTTGATTTGTATAAATAAATCCAAAAGCACTTCCCTTAGTTAAAATATTTTCAATTTGAGCACATAACCTAAAATTTGAAAGAAATGCACTAGATTCTGTCATAAAAGTTGGCAGATTTAGTTTGAATTTACCTTCAGTACAATGACATAACCAACAATTAATAAAAATGCCAAATTGACAATTTTATCACTTTTGTAATTAAGATAAATTTAAACAATGTTTGTCAACTTGTTTGACAAATTTTGAAAACGCTGTTGTTACCAACCAGGGTTACCAACCATAACATAATAAATTAAATTAGGCGACCAGATGACCTTAAAGTTCCTAGTCGATCAGTGGCGTACTTTTTGGTAGGATAAAGGATATTATAAATTATTTTTAGTCTTTGGAATTTAGAAAAAAAAAGTTTCAGGTGCTTCTTTATGGACCCTAAGGAACAACCCATTTTAATATATAACATTAATTACATAACACCCTGTATAAATTGTTTTTTAACATTCTAAATTGTGCTTCTGACATTCTGAAATTATTTGTCAAAAACATTCTTAAATTTGACCGTTTGGCTTTGACTTTTTAAAATGTGATTTTGACATTCTAAACATTCTAAGCTTTGCCAAAAAAATGTTTTAGATTTTAAAAATTGTTTTTTGACATTTTAAAATGTGCTTAAGACATTTTTAATTAAAAAAAAAAACCTTGGTTAAATTTGACCGTTTGGTTTTGACTCTCTAAAATGTGATTTTGACACTCTAAACATTCTAAATTTTATTTTTACTAATCTAAAAAATATGATTAGGCTTTGCCAAAAAATGTTTTAGAGTTTATAATTGTTTTTTTGAAATTCTAAATTGTGCTTTTGACATTCTTAGTTAAATTTGACCGTTTGGTTTTGGCATTTTAAAATGTGATTTCGACATTTTGAACATTCTATATTGTGTTCTTAACAATCTAAAAATATGATTTTAACCTCTTAAATGAGTTTTTGACATTTTGAATTTGGTTTTAACATTCTTAAGCTTGGTAAAAAAATGTTTGAGAGTTTATAAATTGTTTTTTGCCATTTTAAGTTGTGCTTTTGACATTTTGAATTGTGTTTTAAACATTCATGTTTTTGACTTTCTAAAATGTGATTTTGACATTCTTAACATTCTACATTGTGTTCTTAACAATCTAAAAATATGATTTTAACCTTTTAAAATGAGTTTTTGACATTTTGAATTGTGTTTTAAACATTCATGTTTTTGACTTTCTAAAATGTGATTTTGACATTCTTGACATTCTATATTGTGTTCTTAACAATCTAAAAATATGATTTTAACTTTTTAAAATGAGTTTTTGACATTTTGAATTGTGTTTTAAACATCCATGTTTTTGACTTTCTAAAATGTGATTTTGACATCCTTAACATTCTTAATTGTGTTTGTAACAATCTAAAATATGTTTTTTAACGTTTTAAAATGAGTTTTTGACATTTTGAATTGTGATTTAAACATTCATGTTTTTGACTTTCTAAAATTTGATTTTGACATTCTTAACATTCTATATTGTGTTCTTAACAATCTAAAAATATGATGTTAACCTTTTAAAATGAGTTTTTGACATTTTGACTTGTGTTTTAAACATTCATGTTTTTGACTTTCTAAAATGTGATTTTGACATTTTGACTCACCTTCCACAAACGATTATGTCGTCTTTGAGCAGCAACGACAGCACGGCGCCGTTCATGTCCATCCACACCTTAACCCTGGCGTCGGCGGGGTTCATTCGCCGATCGAACAGTCGAACGGAACCGTCCGAGCACCCGACCGCCGTGTAACCCAACCGGGGACCGCGAGGGGCCAGTATCAGGTCGTCGGCGCGGCGGCTCTTGGCCGAGCCCGTCTCGTAGCGCCCGCCGGCGTGCGTAGAGTCCATGCACGTGACCGAGGCGTCGGTCCCGGTCGCGAGGTCGAAGGCTCGCAGCTCGCGGGCCGCGTCCCAGAACCTGATGCAGCGGTGGTCGCCGGCCGTGATAAGGGTTTGCGTGTATTGCTCCCACGTCAGGAGGACGCCTGGTTAAAAAAGTCAACATTATGAAACTGATAACTAGGGTTTTAAAGTGTCGTTCTGAATTGGGTTTTTAACAATCTAAAAATACGATTTTAACCTTTTAAAATGAGTTTGTTTTCTTTGACATTCTAAATTGACATATGTCACAATATTGGCATTCTAGACTTGATTGCTTTTGATTTTTTAAAATGTGATTTTGACACTCTTTGATGAAACTTCACGTTACATTGTTTTTTGGACCTTTTCAATTGTGATTTGACATTTTAAAAATGTTTGTCAAAAACATTTTTAGTTCAGTTTGACCGTTTGATTTTGACTTTCTAAAATGTGATTTTGACATCCTTAACATTCTAAATTGTTTTGTAACAATCTAAAATATGTTTTTAACCTTTTAAAATTAGTTTTTGACATTTGAATTGGGTTTTTAACATTTTTAAGCTTTGCCAAAAAATGTTTTAGAGTTTATAAATTGTTTTTTAACATTCTAAATTGTGCTTTTGGCATTTTGTTAAATTTGACCTTTTGGTTTTGACTTTCTAAAATGTGATTTTTACACTCTTAACATTCTAAATTTTGTTTTTACCAATCTAAAAATATTATTTTCCCTTTTAAAAATAGTTTTTGACATTTTATATTGGGTTTTGTCAAAAAAATGTTTTAGAGTTTATAAATTGTTTTTGGACATAAACAAGTGTCAAATTAAATTAAAAGAAACTCGATAAACTCGAAAAACAGTGTTTGTTTTTTTTATCTAGTTATGATTTTACCCTTTTAAAAAAAGTTTTTGCATTTTATATTGGGTTTTTAACATTCTAAGGTTTGTCAAAAAACTGTTTTAGAGTTTATAAATTGTTTTTTGGACATTCTAAATTGTGCTTTGACATTTTGAAAATGTTTGTCAAAAACATTTTTAGTTCAATTAGACCGTTTGGTTTTGACTTTCTAAAATGTGATTTTAACATCCTTAATTGTGTTTGTAACAATCTAAAATATGTTTTTTAACCTTTTAAAATGAGTTTTTGACATTTTGAATTGGGTTTGAACATTTTCAAGCTTTGCCAAAAAAGTTAAAAGTAGTGTTTTTTTTGACATTCTAGTATTGTTTGATTTTGACTTTTTAAAATGTTATTTTGACACTCTTAACATTCTAAATTGTGTTTTTAACAATCTAAAAATATGATTTTAACCTTTTAAAATGAGTTTTTGAAATTTGAATTGGGTTTTTAATATTCTTAAGCTTTGCCAAAAAAGTTTAAGAGTTTATAAATTGTTTTTTAACATTCCAGAATTGTTTGCTTTTTACTTTTTAAAATGTGATTTTGACACTCTTAACATTCTAAATTGTGCTTGTAACAATCTAAAAATGTGATTTTAAAATGAGTTTTTGACATTTTAAATTAGGTTTAAACATTCTCAAGCTTTGCCAAAAATGTTTTAGAGTTTATAAATTGTTTTTTTAACATTCTAAATTGTGTATATAAAAATATGATTTTAACCTTTAAAAATTACTTTTTGACATTTTAAATTGGGTTTAAACATTCTTAAGCTTTGCCAAAAATGTTTTAACATTCTAAATTGCGCTTTTGACATTGTGAAATTGTTTCGCAAAAACCTTTGTGATGTGATTTTGACATTCTTAATTGTGTTTGTAACAATCTAAAATGTTTTTAACCTTTTAAAATGAGTTTTAACATTTTGAATTGGGTTTTTAACATTTTCAGGGCTCCCACGGCTAAATTACAAATTTTATTTAAAAAAAAACCTCCTATATTCCATTAGGGGTTTTCAGGATTAAAGCCAAAGGAATTTTAAGTTTTAGGAGGTGTGGGAGCCCTGAGATAGCTATAACATGCGCATCAGTCTACCGGTTTTTGTGTATCGCATCTTACCTGACAGTTTGGGCAGCCGCAGGTCGTTGAAGGCCTGCCACGCGCTGACCAAAACCGGCGAGCTGCTCGTGCCGGCGTTGGGCCGGTACAGCTTGACCGAGCCGTCCTCGGCCGCGACGAGGATCATGGCGGAATCGTGCCCGTTGATCCACTCCAAAGCCGTGATGCGACTCGAAGGCGACTTGCTGGATTTGTTGTGGCAGCCGCTGACTTTGGCTCCGGTACCCCAGTCCCAAATCCTAACGATGACACGTCAAAATACGTTAATTAGACGACCTAAACGATGAGTAGTGAGTACTCACGCGAAACTATCCTTTCCCGAAACAGCAATCTGTTGATCGTAAGGATGCAACTGCAGTATAGATGGCGCTAGCGGCGTTCTAGTATGGAAAACTTGCGACTCGATTTTGCAAGTTCGCACTCGTTTTTGCTCGTCTAACGATTCCGTTCTAATGTTATTGTTTCTAAAATATAAACCCCAATTCATAAGTTTAGGTGCTTTATATTTTCCTTTTCAATCAGATTTCATATTTTGACATTTACATTCTAAAATGTGATTTTGACATTTTCGATTGTGCTTTTCACATTCTAAAATTCACTTGGTTGTCAAGAACATTCTTAAGTGAATTAAACGTTTCAAGATATGGTTTTGAACTTCTCGGATATGATTTTGACATTCTCAAATTTGACCTTTTGATTTTGACTTTCTAAAATGTGATATTGACATCCTTTGCATTCTAAATTATGTTTTTGACATTCGTAAGTAAATTTGACGTTCTTAGATTTGGTTTTGATTTTCGAAAATGAGATTTTGACATTCTTAACATTCTAAATTTTGATTTTTAAAAATGTAATTTTGACATTTTAAATTGCGCTTTTGACTTTCTGAAATTGTTTGTCAAAAACATTTTTAGTTAAATTTGACCTTTTGGTTTTGACTTCCTAAAATGTGATTTTGACATTCTTAACATTCTAAATTGTGTTTTTGACATTTTTAAGTAAATTTGACGTTCTAAGATATGGATTTGATTTTCTAAAATTTCATTTTGACATTCTTGACATTGTGTTTTAAACCATATATGGTTTTGATTTTCTAAAATGTCATTTTTACATTCTTGACATTCTTCATTATGTTTTTTACATTTCTATTTCACTTCTTTGTCAAAAACATTCTTAGGTAAATTTAACGTTCTAGGATATGATTTAGAGTTTCAAAAAAATGTAATTTTGACATTTTAAATTGTGCTTTTGACATTCTGAAATTGTTTGTCAAAAACATTCTTTTATCTCGATCTTTTATTTTTGACTTTCTAAAATGTGATATTGACATTCTTAACATTCTAAATTGTGTTTTTGACATTCTTGAGAAAATTTGACGTTCTAAGATATGGTTTTGATTTTCTAAAATGTGATTTTAACATTCTTAACATTCTTCATTATGTTTTACAAATTTTAAATTTGTCTTCTTTGTCATTTGTCAATTCTTAGGTGAATTTAACGTTTTAGAATATAATTTTGAGTTTCAAAAAATGTAATTTTGACATTTTTAATTGTGCTTTTGACATTCTAAAATTGTTTGTCAAAAACATTTTTAGTTAAATTTGACCTTTTGGTTTTGACTTTCTAAAATGTGATTTTGACATTCTTAACATTCTAAATTGTGTTTTTGACATTCTTAAGTAAATTTGACGTTCTAAGATATGGTTTTAATTTTCTAAAATGAAATTTTGACATTCTTAACATAATGTTTTACACATTTTAAATTTGACTTATTTGTCAAAAACATTCTTAGGTAAATTTAACGTTCTAGGATATGATTTAGAGTTTCAAAAAATGTTATTTTGACATTTTAAATTGTGCTTTTGACATTGTGAAATTGTTTGTCAAAAACATTTAATAAATGTGTTTTTTAAATTTTTATTTGTAAAAAAATTGTGTTTATGCGCATATCACAGTTTAATTAAATTCACTTTCCTACCTTGATTGCCGCCAATCCCTTTCATAATATTTTTGCGATTCGGGGTCAACATAAGACCCTTTCCGCTTTTGGGCAAACCTCTTTGCGGACCACTCGACAAATTTTGAGGAAACCAAAGGTTTCCTCAAAGCTTGACCCTTGTCGTCATCCTCATTTATTATGCTTTGGTTCAATTTCGATCTACTCGACCTGCTCATATTTCGACTGCAAAAAAAACAACAAACGAAGTTAAAATAATACGAGACAGTCGGCAACAAACCTGTTGTTGAGGTTGGTACTCAAACTTGGGGGACTTTCACCCGACAAGTACGTTGCCCCCCTGTTGGGACTCGGGGGTAGACTTATGCTCGAATTCATCCTGTTCTCAGCCGATTCTATTTGTTCCTAAAACATTTTAATCATATGGTTTTGAGATTCCATATTGCGTTTTTTTGTTTTTACCTTGACCATGGTTCTGATGTGGTTGGTGACGGTTTTGCACATGGCAGACACATCCGGGTGTGGGTCTGTTTCCAACGCGCACAATGCCAACCAAATTTTCATGTACACCGACCCAAAACTGAGCCCCGGTAAAGTCCCCAAGCTACCCGAATGGCTGGAAGTCATCCTTTGCTGACTCATGTTGTTTATCGAGGAACTCGAGTTAACGCGTTTCATTCTTTCCAGAGAATCGTCGTTTACTCTAAGTCTATCCCTACAAGGTGATTGTAGTGGTGGAGTTTTGTATTATGAGATATACCGTACCTTCATTTGCAAGCTATACATAGGGAAAATACATTGTAGGTGGACCAGACAAGTTGAAGTCAGCGCAAAGCGAAAAAGTTCTTAGAAATTATATGGACGTAATAAAATTTTAATCGTCAGTAAACAAGGTCACCTGTTACGTCGCATGACTTCGACTTGTCTGTTCCACCTACAATGTATTTTCCCTATGTATAACTTGCAAATGAAGGTACGGTAGATGGCGTTACCTGCTAGATATCCTTCTTAGACTCGTGGGCGTTGAAACATTCGAACTACTGTAGTAGTCCTGAGACAACTGCGATTCTTTTCTGGCGACACTAACGAAACTCTGCTCGAAGGCCAGAACAACCCACTGCAGCGCGTTAACGAGCTCTTTGCGCACTAGACAGCTCATGTCGTCTATCATCGTCGTCACCAACGTCATAACGATACCGTGGTCGATGTTGTTGGCGTGTTCCGAACGTTCCGTGACGCTGTTTATGAAAGTGCCTAGAGCGTATACGGCCGCTGCTCTGACCTGACACAAATAAGTCACGTTTGAACCCTAAGTTGCGTGTCTCACGGTGCAAGAAAACAAGGTATGTTCTTGCGCATGTGTGTTGTTGTTTTGCAAGCTATTTTAAAGTTTAGATAGTGTAAAAAATGCCAAAAGAAAAAAACCTAAAAATCCAATACATTTCCTTGGTAAGGGCTTGAAAAAATTGATGGTGAGGGTAGTAAGTAGATTTATTTTAAAAACAATTAAATAGCAGTATTTTTTTAGAGGTACTTTCCTTTTGTATACACAGATTATCTGTGACAGATATATAAATAAAAAAATAATTTAGGTTAATATTCTTGTTTGTTTTGTAGTTTGTATTTTTTCATTTACTAGATAGATGCTATAAGACGGAAAATTGAATTAAAAAACATACAAACAACATAAAAAGTCTTTAAAAGTGGATACGGTTCCAACTTTACACTTAACAGCTGATCTATCAAAATATACAAATAAAATTGGAATATAAATCATAGTTCTTTTTACAGTGTACAAGAAATAGGACAAAACCAGGAAGCATAATATAATCTTTGAAGAAAATAAAATTTGAAAAACAAAATTAATCAAAATCAAATCTTTCTTTTTGCATTGTGCAAGAAATGTGCCAAGACAAGGAATTTGTCATTCCAAACAGGTTGTTTTCCTGAAAAGCTTAAAACCATTAAGGTTGTTCCAATTTTTAAAAATTATGACAAACAATTGTTTTTGTTAAACATTCTAGAATATGGTTTTGGCATTCCAGTAAGTAACTTTAACAATATTAATGATGGTTTTGACATTATTTTTTAAATATAACTTTGACATTCTAAAATGCGATTTTGACATCTAAAATTCTAAATTTTGTTTCTGCCAAACATTCTTAAATATAGTTGTGTCTTAACTATTTTGACACTCTAAAATATGATTTTGACATTGGTTTTTCAATTAAAATTATAGTTTTTTACATTCAGACATTTTCAAGTCAGTTTGACATTTTTTTATTCCAAAGCCAGTTTTTCATATTTAATATAATTTTTTTTTATTTGAAATTATAATTTATATTTTACATTCTAAAACATGATTATGAAATTATTGCCACCTTTTTACATTTAAATTCCAGTTTTTAATCTTTTTTAAGGCTATTTATTATTTTGGATTTTATGTTTTTTGTTATTTTTTCATTCTAAAATATGATTTTGACATTCTTAAGTTTGTTAATCTTAAAAATGGTTATGGCAATATTTTTTGGTTTGACATTCTAAATTATGATTTTGACATTTTTAAACCAGTTGTCGTATGAAATTTTGACATTTTGTTAAACAATCTTAAATATGGTTTTCATATTATTTTTTCTTTTGACATTCTTAAGCCCGTTTGACAACCTTTTTTACATTCTTTAATATACTTAATTTTAAAGAATTTTTCTGATTAAAATAAAGTTTATATTTAACCTTTTAAAATATGATTTTGACATTCTCAAGTAGGTTATTATATCATAAACATAGTTTTGACATTCTAAAATATGATTTTGAAATTTTTAAGTAAATACTTTAAATATGGTTTTAAAATTATTTTAGGTTTGACATTTTAAAGTGATTTTGACATTCTTAAGTAAGTTTAGGAATTTGAAATATTGTTTTGACATTCTTAAATATGGTTTTGACATTTTAAGTAACTTTGACAATCTTTGGTATGGTTTTGACATTATTTTTGTTTTGACTCTAAAATATAACTTCTTAACATTCTTAAGGCAGTTTGAAATCCTTTGACATTCTTAAATATGATTTTGACATCTAAAATTATAAATTTTGTTAACATTCTAAAATATGGTTTTGACTTTCTTAAGTTTGTTAATCTTAAAAAATGGTTATGGCAATATTTGTTGGTTTGACATTCTAAATTATGATTTTGACATTTTTAAGCCACTTGTCATCTAAAATTTCGACATTTTGTTAAACAATCTTAAATATGGTTTTAAAATTATTTTTGGTTTGACATTTTAAAGTGATTTTGACATTTTTAAGTAAGTTTACAAATTTGAAATATTGTTTTGTCATTCTTAAAATATGGTTTTGACATTTTAAGTAACTTTGACAATCTTTGGTATGGTTTTGACATTATTTTTGTTTTGACTCTAAAATATAACTTCTTAACATTCTTAAGGCTTTTTGACATCCTTTGACATTTTAAAATATGATTTTGGAATTTTTAAGTAAATACTTTAAATATGGTTTTAAAATTATTTTTGGTTTGACATTTTAAAGTGATTTTGACATTCTTAAGTAAGTTTAGGAATTTGAAATATTGTTTTGACATTCTTAAATATGGTTTTGACATTTTAAGTAACTTTGACAATCTTTGGTATGGTTTTGACATTATTTTTGTTTTGACTCTAAAATATAACTTCTTAACATTCTTAAGGCAGTTTGAAATCCTTTGACATTCTTAAATATGATTTTGACATCTAAAATTATAAATTTTGTTAACATTCTAAAATATGGTTTTGACTTTCTTAGGTTTGTTAATCTTAAAAAATGGTTATGGCAATATTTGTTGGTTTGACATTCTAAATTATGATTTTGACATTTTTAAGCCACTTGTCATCTAAAATTTCGACATTTTGTTAAACAATCTTAAATATGGTTTTAAAATTATTTTTGGTTTGACATTTTAAAGTGATTTTGACATTTTTAAGTAAGTTTACAAATTTGAAATATTGTTTTGTCATTCTTAAAATATGGTTTTGACATTTTAAGTAACTTTGACAATCTTTGGTATGGTTTTGACATTATTTTTGTTTTGACTCTAAAATATAACTTCTTAACATTCTTAAGGCTTTTTGACATCCTTTGACATTTTAAAATATGATTTTGGAATTTTTAAGTAAATACTTTAAATATGGTTTTAAAATTATTTTTGGTTTGACATTTTAAAGTGATTTTGACATTCTTAAGTAAGTTTAGGAATTTGAAATATTGTTTTGACATTCTTAAATATGGTTTTGACATTTTAAGTAACTTTGACAATCTTTGGTATGGTTTTGACATTATTTTTGTTTTGACTCTAAAATATAACTTCTTAACATTCTTAAGGCAGTTTGAAATCCTTTGACATTCTTAAATATGATTTTGACATCTAAAATTATAAATTTTGTTAACATTCTAAAATATGGTTTTGACTTTCTTAAGTTTGTTAATCTTAAAAAATGATTATGGCAATATTTGTTGGTTTGACATTCTAAATTATGATTTTGACATTTTTAAGCCAGTTGTCATCTAAAATTTCGACATTTTGTTAAACAATCTTAAATATGGTTTTAAAATTATTTTTGGTTTGACATTTTAAAGTGATTTTGACATTTTTAAGTAAGTTTACAAATTTGAAATATTGGTTTGTCATTCTTAAAATATGGTTTTGACATTTTAAGTAACTTTGACAATCTTTGGTATGGTTTTGACATTATTTTTGTTTTGACTTTAAAATATAACTTCTTAACATTCTTAAGGCTTTTTGACATCCTTTGACATTTTAAAATATGATTTTGGAATTTTTAAGTAAATACTTTAAATATGGTTTTAAAATTATTTTTGGTTTGACATTTTAAAGTGATTTTGACATTCTTAAGTAAGTTTAGGAATTTGAAATATTGTTTTGACATTCTTAAATATGGTTTTGACATTTTAAGTAACTTTGACAATCTTTGGTATGGTTTTGACATTATTTTTGTTTTGACTCTAAAATATAACTTCTTAACATTCTTAAGGCTTTTTGACATCCTTTGACATTCTAAAATATGATTTTGAAATCTAAAATTATAAATTTTGAGCTTGGTGGTGCGCAGTGAACCAAAACTCGTCTCACTGAAGAACATACCTTGTTTTCTTGCACCACGGCATCTCTTACCTCCGGATAGGAATCCTTAAGCAACGTGTACAACTTTTCGTGGGCGATGTCCCTGACGCCGGTCCACCGCGCCGAATCGTACCTGTCCCAGATCTTGCCCAGGCAAATGGCCACCCATTGCCGTAGCAACGGGCAAGGGTCGTTCAATTGTTCCAGGCAGATGCTGACCAAAGAGCCTTGAACTGCGGCCTCTTGACCGTCCCTGTAATCGGTCACGATCGAGGCCAAGACAAAAGTCGCCTGAGTCCTCGTTTCACTCTAAAATGATATTTTTGAAGTGAAATTGAAAGACTCAAAGACCATTTTTCACCCTTACCAATATTGTTGTATCTTGCAGAACAGACAAGAAATATTTGTGACCGTTGTCCCTCACTAAATCACCCTGACAAGTCTAAAATAATACATGCAAACAATCAAAGAGACCACCATAATAAACAACACTTACATTGTCGACGGCCAAAATTTTAGCCCATATAAACACCAACAAGGGCCTCAACTCCTTAGCATTACTTTGCAGTAATTTCAGGACGTAGGGAAATATCCCCACTGACAGGGCCAAGTTGACAGCCCAAGGGCCCAAATCTAAAAACTTCCCGAGCAATTCTAGCGCGCGCATTCTGTGCACCTGGCTTAGGAGTACTTGCAGTACTATTGGCAGTTGTTCAGGCGGGTTTCTCTCCTCAGAGCCTGCGTTAATGTTTCAAAGGATAATATATGTTTTATGTTGAGTCACTTGATTTTTGCAACAGATCTAGTGACTCAACTGCAAGGTAAAACGAAACAAACAAAATGGCGATGTACTTACACTTACCGAGCTCTAACCACACCTGGAAGGCGGTTAGTTGCTCCTCGAAAAAGGGCAGATGCTGGAAGGGTTTTTTTTCTTGCACGATGCTGTGCAATTGGCCCATGCTTAGGTCCAACGTTAGGTCCCATGCCTCCCACATGTGGTGCTGAAATGTGGGCGGGAGGGGTGGAGAACTGACCGGCGTGCAGTCGCAGGAACGCATTATGCGTTCTGCTAGCAGGAAGTTGCGGAATAAGCTTGCCACCAACAGGTCTTGGCGGAACAGTTTTTGAAATAGTTCTAAAATATGTATAGAGATTGTCATAATCTTTATTTCATATATAATTAGTTACTTTACTATATATACAACAACAAAAAATTAAATGTCTTATTAATTCAAAAATAAATACTATTTTTTGTGCTTAAGTTCTTAAATATGGTTTTGATAATATTTTTGTATTTGTTTGTTTAATATTTATGATTTTGACAGTCTTAAGCCAGTTTTCCATCTTCAATATAGTTTAACGATTTTTTCCAATTTATTTTTATGATTCCAAAATTTGATGATTTGCCATTCTTTAGTAAGTTTGTCAATCTTTAAGAATGGTTCTGATTTTTTGGTTTGACATTCTAAAATATGATTTTGACATCTAAAATTCCAAGCTTCCACATTCTAGAATATGGTTTTGACATTCTAGTAAGTAACTTTAACAATCTTAAATATGGTTTTGACATTATTTTTAAAATATAACTTTGACATTCTCAAATGCGATTTTGACATCTAAAATTCTAAATTTTGTTTTTGCCAAACATTCTTAAATATAGTTGTGTCTTAACTATTTTGACACTCTAAAATATGATTTTGACATTAGTTTGTCAATTAAAATTATAGTTTTTTACATTCAGACATTTTCAAGTCAGTTTGACATCCTTTTTATTCCAAACCCAGTTTTTCATATTTAATATAGTTTTGAAGATTTTTTTATTTGAAATTATAATTTATATTTTACATTCTAAAACATGATTATGAAATTCTTAGGTCAGTTTGCCACCTTTTTACATTTACATTCCAGTTTTCAATCTTTTTTAAGGCTATTTTTTATTTTGGATTTTATGTTTTTTGTTATTTTTTCATTCTAAAATATGATTTTGACATTCTTAAGTTTGTTAATCTTAAAAAATGGTTATGGCAATTTTTTTGGTTTGACATTCTTAAGCCCATTTGACATCCTTTTTTGCATTCTTTAATATACTTAATTTTTAAGAATTTTTCTGATTAAATTATAGTTTATATTTAACCTTTTAAAATATGATTTTGACATTCTCAAGTAAGTTATTATATCATAAACATGGTTTTGACATTCTAAAATATGATTTTGAAATTTTTAAGTAAATACTTTAAATATGGTTTTAAAATTATTTTTGGTTTAACATTTTAAAATGATTTTGACATTCTTAAGTAAGTTTAGAAATTTGAAATATTGTTTTGACATTCTTAAATATGGTTTTGACATTCTTAAATATGGTTTTGATATTTTAGGTAACTTTGAGAATATTTGGTATGGTTTAGACATTATTTTTGTTTTGACTCTAACATTTTTAAGGCAGTTGACATTCTAAAATATGATTTTGACATTCTTAACTCAGTTTGCCATCTTAAATATTTTCTGGTTTTAACTTCCAAGAATTTTATTCTTTTACATTTTAAAATGTTTTTTAACATTTTAAAAGATGATTTTGACATTCTTAAGCCAGTTTTACATTTTTTTACATTCTAAAGCCAGTTTTTCATATTCAATTTAGTTCTAAATATGATTTTGCCTTCTTTGGTATGTTTCTCAATCTTAAAAAATGATTATGGCAATATTTTTTGGTTTAAGTCAGTTTGCCAATTTAAATATTTCTTGGTTTAAATTCCAAGAATTTTTTTTTCTGTTTTTTAACATTTTAAAATTTTTTGACATTCTTAAGTAAGTTTAGTGTTGACATTCTATGATTTTGACATTCTTAAGCATAAATGTGTTTTGGCCACTAATTTTAAATTGTTATGAATTTAAAAAAATGCAACTAGTTTAATAAACGTCATTTAACACACGAGTTTTTTTTATAAATAAGCGATCCTACGATACTGTTTTTTCAGAATTTAATGTCAATAAAAATTTGATATTTATTTTGACAACTGTCAAGCAATATTAACCTCACTTTTTACCAATCTGACATCTGTCAGACACTTTAACCTCACTTTTTTCCAACCTAACATCTGTCAAACGGTTTTAACCTAACTTTTTTTCAATTTTACTATTTTTTTTTTTTAAATTACAATTAAGCACATACCTCTAGGTAAAACATTCCAAGCTATAGTATCTGTAATGGCAGTAAATATCCAATTTAATTCCCCTAACATTGTCCTTCTATCAGTTATTTGCCCTGGAATTCTATTACAAGAAAAAATATGGTAAATTTAAACATAAGTTTGCACAAGACAAATAAATAGATATTTACTCACTCATCGATCAACTCCATGCTGATTTTGGGCACCAACTTGGCAGTAGGCTGCAACTTCCACCACTTCAGCGCCACCTTGATGGGCGTGGTCAAGCAGGAGGTGAACAGATCGGCCGGTAAGTTAGGATTCATCGGCAAAATTTGAGTCTCGCCGCAAGCGGCCAACTGGATGCAATTGCTGTAAGTTGGCGCTGCCGGGGACACGCCCCTTTGAGACGGCGATGCGCCTCTGTTCTGCGCACTAGCCAACTACGTTTTTTTATAAATAAAATGTCATTTTAGATTGAAAATTTACGTTAAGTAAGTACTACTAACCTCAAATTCAGATTCGTGTTGGTTGGCAAACTTTTTAAATGATTTTACAATGATACCAGCACTTGAACAATCATAGACATAAATAGAGGGTGATCCCATCCAACTTTGTAAATCATATATTGATAAAGGAATGTATTGTGTAAAGGTCTAAAAATATAAAAAAATAAGCAAAAATCTATTTATTATACACTTCTAGATTAAAATGTGTTGGCAAAAACTTATTTTAAACTCACTTTGACAACTAATTTAGGTTATGTAATTAACTGTCAAACCAAAAAAGTTAGGCTATATAGATGTCAAAATATTGGTACTCACTCTGTTAAAAACCCATATTTCCCCATTTTCAGTGGGCTTAGGAACTCCATGACCGTTGTAGTGAAACAAAACGCGTTCTTCTTTGGCATTCCTCCTCAACGAGGAGCACAATTTCTTAACCTCCTCGGAGGTGGGGTCTAAAGACTGTTTGTATCGCGCCCGAGGTTGCCATCTTTCATACTGCGTCTGCAAATTTTGCCCTATCATGTCCAAAGCTTTCTGAGGTGACATTGAAAGTGGATCTATAATTTTTGAGGTTAATTTGGGCTGGGTTTTACTAAATATGTGTACTGACCTATCCAGCATTCGAGTCTTGCACATGGTTGTGTTTTGACTACATCTGGAGGATCAACACCCACATTCAAACACAAAACTAAGGCAACACTGACAGTTTTCATCTACAAAACAAATATATAGGTTAGTACTTCAATTGTTTTATAATGACACTTACTCTTTCTTTCATCCTCCACGCCTGCTTGATGTAGTCGATTCCTTCAATAATCTCAGTATGCCTGTCTTCTGTGAAACTAAGGGGCAAATCCATTTCGTTTGTGTTTTCTGTCTCCAGCGCTTTTTCTTTTTCATCATTGTACAACGATTCGTACATTATAAACCTTGTAAATCACTAAATTAACGCGGAAAAACAGTAAAATCGCTGCAAGTTCATTTAAAACGCAAAAATGCACCTAAAATCCTGAAGCATGGAACTCTAAAAACAAATGCAAAAACCTTGAACCATAGTCGTAGGTTGCCAAGTCTACAAACAAATGCTTCCCCTATTAACCCAGATACATCTCAAAGTCATACTTCAACATCCATTAGGGTATATTATGTCTAATACTTCAATTAACACAAACTAATCGTCATAATTATGCTGTAACTTTAATTTTAAAAGCGTGTTTTTGGTAATTTGAATAACAGTATGACGGAATAAAGGAAAATATGCCCAATCTGGCAACGTTGGTGTTATGTCAAAACATTAGTTAAATTTTGATATTTAATGTTGGTATCAAAAAAGGCGGCACATTTAAATTTAATCTATAAAATAATTAATATAATCGAGTTTTTTAATATTCTTACAACTTAAATTAATGTTTTTATGATGAATAAATTAAAAAATAACACCTACAGAAATAAAAAAATTATTATTGCTGAACAACATCCTTTACTGCAATTTTGCTAACAATTACATCAAGTAGACTATTATTCAACAATTCAGCTTCAGTTATTTTATATTCCTTCTTAATTAACTTAATATCACAAATTTGGGAAAGCTTGAATACATCAACTTCTTCACCGTCAATATCATCAAATAAAACATCATTTTCTTCATCTTCTTTTGCTAAAATTGCAACAAGTAAGTCTGTATCTTCCTCGCTGGCGCCAAAGGTCTTCAAAGAAGAAGATATATTACTTGAGAGGGATAAATTAAATAATATTTCGGTATACAGAGTTCTTGTAATGATATCACTCGTGACAGCTTTATTAGCAGCTACAGCAACTTGGAACGGATCCAGAATGCGACTGGGCTTTATAAGACCGCATTGAAAGTTACCACCGGTGATTTTTTCTTTTATTTCTTTCATATTTTTCACATTTTCGAAAAGTTTTAAGGTTAGAGTGTATTTGGATGTTAAATCCAGATTTATCTTGTATTTCATGCTTACAAATTTATAATTAGGCAATATTTAAGTGTGTGCTAATATTTTTGCGATTATAAATTGATAACTTTGGGGTTTTTTGCACAATACAACTTTTTTATGATCACAATGTAAATAAAAACACTAGGCAATACAAATATATTTTAGTGTAAGCTGGGTTGCGTTTTTGTACGTTGCGCCATCTATGTTGTTATAAATTAAACAACCGACATAATTGATTAACCAATCAGGGTACTGCATTCTCCACGGCACACTAGATTGCGACATGTAATGCAGTGTTCCGATTGGTTTATAAAACCCCCAGTAGCCAATAAAACTTCATATTTTAATAAAATTTCATACACCTCAAGTTTTTAATATAAATTATAAAAAATCAACAATAAATGCGACGTTAACGTAATTAATCGACGTCTATCCTATTAACGGTTATGTCTGTTCTTTGATTAAGAATTTTGATGGACATTTTCGGGGTAAACTGAGTTACTCCCACTTCTTTTAAAGCTTTACCCCTCGTGTCTTCTACGCCTGTGGCGCCCTCTAGCGCTAAAAGCGTCTCGCGGAGTAGAAGCGCTGAGCCTTTTGTTATGTTTAATAGGTTGGTAGCTTCAATAACCCTAAAATACGGAAAAATTAATATTTTTGTAATTTTTTGTGTTTTTTTTTATTACTGGGTGAAATAGTTTTCTGGCTTCATACTAAACTGCGAAAACAGTGGTAGTAAATTCCTCATAATGTCGAATTTTAGCTGCAATGCGCCCCCCATGGTGAATCGGTTATCTAAAATTAAATCTTCGAATAGAAAAGTATCTAAATGTTGTGCTATGGATCGCCAGATTATTGTGAACAGTTTGCTCTCCAAACTTTTTTGCAGCTGGTGCAACCTTTTAGCAATTACTTCAAACATCGGACATGCAGAGGGCGTTAGTGACAAGCTGCGGTATTCTTTTTCCAACGGAATGGCATTCCACCTAAAAAATTATTAATTGATCCGTTTTTAGCAATTTTACAGACTCTTGCAGTACCTTTCTCTTCTGTACCCTTTACTTTTACTTTTAACTTCCATAATTACAAATTCTGACAAAGTACACACCAAATCTTTTCTCATGTGCCTGTACAAAGATAATGCATCAGCAAAAACTGTTTCTGTTTCACTGTCACTTGGACTATCGTCAAAATCGTGTAATATGGACGAATTTGGGGTTTTTGGTGCGTTGTCAAACTGCGTTTTGTAGTAAAATAGGTTCAAATAATGCTGGAAATAATATTTATGTCATTTTTTTTACTAAATCTTGATATTTTGTATATGTTATATATTTGTTTTACATAATTTATTTTGAAAGATAAAGGCTCAAGTGCCTTTAAATCCAGAGCTGCACTATTGGTTTTTGGACCATATCTTCTGAACCAAACAAGGTAGAATGTTGTATTTTAGATATGTTATAGAATAATGTTATTTTTATAATGCCTTTAAATATCAAGATCTTAAATAATTTATTTAGGGAGATATACGAATAAGTCTAAGCTTCCTTTTAAATCCAGAGCTGCAATCTTGGTTTTAACCCATATCTTTTTAACTAGACCAGCTAAAATGTTATGTTTTGGATATATTATAGAATAATGTTATATCTATAACGTATCCAAATATCAAGATTTAAAAAACATTATTTCGAGAGATATATGTGTAAGTCCAAGCTTGTCTCTAAATCCAGAGCTGCACTATTGGTTTTTGGACCATATCTTCTGAACTAGACAAGCTAGAAGGTTTTATTTTAAATATGTTATAAAATAATGTTATTTTTATAATGCCTCCAAATATCATCATTTTACATAATTTATTTCGAAAGATAGAGGCCCAAGTCCAAGCCTGACTTTAATTCCAGAGCTGCACTCCTAGTTTTTAACCCATATCTATTAAACTAGACAAGCTAGACTATTGTATTTTGGATATGTTATAGAATAATGTTATGTCTATGATATATCAAGATTTAAAAAACATTATTTTGAGACATAAAGGCCTAAGTCCAAACTTGTCTCTAAATCCAGAACTTCACTCTTGGTTTTTGAACCATATCTTCTGAACTAGACAAGCTAGAATGTTGTATTTTAGATATGTTATAGAATAATGTTATTTTTATAATGCCTTTAAATATCAACATCTTAAATAATTTATTTCGGGAGATATACGAATAAGTCTAAGCTTCCCTTTAAATCCAGAGCTGCAATCTTGGTTTTTAACCCATATCTGTTTAACTAAACCAGCTAGAATGTTGTGTTTTGTATATATTATAGAATAATGTTATATCTATAACGTATCCAAATATCAAGATTTAAAAAACATTATTTCGAGAGATATATGTGTAAGTCCAAGCTTGTCTCTAAATCCAGAGCTGCACTATTGGTTTTTGGACCATATCTTCTGAACTAGACAAGCTAGAATGTTGTATTTTAGATATGTTATATAAAAATGTTACTTTTATAATGCTTTTAAATATTAACATCGTAAATAATTTATTTCGGGAGATATAAGCCTAAGTCTAAGCTTCCCTTTAAATCCAGAGCTGCACACCTAGTTTTTAACCCATATCTTTTAAACTAGACAAGCTAGAAGGTTGTGTTTTGGATATGTTATAGAATAATGTTATGTCTATGACGTATCCAAATATCAAGATTTAAAAATCATTATTTCGAGAGATATAGGTCTAAGTCCAATATGTTATAAAATAATGTTATTTTTATAATGTCTTCAAATATTAATACTCTACTTACCAACATGGCGCCCCAATCTATTAAAACATTTTCGATGTAAAACAACGTATTCGTAATCATCGGATATACGCTGTCTATGATGTCACCCTCTACAGCGTTGACAAGTTGCAGCAACCTGACTCTGAAATCGTCGAACAACTCCAGCTGCAAATCCAAAAACTGCAGCCTGTGTCCTGGCTGCGGTAACGCCTCGTAACGCTCCGTTATCGTCTGCTGTAACGTGATAAAGGCGTCTGCGCACGTCGTCACTTTGATGTCCTCCACGTCCGATGCTATCGGTTCGAAAGCTTCGATTGAAGACGAGAGTATGGCGTCCATTTTTTCGGTGGCATCTGGACGAATATTAATATTAGTGTGGTACTTATTGTGCCTTACTCTACTCACATTTTTTCTCCATTGTGAGCCATTTGATGAACACCTGCGCCTGCGTCAAAACGGACACCACGCTGGGTTGATTAGAAGGGTAGTTGTACATTTCCCTTAACTCTTTATCAAATCCCAACGCCTCATCTATGGTGTGCGAGAATGTAAAGTCGTCATACTGCAGCTGGGGTAAATCGACGCACAGTTTTTCTATGGCTAGTTGAACCAGACCACTGGTTAACTCCAACTACAAGAGAGTTTTGATAGATGGAGCTCTGTGGTGTTTAAAGATGAAAACTTACTTTGGCATCAATGTGATGCAAACCAAGCTTATCGATGACCGGTTGAATCCATTTCCCTACAAACTCTCTATGATCCCTAATCCACGTTAAAATCTGCGTGAAATACCACTCCGGTTTATCCGGTCTGTTGGTTTGCCTGGTACCGAAAAAATGATAAACGAATCTCTTCCTCAAAGGTGATATCAACAACTGTATTGGCAGACACAGAGGCGGATATTCTGCCAGTAAACTCGATGTAACAATAGGACCAGTACTTTCGCTGGGTAGCTCGATTTGTAACAAATATTCAGCGATGATTTGCAATTTTTGTACGTTGGCCTGTAGGGGAATCACCAGGCTAAAGTTTGTGTTCACAAACGGCCACTTTATTTGTATTAGAATGTCGTCAAAATCCCTGAAAAGGGAAATTATGTACAGAGTGTCTTTTTTAAACCTATTTATTACTTAATATTTATTGGATTGGATACACTTTTCGTTTGACAGATGTCAGATTGAAAAAAAGTAAGGTTAAACCCGTCTGACAGAATCGGATGTCAAATTCGTAAAAAGTGAGGTTAAATTTAAATCGCTCGACAGTTGTTAGATTTTAGATAAAATGGAAAGGAAAAAATATAGGTACTTTCTTATCATTGATTACATTGATTATAAAAATTGTAATGATTTTTTTATTACAAATAATGTTGGTACTGTATTTCAATATATTTTGGTATTTTTATTATTTAAAAATGGTACTCCTGTTTATTTTGCAAATATTATTTAATTTCTAGATAAAAAAAATTCTAAACGAAAAGAAATTTAAAAAAACAACATTTTGATCACAATCCACACAACAAGGTCTGTTCTATCTCGTACTAAAAATACAAAAAATCACTGCAACACTGCACAGTTTAACGGCGGCCATTTTTGTTGTTTGGGTTTGTGCTCTGTTTATACAGATTAATAATAGTTTTAAACGTTGTGTTTCTCATAGTAAGCCTTAAAAGAGGCCTTAAAGTGCTAAGAACAACCATTTTACTCCTCTATTGAAAAAATTAACTTTATTCTATCAGGGCTGTCATAAAACTGTCAAATGTCAATTTTAAGGTTAAATTATAACCCACAAATTAACCTTCAAATTGTCATTTGACAGCCCTGATATAATAAGGTATATTTATTATAAAAGAGGAGTAAAGTGGTTGTCCTTAGCACTTAAAGGCCTTATTTGAGGCTTACAAGTGCCTCTGTAAGAAAAATAACGTTTAAAACAATTATTAAACAGCACAAACCCAAAGCACAAAAATTGTAAACAACAAAAATGGCCGCCATTAAACTGTGCAGTGTTGCAGTGATTTTTAGTATTTTTAGCATGAGATAGAACAGACCTTGTTGTGTGGATTGTGCCACAATCATTTTGGTTTTGATGAAATAATTAATTTATGCTTCATTAATTCACTAAATTATTTTGTTTTACTCAATGTAGCCAATTATAAAATTAGGGTCCCTAGAAATTGCTAACTAAACCATCAAATTTTTAACGTCAAATTCCGAATGAAAAAAAAATTACTTTTATGACATCTGACAACTGTCAAGCGGTTTTAACCTCACTTATGCCCACTTGTAACTTAAAACCCTAGTATATTTAAATGTAGATGTAGATAATATACTACACAAACCATGTTATATACAAATCAGGACTGATTCTGTCAAAATCTGTCTAAGAAAAATGTCAAAAATTATCAAGAAACTTTATCCTTTATTTAACAGAGTTTTGATTAAAAAACATGACCTGCCTTCCCAAACTGCAGGGGGTTTATTCCTCCCTGACCAGAAAAAGGAAAATATAAGAGAAGGTACAGTTTTGGCAGTTGGACCCGGGATGGTTAAAGATGATGGTGTCCATGTACCGATAAATTTGGATATTGGAGATACAGTTTTAATACCTGATTTAGGAGGAACAAAAGTTAAAGTTGAAGACAAGGAATACTACATTTTTAGAGATAATGAAGTATTATTGAAAGTTAATATGTAGAGTGTACTTACTTTGCTAGTTTTTCTTTTAATACATTGTGCCAAAAATGTAGAGTTTCCTTTAAATAACTCCTTAAATGAGTGGCAGGTAAGTCGGCTAAATTTCGGCTTATTTCACATAAATTGGCAAAAATTGTTGCACACTTTTCGTCGTCTTTTTTGCCCACTTCTTTTTGTAACTCTTCACTAGAAAAATAACATTATTAACCTTATTAACCCTTAAAACCTAATTACCTTAAAAACTCTATTTGTTGGATAACCCTCATATATTGCAGTGTGCATTGCAAAGTGTTTAATTTGTAAAACTGTATTTTGGTCTCCTTTCTAACCTCATCGATTTCATCCAAATCCTTGTTGATTTTTTCAACTATTTCTCGCGCATTTTCAGTCGCGCTATCACATTGTATTATAAGGCTTTCAGCTCTCTGAACTGTTTGTCCCAAATTGTGCTCTGTATTTTTAACATCCAACTAAATAAATTTATAAATATTAAGCCTTATAACGAGGGTTGTTTATATTACCTACCCTGTTTTCCAAATCAAGTCTCCTTTTTTGCAACTCCTCAAAAATTTGTCTACATTTTACAGGATCAATGAAATCCCTGCCGTATTTTTCGTTTAACTCACTTAAAATCCTACTTTTAGCCTCACTATCCATTGCAAAATAAACCACATTAATCTGTTTTCATTATAAAAAAAATATAACCCTATTTGTTCAACAAATTCTGACACATGAACCTAACCTGTCATAAGTAGTTCCAATAATCCGATTATAAAGCTAATGGGATTTCATTTCCCAAATAATTTCATTAGATTAATTGGATTATCTTAATATACAACAAAGTTGTGTATTATTTCATCATTTTTCATTCAATTTCAAGTGTAACACTTTATAATGCAATAAAAAATTGCTTTTCCACAGTAGTAATAGTGTAGTTCAAATGTTCTATCATAACCTAAAAGTTTGTTTTTGAGTTTTTTGCGATAAAAATGCTTTATTTATTGATTTTATTTGGTGAAATTGTTATATAATGATCGGTGGACGATTAATAATACTCATTTTATATATTGTTGGTGTTTATGTGTTTAGTTTTATTATTGGAGTCGCAAATTTGTTTACTTTTAACAATGTTTCACTGGAAAGTTTAGTAAACAAAACTTTCGATTACATTATAGGTGAGGAATTTAATTATTCGATACACAGGGTATTACTAATTATTTTTTAGTTGGTAGTGGTTCTGCAGGGTCTCTATTAGCCAAACGTTTATCACAAAATAAAAATCTTACAATTCTCCTAATCGAAAGTGGTGGAGATGTTAGGCCTGGCTTTTTGGACATCCCATCATTGGGTTTAATGCTACAAGGCACTGCATATGACTGGAAGTATACCACAGTGCCCCAAAAATGGGGGGCATATGGATTGGCGGGAAATGTAAGTCAATTATTGTTGTCATTAAATTATTGTGATTATTTTTGTAATGTTAAGAGGAGTAAATGGCCTATGGGCAAACTGGTGGGTGGCACTGCACAATTTAACAACCTAATGTACTTAAGGGGCCATCCAGATGATTTTAAAGAGTGGTATAAAGATTTACCTAGTTTTGATTACAAAAGAGATATTTTACCATATTATAAAAAACTAGGTATTAGTATATAGTTTTTACTTTACTTATTATTATTAAAAAGGATTTTTGTAGAATCAACAGGTGATTCATTTTTAAGTAGACTACCTTTTACATCATCTGCAGCTGAATATGCTCTTAATGCCTTTAAAAGTTTGGGTTATAATGTCAATAAAAATCAACTGGATAGTTTTGTTGGTAAATATTGTAGTTTTTATGTCTTTATTTACAATTTTGTTAGCATAATTATTTTGCTGATCACTACTCTAGCTATGCATGCACTTTGGACATTATTTATTTTAAATTTCAGTGTTTCAGAAGATTATGCCAAAATTGAAAATTAGCAAAAATTCCAATTCTCAATTTTAATTTTAAGAGGTTGCCCACTAAATTTAAAAATTTGAAATAACACAAAATGATTTTTATTCATTATTTCTGTATGCTGTTTTTTTGTATAATTGACTGATTAAAGGATAAAATCATTAAATTCTCTACAAAAAACTCTAATCACTCAAGTTTCTACCTATTGCTCACAATCCACACAACAAGGTCTGTTCTATCTCATGCTAAAAATACTAAAAATCACTGCAACACTGCACAGAGTTTAACGGCGGCCATTTTTGTTGTTTACAATTCTTGTGCTTTGGGTTTGTGCTGTTTAATAATTGTTTTAAACGTTGTGTTTCTTACAGAGGCACTTGTAAGCCTCAAATAAGGCCTTTAAGTGCTAAGGACAACCATTTTACTCTTTTTTTATAATAAATATACCTTATTCTATCAGGGCTGTCAAATGACAATTTGAAGGTTAATTTGTGGGTTATAATTTAACCTTAAAACTTACATTTGACAGTTTTATGACAGCCCTGATAGAATAAAGTTTATTTTTTACAATAGAGGAGTAAACTGGTTCTTCTTAGCACTTTAAGGCCTCTTTTAAGGCCAGACCCCTCTTTCCCATTGGGCACTTTGGGCAAGTGCCCAGGGCCCCGGGATCGACAGGGGCCCCCCCTCAGATCAAATACAATGTAGTTATAATTTGTCAAGAAACTGAAAAATTAACTAGACAAATGTCAAATAAATTTAAATTTAAAAATAGTGCCATGTATATAAGTAATAAAGTATTGTATAATGTACAGTCAGTATTTTCAAATTCTGCAATGATTGATCATATAAAGAACCAAGATATATTGGACAATCATAGAATTCTTCTGATTAAAAAAATTATTGCTATATTTTTAAGCTCCAGACTAAAATTGGGAAGGTAAAAGGCTTTTGAAAAACCAGAATATGTTAGACAAAAACTACATAAGCTAATTTTATTTAAAAATCAATAAAATATTGTTTTTCTTTATTTATTCTTTATTATTTATTTATAAAATATCCTAATTATTAGAATCATGTTTGCATATGGTTTATTTTATGTTTGTTTTTATAACTTGTATTATTATTTATAATTTTATTTGTACCAAATATGCTTGAATTAAATTGGGGGTTTAAAAATTAATACTTGTATTTCTTTTACCTAACTAATTTTAAAATAATGTTATATCAATGTAAGTAAATTCACAATCTAGAGTCCCTTTTTTTACAAGTAAGTATACTTATAAATCTTATGCTTATAGAAAAAGGAAGTATACCTTACACTTTTCCCTTGAAAACTCTCAATTCTGAAGAGTTGAGACAAAGTTGCAAAGAATTTGCTGAATTTTATTATGAAGATGTTAATGAGAAAGAGTTAGAAATAGAATGTTTGCATTTAACAGAATACTTGAAAATTGATGACGTTGAAAATAAGGATTGTATATTAAAAATATATCAACTTTTGAAAGAAGACACATTTCCAAATGTAGAAATCGCATTGAGAATCTTTTTAAGCATGATGGTAACTGCAGTGGAGAACGCTCCTTCCCCAAACTAAAAAGAATTAAAAATGAATTAAGAAGTACAATGCTTCAAGAGAGATTAACCATTTGTCGCTGATGTCCATAGAATCTGATGTGCTAAAAAGCATAGATTTTGAAGAAGTGATTAACGATTTTGCCCATCTGAAATCTAGAAGGGTTCCTCTTCAAAGAGCATATATTTTTAAGCACTAATCTGTAAATGTTAAAAAAGTTACTTTTGTGGATTAATATAGTAATATGTAATATCATTTATCTATTCGTTTCATGTGATTGTAAATAAAAATAAATATTTATCCTTGTTTATCTACTTTCTTTGTCTATTCTAACAAAATAGTGTTCTGTCAAAGTCATAGGGGCCCCATTATCCTAACATGCCCAGTAGGGTGACCGCAACTCATAGGGGGTGGAAAAAAATGTCGGAATTTTGTTCGTCTGGACCCCACAAAACGATTCTCCTTTCCAGATATTGAGTTAGCCGAAATTTGAGCTCAATTAAACGACGTTAACCCGTGCCGCTCGTCGCTCAAAGTTTGAAAAAATCCAAATTTTTGGCAAAAAAACTGACATATGGAGCCATAACTCCAGAACGGTAAATAATAAAAATACGCTTAATATCTCAAAAGAAAGCTAATGTTGTTCTTCAAAATTTGTAATCTATACATAATTGTTCTTATTTTAAGTCAAACCGAGTTACAATAGCCTTTAGCCCCAAAAACATGACCTGGTACCACTAGGAGCATACTTCGTATATTTTGTTATTAAGTGATAAATTTTGCTTTTTTTGGTATATTTTTGAGTTTAAAGTAGAAGTATAATAAAAAACAAGTAATACTGATAAATCTAATGACATTTTTTATTTTAAAATATAAAAATTAGGTATATAATACATACAAAACAGACACAGAAAAGAGACAGACGTAGTAACTACATGAGTTGATTTTACATAGTTATCTAATCTATTCTAGAGCTTTTGTTAAAGTAGTTTTTGAAACGTCAGGATATAATGCTCGGCATTTGCTTACAACTTGCAGGACATATTGCTTTTGGCCTTCATCTTTAGTCAGAAGGTTGTTAAAGTCGGTTATTAATTTAACACCACGCTCAGCCATATCATTAACTACCTTTAATGTTTTGACAATTTTCAATCCTTCTTGGAAGTCATTATTTTGAGGCCAGGTGTTTGGATGTTGTCTTAGGAAATCTGCTTTTATATAAAATCTGTTAAATAATGTAAATGTTTCTTTGGTGAGTAAATTTACCAATCCTCCATCAACTACCTCTTTTAATTTTTCTTTCCTAACTTTTGGATTTACAACCCTAGCGTGCTCTGATGGTTCTGTGCTACTGACCAATTTATTAGCCAGTAACAACTTTTCATCGTCTGTAATGGTGGGATCAAAAAAAGATAATCCCACCAACTCTGCACCTTCTTGGATTTGTCGGTTCATTTTTGCAAGTTCCTTTTGCGCCTTGATTTCTTCAGCTCGAGACAACTTGAGATCCACTCCAGTCATGGAACCTGGGCGGCCCTTCTGCCTCTGTTTCACGAGAAACGCCTTATCTTCTTACGATTTCATCAGAGCCAAGGCATCTTGCTGAGCAATATCAAAGAGATCATCCAACTTTTCAACGAACTGTTTAAATTTGTTCTTAGCCGTTTCCGATGTTTTCTTCCGGTCTTTTTAAAGAGTTCTCCACTCGGCGTAAAGTTTTTCCAGCTTAGTAATTGCATCTTGCTCATGTTTAGTCGGAATTCGAGCTTTCTCCCAAAAAATGAACACTTCTCGTATGGCAAGTTTTGCTGATTCTCTTACAGTTAATTTCACAGCACGTAAATTATAAAATAAAACACAAAAAACATGACGATTTGAGGGTAGTTTACAACCGGTGATTTGGTGAATGGGATAGCCCACAAGAAATATTTTATCCTTGGTTTGGCTTTGTACACCTGATGTGGATGCCATTTTATCCGTAAAACATAAGCATACCACTCTATAGGCCGTCTTATATTTTTCTAATTCATACCCAATAAAAGCATTAATGCAAATAATTGTATAAATTAAATATAATTACCTACCTGATTTTTTGTTAAAACTTAACCTTTACCTTTATTTAGTAAAATACACGGAGGTAAAACTAAATAATAATTTTTGGAGCAAATAGTAAAAATAATTTTAAAGAGCCTTTTGTTTAAATTTAATCTTTTATTATATGGGGATTACCTGACTATTAGTCTGACTATATTTGAACAAAAGGCTCTTTTTGTTCAAAAATTAAGTTCCAAAATAGTTTTTAATAAAAAATGTTAATTCCGAGACACATTATGTAAAAACCCGTAAAACTCTTAGAATACACCCAAACTGGCTCCTAATGCTGCCAGGGCACGTTTTTGGGGTCAAAGGCTGTTGTAACTCTGTTTGACTTAAAATAACAACAATTATGTATAGTATATAAATTTTGAAGAACAACATTAGCTTTCTTTTGAGATATTAAGCGTGTTTTTATTATTTACTGTTCTGGAGTTATGGCTCCATATGTCAGCTTTTTGACCAAAAATTTGTATTTTTTCAAACTTTGAGCGACGAGCGGCACGGGTTAACGTCGTTTAATCGAGCTCAAATTTCGTCTATCTCAATATCTGGAAAGGGGAATCGTTTTGTGGGGTCCAGACGAACAAAATTCCGACATCGATTTTTTGCGGTCACCCTAATGCCCAGGGCCTCCAATAGGTTAAAGACGGCCCTGTTTAAGGCTTACTATGAAAAACACAACGTTTAAATCGATTATTAATCTGTATAAACAGAGCACAAACCCAAAGCACAAAAATTTACTAAATTTACTAAAACACTAAAATATTAAATTTTCTTTTTTAAATTAAGCGTTTTTTAGGTCTGGTAAGTAGACTATTGATAGTAGGTAGCAAATTTGTAGTTTAATTAATTCCCTACAAATTTATTTTTAAAAAATTTTGTTGTATCTTTAACAGTTAAAAAGTTATTTGCTCATCAAGTCTTGTATTTTTAAGAAAGCAAATATTCTTTGTGAAACATGCTTTTTTTAAATCATACAAAAATAATGCCATATTTTAAGGTGTTTAACGGCTGAACGGATTTCGATGGACTTTGCTAAGAAGGTCTTCTTTTGAAACACTCTGTAACTTTTATTTGTACCTAGTGTTTGGCATCAATAAAATGCATGTTTTTTTTTTCATTCACATAAATATCAGAAGCTTAAAAATCGTTTTGTAGTAGTAGGTATCCAAAATGAATTATAGGTTTTGGAAGTCCTTACGTCAACATAAAAAACGGAAAAAGATGGACAAGTTTCCATCAATTATTATCACATGACCGTCCAAATGTGTTTCTATTAAGCCACACAACAGCCCTTGAGGTACTTTTTAGAAGTAACTATGAAGCATATGGCGTTAAGTACATAAGATCAGGTGAAACTGTTGTTTCCCTGGCTAGACATGGAGTCATATTGTCTGCTGGAGTAATAGGAAGTCCTAAGTTGTTGATGATGTCAGGTAATTAATTGTGTCTAGAATTTGGGACACAATATATTCTTCTATATTTCAGGGGTGGGCGTTAAAAGTCATCTGCAAAGCGTTAATATTGAAACCAAGTTGGATTTACCGGTAGGTGATAACCTGCAGGATCATATCACCACAGGATTTTCTCTGGTGACTTTCAACGACACCTTAGATTTTGGGGTTGGTATTAGCACCATGTTGAACCCTTTAACGGCTCTGGAATACTTTCGAACGCAATCAGGGCCGTGGACCACAGTGGGCTGTGAAGTAAATGGATTTATCAACACTAAAAACCCTAAAAATCCACTGGCACAACCTGATTTGCAACTCATGATGCTACCACTGGGCATTGAGGAAGATTCCGGGTTGTATCTGAGAAAATTGATGGGTATTAGCGATGCAACGTGGTACAACTACTTCCACCACGTCAACAAATCCATCGCGGTGTTGCCAGTTCTGCTGCACCCGAAAAGTAGAGGTACAGTGCGTCTCGAAAGCAAAAACATCGATAAACAACCCTTGATAGATCCCAACTATCTCAGCGTGGAAGACGATGTCGAAACTTTATACGAAGGAATACAAATCGTTAAGAAATTTGTCGACGCAGAGCCGATGCGAAACCTTGGCGCGGAACTGAACGCTCTACCCCTGCCAGGTTGCGAACATTTGACGTTCGACAGCGAGCCCTATTGGTTCTGCTACCTACGTCACATGACGTACACAGCCTACCATCCGGTTGGAACTTGCAAAATGGGCGCGGACGACGCTAGCGTGGTAGGTTATGATTTCAAAGTCAGGGGTACCAATCGGTTGTACGTTGTTGACGCCTCAGTGTTCCCAACCTTAACCAGTGGGAATGTTAACGCAGCTGTCTTGATGATGGCTGAAAAAGCTGCTGATGTCATTTTGGAGCAGTTATTTTTGAAAACAGGGTTTTGTTGTATACTTGAGATATTTAAAATGAAGACTGTATGTGAGATATGAAACCATTATTTTTAGGAATTATAATAATAAACTAATTTTAATAAATAAAATAAGGTTTTTTATTTCACTTCTATTTATTATGAAGATCATATTACAATATTGCTATTTACTTAGCATTATTAAACAAACTGTCCGAAATTACAGATATGCAAAAAAGACTAGAAATACAGGGTGTTCCATAATTGGCACCCCAAAGGGTAAAGGTAAATTCTACTTGTACATTTAATGGAAATTTACCTTTACCCTGTGGGCTATCAATATTGAGACACCCTGTATCATTTTGACAGTTTGTTCAATGCACACTAATTAGTAATTACAAAAAATACCACCAGGTATACTCTCTATACATAAAATAAATTAACACAATTTTTGGGGGCTAAAAACACACAAAATTTACAAAAATATGCCCCCCTTTTATTGTTAGGTTGTTCAAAAAATCCTAAATTATTATAACTAAGGTTTAAATCTTTGGTTTGAAATATAATACAACATTCTTAAGAGATTAAACACGTTTTTTAAACACTAAACACAATTTAAAATGGTACAGTTAATGTAATGTGTTTAGTTTTCTTGGACGGAAGAATTAAGGCATTTTTTAGAATAATTTGTCAAATAAAATATTTAACAGTTTTAATATTTAAAACAAATTTTAGTTAAATATAATAAATTTCTTAAAAAACAACATAAAAGTCAGAATTCTATTAGGTGTGGTTTGTGCTATACCTGTAAGTTAAAACCAGTATATTTTCGCCGTCACTGATCTAATTATATTAAAATTTGTACAAAGTCAATATTATTAATATATAAAACTTGTGTAAAAATTTCATAATGATATTTTAATTAGTTTTTAATATAATTCAATTTTTAACTTCCTTTAATCATTTAAACCCTTATAAAATCGCCGCCACTGGGCCGATTGAATTAAATTTGGTTCAGGATTAAAATTAATACCACACAAATATGGTGTTGAAATTTCATGAAGATATCTTTATTGTTTTTTTATTAAATTAATTTTGGCGACTTTTCTGCCATTTAAAACCAGTATATTTTTGCCGCCACTGATCCAATAAAATTAAAATTTGTACAGAGTCAATATTATTAATATATAAAACTTGTGTACAAATTTCATAAGGATATTTTAATTGGTTTTTAATTTAATTTAATTTTTAACTTGCTTTAAAAAGATTTTAATTATTTAAACCCTTATAAAATCGCCGCCAATGAGCCGATTGAATTAAAATTTATTAGGGATTAAGATTAATACCACACAAATATCGTGTTGAAATTTCATAGTGATATCTTTATTGGTTTTTCCTTAAATTAATTTTGGCCACTTTTCTGTTATTTAAAACCAGTATATTTTCGCCGCCACTGATACAATAAAATTAAAATTTGTACAGAGTCAATATTATTGATATATAAAACTTGTGTACAAATTCCATAAAGATATTTTCATTGGTTTTTAAGTTAATTTAATTTTTAAGTTGCTTTAACAAGATTTTAATAATTTAAACCCTTATAAAATCGCCGCCACTGAGCCGATCGAATTAAAATTTCTTAGGGATTAAGATTAATACCAAATCAATATGCTGTTGAAATTTCATAAAGATATCTTTATTGTTTTTTTATTAAATTAATTATGGCTACTTTCCTGCCAAATTAAAAACAGTATATTTTCTCCGCCACTGATCTAATAAAATTAAAATTTGTACAGAGTCAACATAATTAATATATAAAACTTGTGTAAAAATTTCATTAAGATATTTTGATTGATTTTTAATTTAATTTAATTTTTAACTTGCTTTAACAAGATTTAAATCATTTAAACCCTTATAACATCGCCGCCACTGAGCCGATTGAATTAAAATTTGTTGGGGATTAAGATTTATACCCCACCAATATGGTGTTAAAATTTCATGGTGATATCTTTATTGGTTTTTCCTTAAATTAATTTTGGCCACTTTTCTGCCATTTCAAAAATCAATATTATTTAACTTAAACCCAGAGGGCGAGCACAAAACAGTTGAAACGGTTTCTGACTTTTCCCAACATTTTAAAAACTTGTAGTAAATGGACATGGAATTTAGAACTTAAATTTGGTCGTCCTTGAGCGATTCTCTAAATAGCAAAGGTACAATATTGACCATTTTTGCTTTAGCTGTCAAAATTACAAGAATGAAAAAAATTGCATTCATTTTATTTACAAACAGCACACGTGTGTTGAAAAGGCACAAGTCACTCTGTGTATTGTATTACCAATGCAAAAATTACACGTTTGATAGAGAAACCCCATTTACAATAAAATTTACAAAAATCCCCCTTGTTTCGCTCATAGGGAGTCCAAAAGCGAGTCCAGCATCTCCAATTGGCACTCGTCCCACCCGTTCGTGGCCAATAGGAGACCGGTCAGTTCGTCCTCGCCCAATACCGCGCTCACCGGCTCCGTAACCACGCCCTGATTAGGCATCGACGCCGGCACAAACGGCCTGCCACCCTCCTCCTTAACGTCAGTCTTGCTTTTCCTATCCGCCTCTTTCTTCTGTCTCTTGTCGTCGAAGTTCTCTATGTCCGTCTCCCCGCATATCTGTATGTTGGAGAGGATGTTGTGTTTCCTCTCCCCCGTGCTCTGCGACGGCCGGTAGCGTTTCGGTTTCCTCGGAGGTTTGGGGGGCTGCGAGTGCGGTCGGTTGCGCGGTTGCCGCACCGTCAGGCTGGAGCGCCGTTTCGCCCGTCGGGATTCCTGCAGCCTTTCAAGGTCGAGTTTCCAGAAACCTCCTTTACCGGGTTCGTCTTTCGATCGGGCCACCTTCATGAAGCACTTGTTCAGAGAGAGGTTGTGCCTTATGGAGTTCTGAAAATGGAAAATTATATATTTATTTGAGTGCGTTCCACCAACTTCAATTTGAATTTAAAGTCTGACAGCTGTGTCGACTTATATTGGGTCTCATCAGTGTGGGACAACTTGGTGTAGTGGAACTCATCGAAAACAAAATACCACCTGAGCTTATATACTGGTTAAGTACGCCAACAGAGGCGAGATGTACTATCATGGACACCAACACAAGCAAATTTATGTTCAGTATACTTTTAATTTATCTTTTTGACTTGTCATACTAACCATTTTCTGTTGTTATATGATTAATAAATTAATTAGTGATTTTTGAAAAAAATATTATTATTATTATTTGTTTGTGTCTACAACAGATTTTAGAAAAATTGATTTCATCGCATTAAAAATTACAAATTGTTTGGAAAATTGTCATATTTTGCATAATATAATTTAATTTCACACGGCGCTTCATTCCGCTATGAGGGTGGGTGTTTCGTAACATTAACCGTTGTATTAATTCTAGAATAAAATCTAAAATTCTGTTTTTTTGCAGACTTATACTTGAAATGTGAGCGCTTATAATAGCAATATAGAAATTTTAAAAATTTCTAAAGATTTTGAAAAAAATTTTGCAATATAGAATTATCAAAATCATGCATCAAAAACTTTACCCTGCGGAGAGCTATGTGAATTATTGAAAATTTCTATACATATATATCGAGTTAAATGTAGTCAGAACGTTGACAAAGTTTTTAAAACAAAAATTATTTAATTATTTGAACGGTTACAGAAATATGAATTTTTATATTAGCAATTTCAATTTAAAATATAAACACATCCGTGAGGTTAGTTAACGGGTAAACTCTTAATTTAATTTTGCCTATAAAATAATATTATATAGCGAAAAACAAACAAAAAATCATTTAGTTCAAATATTTTTATTGATTTTTTTAAATAAAGAAATATTTGTTACAAAAAATCATCCTTATAATTACTAACCATTGTCTGTTGTAGTTATATGATTAATAAATTAATTAGTGATTTTTGAAAAAAAAAATTGTCCCAAAAATATTATTATTATTATTTCTTTGTTTGTATCTACAACCGATTTTAGAAAAATTGATTTATTGGCATTAAAAATTACAAATTTTTTGGAAAATTGTCATATTTTGCATAATATAATTTAAAAAGAATTTTAATTTCACACGGCGATTTTATTCCGCTATGAGGGTGGGTGATTCGTAACATTAATCGCTGTATTAATTCTAGAATACAATCTAAAATTCTGATTTTTTGCAGACTTATACTTGAAATGTGAGCGCTTCTAATAGCAATTCAAAAATTTTAAAAATTTCTAAAGATTTTGAAAAAAAATTTTGCAATATAGAATTATCAAAATCGTGCATCAAAAACTTTACCCTGCGGCGAGCTATGTGAATTATTGAAAATTTCTATAGTTTAAAAAAAAATTAAGTCGCCAACTTCAACGGTTGTAGAAATTTTTATCAAAGAGTCCTGAAATGCGCGCTAGAATAATACATCATACATATAACTGGAAACAAATTTTCGATCGCAAAAAGGAAAAATGCACCGATACTTGATTTAACTACCTAAACCACGTATAGCCACATACTATGCAACCAAGAATGCACGGCAAATTGTATAACAGATACTAATATGGCCTAAAGGAATCTAGAATTAGCCCATCCGAGTTAAACAGTAAGGTGAACATTTAATTTTCTTAGTTTGTTCAAGAAACTTTCCTGACCCATTACTGGTATAAAATGTTTTAAAATAAAGAAATAGCTACTAAATATTTAATCCTTTTAACGGTAACTTGAACTACACAGCATGTTGGTTTAACCTTTTCACAGTTGACTCAAATAAATAAATATAGGTAGGTAGTTAAATAAACTATTCCTTTTTTTCTGTCTAGTTAGGAATTTAAAAAACATCTTAACAATATTACCTGCCAACTGGGGTGGGCTTTCCTGTAGTACAAAAAATTCTCTCTTATCCAGTGGTATATAGCCGACAACGTCATCTTGTTGCCGTTTTTTCCCATCGCCATGCATATCAAGGTGGCGTAGGAAAAGGGCGGTTTCTTGTCGCCATTCTTCTTGTAGAAGTTGATGTTGATCGTCAAGTCTTCCTGACCCGAGGCGCTGGACTTCTTCTTGGGCTTGGGCGACACAGGCGGCGTCGGCAGGTTGGGAACCGACATTATGTTGGTGATGTTGTGCAACCAGTTCAGACTGGTGAGGTCCGTTTCCGGAGTTTCCTCCGCTGTTTCGCTCTGCGGGCTCAACATGGTGCTAGGTTGGCTGTTCTCGTTGTTCAAGGTCGTCAGGATGAGGTTTTCATCTAGGAGGCTGTTCGAGTTCGAGTCGTGCATGTCTATGTCGTCTGTATTCGCGACTGTCTCTTCGTACATCAGCTCCGAGTTGTAGATGATTTGCTCTTCGAAGAACTGTATCTCCACGATTTGAGTCTCAGGAATGCTGATGAGGTTCGTGGACTCGACCTCGATGCAGCTTTGTACGTCGTTGGGCAGGTATTCTGGACTTTGAGCTTCGAGCATGGGGATGTTCTGCAGCATCTCCAGAGTGCTCGGTTCCACTGAGCTGTCCATCTTATCTGATACGTCGCAGAACATATCTTTGGACGGATAGGTGAAGGTCATTGTTCGCATGTCAGAATTTTCCATATCCATGCCTTCCAATGTCATTTTTGAGCAATAATGAGCAATTTTTTTCGGTAGTATGAGCTTTTTGAGTTATCACATCGTTTTATTTGAGATTTGATTTTGTGGCGGTCATTTCTGCAACAAATTGTAAAATTGAAAAATGATGTTCGTGTTCTAGGTAATGTGTGTTATTAATTGCAAGGGAAACTTATGTTTGACCTATAACCTACTTTTTATTGTAAATATACTCAACGTGAGTCCACCATGTTATTATGTACCTTTATCTACCTATATATAGATATTAATATACTAATAATTTTATGACATTTAAGTTATTTTCAATATTGCAAACATATTGTTTTTACCTCTAAAAACAATGATATTATTCATCCAACGGCGGGATAGTTTAACATTTATTATGATTTTGTGGAACACTTAAAAAATAGCTACATGAGCATCAATCGACGTAAAAAGTACCTAAAAATAGCTGAGTATGCAAAAAAAAACAATTATCAACAAAGTAATCTATGATAATAGAAATGTAAATTTTTGATGAATGTAGATTATTGGCCACTGTGCAAGCATATTTTGCGCCGGTTGTCATAGGTCAAGAACAAGCAGTGGCGGCCCAAAATTTCTACTTTATTTATAAAAAATTTAACGATTTTTTTTATAAAAAATGGCACTATAGCAAAAAAAGAGGAAAAACTTTCTTCTTTTGCTTAAAGGATGACAACTTACCTATTTGTTTACCTAAAGTTTGTTATGGGTTGGGGCAAAAAAGTTTTCAGGGGTTTTAATCGTTAAAAGTATTTTGCAATTTTATTTTAGAACAGAGACTGTTAAAATTTGAAAAAATTGAAAAAAAAAATTGACGAGTTTATTACTTTCCGAAATGTCAATGAATGACGGTTTTTGTCAAAAAATTAAATAATTATAGTAAATTTAAAAGTAAACTACGTACACGTCATCAATCAGCTGATCGGGCACGGTTGTCAATGTTATGCTAAAATCCTTGCATCAAGGGAAAGTGGTAGTGCAACTATAGGGCGATAGATGGCGTTTACATGAATAATACCAAAATGTCAAAAGTCTGAGTTTTTATAACCTATATGATGCACCGCCAAAAGTATGTTTTTAGCCATTTTTAAAGACATTTTCTGATATAAAACCCAAAAATTTTGCCATCTAAAGTCAGTCTCTGGTATATATATTATTATTTCATGTATCCAACATATATTTTGTTAAATATTCTAATATATAATTAATAATAATCCTATTTACCTCTCTAACAGCTGTTAAAGGTAACAAAGGTCCATTATTATCCCGTTCTGCCTCAAAATAGCGTATTAAGGATGACACCAACTCTTGACTCCGACTATTTAAATGCTTCGGCATTTTAAATATAGGAAACACAAAACAACGATATATAACAAACACAAAAACGGCAATGAACTTAAACGATATAAAATAACACAAACAACAAACAAAATAAACGAAATATTCAAAAACACAACTGACAGCTTCGAAATTCTAAAACGTCAAATTCTTTTTTATGTGTCATTTAAATATGAAAAATTTGAATGTAAACATGACAACATCACAATTGTTGCCAACTTAATTTGGTTAAAATGCATTCAAATATTCAATTACAGACTTCGATTTAGTCATTTAGTGTTGGTACCAATGCGTAACATTTTTGTTTTATTGATGACGTGTACGTAGTTTACTTTTAAATTTACTATAAATCATCATAACTTTGTTACTATCAACAAATTTTACCTTTTTATATTTGAAACGTTATAAAAAAGTGTTTTAAATCGTTTATATATTTAAAACATGAAAATAATAATTAATTTTTAACTTAAAAACAACAATAAAGAATTATTCATCATTTAGTTGCAAAATTGGCGAATGCTCCGGGATAGCAGCGTTTTGCGGAAAAAATGCAATAACTTTTTTATTACAAATAACTATCAATTGTTTTCTTTTTTACTGTATTATATAAGGATTAATACGTATAATTAACTATATTTTAATCAAAAAACATAACGGTTTTTAACTTTTAAATGCGTTTTCAGATGTCAATTGTGGAAATAACCCAATATTTTTTTTATTTTTTACTTTGTTAAATAAGACTTATTACGTATAATTAACTAAATTTTAATAAAAAACATAACGGTTTTTATTTTTTAAATGCGTTTTAGAAGGTCCTAGAGCATTAATTGAGGAAATAATCAAAAAACTTTTTTATTGCAAAGAAATATATAAAGTTTACTGAACAACCTCATGTAGATATCAACGTGGAAATCGGACGCAATCGTAGTTAAATGCCTATTTTCTCTTAATTTTATCAATGTGTCTTTAAAATGTTATAACTTTTAATTTTAATTTTTTTATTCAAATGGGATTTTTTGTAGTTATGTAAAGTTTAAAGTACACCTTAAAGTTTAAACTTATTTAGAGAAAAATATACATTTTTTTGTTCGATTAAAAGATATAGTTTATTAAATATTAAAAATATATATATTTTAATAAAATCTATTGCTTAAATATGTTTTTAAAGAATTATCGTCATAAAAATACACATAATAAAAAGTTTTTAAAAATGTATTTTTTCCGCCGATAAACCATAGTGCTATACCGGAGCATTCGCCAATTTTGCAACTAAATGATGGATAATTCATTAATTTTGTTTTTAATTTAAAAAAGTTAAATCTAATTTTTAATAGGGTGAATTATTATAATTATTGTTTAAAATTTTGATATTTCAAACCAAATACTGTAATCTAAATAGGCATTGTGTATTAAATTAATGTATAAGACCACATGTCTCTAATATATAACACCATATAACAAAGAATAAAAAATCAATTATTAAAGCACATCGTACCTCCAAAATCAAAAAAATCACTAAACACTTCACTAACGTAATTTTTTGAGGAGAAAAAACAATTGGCCACAAGTGATGGAGCCCATGGCTGGCGCTAAATTTCCCGATTTTCTTCGAGAGAAAAGCGGTCGATTTCGACCGCTGTGACGTCATCCAGGCTGACCATAGCCATCGCGATCAATAATTTTCCCCGTAAGGGGGAGGGGCACGGCGGCTCGTCCCCCCCATCTATCTCAATTGCCCCCAATAAATAATATTTTGTTGGAAAGTTTGCCTGTTTTGCCAATGTTTTTTTGCGATTAGGGGTCGTCTATTTTTTCAAAGGGGGTGCGCACCTGTCCACATCCGACGTGGTAAAATTACTAATAAAATAAAAACGATTTTTTTTATTTTCATTTTCTTGTTTTGTAGTCACTTGTATCGATCGGAATTCCTTGGTATTCGGTATTGTGCTGAAATTTCCATTTCCCATTCATGAAACTTTTCTAAGAAATACCGATTATATCGTTTTAAACGAGTTCCTTTTAATATAACGATTATTCAAAAATTCAAAAAAATTTCATTTTATGATTCTACAAAAGTTGGGCAAGTTTTAACCTTATTTTGATTATATAGTTTTCGGAGAGATTTTGTTATGAGAACATAGATAATATAATAAATATACTATTCCAGACCAAGCCAGTCACTTTTTCAAAAAGTTTCCGAAATATCTGTGTTTTCTAAATTTGAATGCAAGGAAAAGTGACGAGTACACCAGGGTACTAATTAAATACATAATTTATTGGAAAATATAAGATTTATTGCAACTTTGAGCATATTATACATTAAATATCTTAAAATCAAATAATACCACACATCAGTGGCGGCTGGTGGATTTTGGGTATACCGATATCTCAATTATTAGATATGGAACCCACGCCAAATTTATATGAGTCTATAATGAACATCGAACATGGAACTGACGACACGGTACTGATGAATGGGATACAAATTTGAGATTATAATTCGGAATTAAGTATTTTACTGATATTTTTTATTAATGGATCAACAAATCACATATAGCCTTATATAAATTACAACGAAATTTATATACGTAAGAAAATAACTACTCACCACAGTACTGAATTATACGTGCATTCACCACAACTTCGCCGCTTGCATTCTTTTCAAGATGTCTGTCGTGTCAAGGGCGGGCTCTATAGGTAATTTTTTACCAACACTTGAGTTAAAACGAGGACTTGACGTTTAAAGTTCAATATTTCGCAGGAATTTTGAATTTTAACATTGGACACAGAACTGACGGGTAAAAGTGAGTACAAAGATTATCTTTTTTTAAATTGCTATTATTCGAATCTATGATAAAATATGAAAAATACAATATTTAATGTTTTATAGTTTGTAGTGAAATTGAAAAATTTAAGATAATTTGAATATATCAGGAGTTGTGACATGCCAAGGTACTGATGTTTTGAATATTTATTGTTTTTCTACAAACGTGCTTTTGAAAAAATACATTAAAATTGGGTGGACAAGTTAAAAAAACTGGGTCTTTTGTAATATACTAAAATATTTACAAAAAATATTAAAATACCTACTCTATTGACTGTAAAATCACCCATATATGTGATATCACATTTTATTGGACATCTCACTTATAAAAGGTAATTCTCCTAATACTCAGTCGTGTCATCATTATTATCCCATCGATCTAAAATTTTATCAGATGGGGTCGAATAGGGAGACAGGTGCTGCCCAATGGGAACCGAAACAGGTGTTTGTATTTTCTAGGGATAAATTTTTATACATAACATACACCACCGAATTATCAAGGTGCAAGTGATGTCCCCCATGAGATTACAATTATGTTGTGACATATGTTCGGCAATATCGTGCAAGGGTCAAAATCATTGTTAATTATAATTATTCGAACAATAAAATGTCCATAGAAAAAAAAGAATTTACCTGAAACACCCTGTATATTAAATAGAAACCCATTTCCGAATCATCATCGCAATCACGAAATTGAACAATTCCCTCTGGTGTATATCATTTCTAGTCAGGTGTGGGAAAAATCGCTCCCCACGGGGTGACTAAGTGGTCACGATATCTATCACAAACGTTTTTTTACTGCCTTCATTATAAAAACAGGTATTAATATGTCTAAAAAATGGTAAATCTGTTATGTGTGGTCATAATTCAAAATTGCCATTAAGTTAATTTATAGCCTTTGAGCTTTATAAACAGTGGTGAGATGTACCTATAGGTACATCTCACCACTGTTTAGATCATCAATGCATATATAAGCAAACCATGGCTTTTTTCTGACAGAATCCATATTTGTTATATGACAGAATCCATGTAAATCTGTTATGTATGGTCATAATTCAAAATTGCCATTAAATTTTTGATATAGTTTAATAAAGTATATTTTAACTTATAGCTTATAATTATAAGCTATAAGTAAAGTCGTATAAACAGTGGTGAGATGTACCTATAGGTACATCTCACCACTGTTTAGGGCATTAATGCATATATAAGCAAACTCTTTTTTCTGATAGTCAATTTATCGATTAATTCAATACGAAATTAATCAAAAAAACCCAATTCAATTATTTCTTGAAAAAATACATTAGCGCGCTCTATTAGTACGTGCCATGCACCCTTAACATTTCTACCCCTAGGCGATTATTGGCGGCAATTCACCTGGTGTATGAATAATTTAGAAGCTACCACCGACTAAACTTCCTGTGGGTTGGAGCGAATTGCACCAAGGCTGAGGAAAAGTCCCCCTTTAATGGAAAGCGTCGTACAAGACTTGAGGGCTATTTGTCGAAATAAGGAAATCAAACACTCATTGAATGAAGCTCTGACACACGTTGCCTGATAAATTTGAAGTGGTATTTAATTTAGGAAATATGGATTTACTGACAATGCACAGAAAATACATCAAAAAATGTATGGGGGTCGTTTTCAAACAACACCCGCCTTCCGCTGTCCGTAAGTTTAAATTCCAATAACTTTGTTAAAAATTATCGGATCTTATTGATTTAAAACCCAAGTGAAAGCCTAACAAATCCTTAGTAAACTCTTTCAGAAAATTTTTGCTTAGTTATTTCAGAAAATTTTTTTTTTTAATTTTGAAACTTGTGAAACACACATTTTCGCATGTCCCATTAGCGTTTTATAAAACATACATGTTTTTTTTTTTAAATATTGAATAACCAGAATTTTGTGTTGCTTTATAGCAATCCATAACATCCTTAGTTAATACACAATTTATATATAAAATAATTAATTTTAATCTACATTTTTTCCGTTGCGTTACGTCCGTCGCGTTACCGATAGAATAATAAAAAAAAAACATAAATATGGCAACTTTTTTGGTACTCACGTGATCAACAAATGATGTTCGGACGTACACATTACCCAGCTAAATTTATTTATTCAATCAGGAAGAAGATATCGGTTGAAACAGGTGCGGGTAACGCGAATGTAATAATTGTTTGTCCGCTAAGTTACTCAAAAAAATAATAAAAATAAGGTAAGAAAAAATACTATTTTTCATGTTTATGTTTATTTTAGGGCACTAAAGCTCATTTAGAGTAATTAATGACTATAATGTCTTATTATTATTTTTTAAATATGGTTTTACAAAACTTTGTCCACTGCGTTATAACGAGTCCACTATGTTACCTTATGGTAACGCAATGGAATTTAGGGTAACGCAATAGAATTTTTCGACAACAAAGTGGATATTTACCGTCGCTTTTATTAAAAGTAGTTTATGATTAACCAATTTAAAATTATTTGTAATTACAACTCATGATATAGATTACATCCAGGAAAAATTCCACGCAATATAAAAGTACTAAAAGGGACCTTCACCAGCTTATAGTCAAAGAAAAAGGGTGTCTACAATTTAGAAATCTAAGTTGTTATTCTGCAAGTGAGCACCACTACAAGGGATTTTGTTTATGCTTTACTCTAAAATCGTACCACCCTATATATAGTTTCTTTTTTACGTTATCTGATTAAGTCCTTTGTGTACCCCTGTCCGTTGTAATACCAGTATATTTCGTTGCTTTTTTTAGTTTTTGTTAAAAAAATACCTAAAATGATTTTTATACACTATCACCATTGAGTAAAGAACACTTTACTCAATGCTATCACTGTAATACCTACGTGTTTATAAATTATAGTTTAATTCACTAATACAGTGACTAAAAGAAAATATTAATGGTATTTTTTTAACAAAGAATCGGAATGATTTTTTTTTAAAAAGTAACTTAACGAACATACATATTTAAAAAAAAGCATACAATTTTTAATAAAAAATAAAATAAAAAATTGGAGTCAAAAGTTTGTGAACTAAGTACATTTTATTTCAAATTATTTTTATAACAACTTTTTTTATTAAATTAAATTTTGTATTTCAAATTGGTAACACAGTGGAGATATATAAAGCTAGCTAAACACATTTTTCTGAAAAAAACGTAAAAAAAATTAAGAAGTGCACTGCCTGTCTTAAATGTAAGTAAACAAAACTGTAAACATTTATAAAAATCCAACCAAAAGTCAATTTAAGCAAAAAAAATATTTTGATCTTCATTTTCAAGAAAAGCGGGTGTTTCTTGAAAATGACCCATGGATATGTAGCAAAGTTATGACAGTATGTACAATAAAAAAGACTGTGAAGTTCACACAGTGTGAACTAAGTACTTACATTTTATTTCAAATTATTTTTATAACAACTTTTTTATTGAATTAAATTTTGGATTTCAAATTGGTAACAGTGGAGATATATAAAGCTAGCTAAATACATTTTTCAGAAAAAAACGTAAAAAAAATTAAGAAGTGCACTGCCTGTCTTAAATGTAAGTAAACAAAACTGTAAACATTTATAAAAATCCAACCAAAAGTCAATTTAAGCAAAAAAAATATTTTGATCTTCATTTTCCTGAAAGCGGGTGTTTCTTGAAAATGACCCATGGATATGTAGCAAAGTTATGACAGTATGTACAATAAAAAAGACCATTATGAAATATGATATTTCATTATTAATTAATGGTTTAATCAAAATCAAAGTATGAAGAATTTATAAATTTTATAATAATTTTATAACTCATTGAGAAATAATTATTGTCACCCTTTGCGCGCGCAAAGTTGCACTTTTCCGCACGCATTTGCATTTAAAATGTAAGTAATTACTTAAGTTAATTTTAGACAAAATCAAATTTAGTTAGTTACTTAGTTTCCATGTCATTAAGTGTCAAACAAAGTGAAACGTCATAATATTTATAGATTTTTCGCGAAATTGAAATGAACATTTTGGAAGAAGAGCTACCATATGAGATCCTGGAGGCAGCAAATACTGTAAATGAGAATCTATTACCAGCGAAATCCCTTCAAAAATATGAGAAACAATTTAAACATTTTGAAAACTGGTGCAACAACAAAGGGGCAAAAAGTTTTAAGGAAGAAGTTTTTCTGTCCTACTTTGCGGATTTAAGAAAATCATATCAGCCAAATACATTGTGGAGTAAGTACTCCATGTTAAAGAGTGTCCTAAAAGTTAATACAAATTTGGATTTGAGTCTATATTATAAATTAACATCACATATAAAAAAGGAAAATGTGGGATCCGACCAAAAATGTCCAAATTTTTTGAGAAAGATGACATTTCAAGATTTATTAAAGAAGCACCAGATGAAATTTACCTTTTAATAAAAGTTGCAACCATTATTGGGTTGGCTGGTGCTTGAGGGCGAGAAGAGCTCTCAAAGATAATGATTGATGATATAGAAGATAAAGAAAATTTGGCAATCGTGAAAATTTCGTACAGTAAAAATTACACATCAAGAATCCTTGTGATATCTGATGAAATCAATAATGGTCATTACTTACAACTGTTTCGAAAATATTCAAATTTGCGAAAACCAAATACCCCACACGCGTTAGGAGATGTTTAGAAGAGAACGGCGGTCACAATTCAACAAAATCCCACAAAAAAGTTCCAAAGAACCTAATTTCTAATTTTTGGTATCATTTGCAGAAAATTCTTAAAAAACTAAAAAACATGCAAAGTGTAATAACTTACCTTAATAAATAAAGTATGCCATGAAAATAGAATACTTGATGCACAATATCCAAAAACTTGAGAATGACACCACAACTTTAGTAAAATTCAATCACCTGTAGGTTCACGAGTTCACTGTAGGGGTGCACCGGACATACTGCTGCAGCACCGGCAAGGAAAATCGCGGCTGGCCGGGGCCCTGAAACAGCTGAAAACTACCCGCAGCAAGCCAGTCTTGGTTGGCCGGTTCCAGGCGACTGCGACATCGGTGTCAAGAACCGTACGACCGCCTTCCACAGCCAATTTCTTCGGACAATTGATGAATGGAACTTTATCGGCAAAAACTTCTTTTGTGCCTTTGTTTGGAGGTTATAATGGTGGCGGATGATGGATGAAAAAGGGGTCGTCAAAATAAACCACGTCGAGCTAGATGGACGTCCACTTTGGTTGAGTGTTTCGACCATTTTTGGCGTCTCATCGCAAGTTTAGTTTATTTGCATTTTTCGGTTTTAAAGATAAACACTACAGTCACCATTTGTTGTGGGTTGTCAAGGAAACACTGTCGTTAATTTTGTGTTTTAAAATTTAATCCGGATTGGACATTGAAGTGCCAATATAAAACTTACACTTCTAAAATTAGAACCTTTCCAAAGTAGTGTTAATTTACACTAGTGTATAATTACTTTATCCTTTTGCTATAGTGTTAAATCATACTTTCTTACTTGGGGAAAATTACACTACAAATTAACTCTAATTGTAGTGTTATAAAACAACACTATTAAGTGTGGACCTGTGTGAGCTTTAATTTGTGTTGCTTAGAGTTGATTTTTTTTACTGTGTGTGTAAAATAACGAAATAAACCTTTCCCCAGATTTGTTAATTTTTAGTATCTATACCGTTATAAAACCGTAAAAAATACTTTAAACTTGATTTAGTAGTAAATTTAATTAATTAATGTAATGGATAGTCAAATAATATACCTACTCTTACTAAATAGTAGCTAGATATACATAATTATTATATAAACGTTCTACAATCATCGGTATCAATAAACCCATATAATAAATAAAACAAATAATATAATACTGGAAATTCTTTCGCCAAGGGTTAACAGTACTCAGCCCTCATATTCTTATCCGCTCTACGAGACACAAGACAATGACTGCGTTTCTATCTGCTTAATGACAGCCGCACATTGACCAGGTGTAGGTTGCCAGGTGTATATAAATGCTGATAAAATTATGTAACAACTATCAGTCGGTACACGCACCCCTATGACGGTGGAAAATCACTCAACCATCACCGTAGGAAATGACCTAGCGCGTGCCAAATACAGGAAAAGAAAAATAAGGGCGGAAAATTATTTTTTGGCGCCAAACACAGGTGCCAAGTAAAATTGTTAATATGAAATAATTAAAATTTATTTGGCTTCTGTTAATGATACTAATTAGTTATTTGTCAAACTTTAGTATGTTCAATTGTATTTAAATACTATCCACCTACATGTAATTGTTAGATTGCGTGTTTCATATATAAGTAAACTTATTTAGGTTTACTTACTGTGGTAAAACTAAGGATTCCAAGTTCCAAGAAGGAATGTGTTATACGTATCGCGTATTTGGAAACCTCCAAATCGCAATCTTGAGTTTGCAGATGTATCACCTTACCCCAAAAACTATAAAAACGTTGGTCAAACTGTATTAAACTTAAGAGGAATTCAAATAAACGATATTTAGAAATAATAAAAATAGTTTATTAAAATTTGTTCTCTACTCAATAACAATCCATACTATTAACTTCATCTTCATGATACTCCTTCAGGATATCATTCAAAAGCGAGTCGAAATCATCGATCGACTCCAACCATTTTTGGCGGTCGCCCAAGAGCATTTTTAAATCCTGATTCACAAACTCGATGAACTCCTTGGGAGAACTGGACTTTCTCCTCTTCAGCGGTAAAGTCGCGTTCGCATTGGAGCCATCCGAATTGAAAACGCTTTGCAGAAGGTTCAAATCTTTCGTGTCGAGGATCTCGTCGACGATTTTTTCGGAGAAATCCGGCATCGGGGAAAAATCGACGCCGGAATCGACCGAGCTGACCCCCGTCATGGGAATTTCGTAGTCGCTGTAACTGCTGATGGGCGATGAAGACGAGTTTATGCGCAGAGGACTGGGCGGGGTGTTCAGCGTGACGTTCAGCGTATTGACATCGTACTGTTTGAGGAGTTCCAAGAAGGGCTGGGTTATCCGTATCGCGCACTTGGAAACCTCCAAATCGCAGTCGTCTATGATACTCGACATCAACACCGTCAGGCAGCCGGCAGAGTTCAGTTGGTTCAGACACCTGATCAGTCTTTTTTGTATTTCCAGGTCCGTTAGGGTCACGATCTTGCGGTTTTCTCTGGAGAAGGTTTGCGTGGGGAAAATGCCGTCGATCATCCCTTGATTTTGCAGGTGGAGATTTATAACTTTGTCCCAGAAACTCAACGCGTTCACCTTTACTTCCCAGTGCAAGTCGTATATGGCCGCTTGACACATTGTATCGTAGACCCGGTCTATGATACTGCCCGGGAATAATTGGTTCTCGTATATTTTTGTGACCAAGTTCACCAACTCTTTTCGAACTATGCCTTCAGTTTCTTCAAGAATGGATTTAAGCACGGATAGCTACAAATATGCAAACATAAATATTAACAAAACAAAACATACAATATATTACGTGTAGATTTTGAACTTGGTCCACGTCGTTCCACAACTCGTTCACCACGATCATTTGCTGCAAACATTTGACAGCTGACATGCGTACGAAACTCTCACCATCGTTCAGCGCCATCTGTACGACCAACGTCGAAAGCTCAGATTCCAGGATTATTTTTTGGTACGATGGAAACCCTACAATACAAAATAACGACTTGGATGAAAAGATCCACCCACGAAATCAAAAAAATTACTTTGAATTGCGTTTTCTGCTATACTGCAGAGCACCTCCAGTGTGCTGTCTCTCACTTCCCAGCTAGGATCGTGCAATTTGGTGTACAATAATGGCGGCATTAATTCCAAGGTGGAGCCGTTGGTGTTGTCGATCAGAAGCACCATATTCGGAGCCATGTATTTACTAATCGAAATTTCCACCAGCTTTAACGCCTTGACTACAGCCTAAGAATACAAAAAAAATTGTACAAACGACATAATATCGGCCGTATGTAGTTCTACAGTTTTTATAATTTTATGGTCAAATTTAAAAGACGTCAAGCTAGCAAAACCAATGCTTTTATCAAGAAAGCTGAGCTTTGATAGCTATCGGTTTGACGTTTGAAATATGTTATTTTATAGGTTATGTACATGAATTTATTCTACAGTGACTGTAATTTTACATTTTCTCTGCTGATTTTTTGCTAAACGCGATAGATGGAACCACTCTTGCTATGTAATTTCAATGTATTTTCATTATTGTACTGCGGTGTATAATAATTAGACTTATGAACTGCGTTAAAATTAAGTATTTCTATATATAGTATTTTAATATGACAATTGTCATACGCTTAAAAAAACTATATTTTATTTTTGTAACTTATTACCAAGATCCCGGGATTGGGACTTTTAAACCCGGGATTTTCGGAAACGGAAAAATATAGAACTGTATGTTTGAATACTAAATCTAGAGTTTTATCAGAACTATACTGAATCGTGCTTTGTTTTTACATATATTTTTCGCCTCTATACCTATGCACGACTATAGTTAAAATCAAACTCAATGGTGTCTTACAAGATAAATTATTTTTATTTTCTATATTCAACAAAGAGGTAGAAACTCGACCCTATCGAATGGTGCAGTCATTTATGTCTTTGGAAATTATTGAAAAAGGGTTCAGTCCAATGGTGCAGCAACTTCGGATTCCTATTCTCTTCAGAGACATAGAAACTCAAGCTTTTCGAATTTACTGGCAATGATTTTCGTTAATGTCCCCGAGAATTATGCAAAAACAGCGCAATGCAATATCGCAACGGTTTCGACCTCTCTTTACTCTACCAAGTTATAGAAACTGGAGTCTCTCTAATACTGTTCTAGTCAATATTTCTAAGAGTATAAAAAGAGGGTGTAATTCAATATTGCAAGAAGTTTTGATCTTTTGATGGATGCAAGTAGTTTGAATCTCATTTCTGCATATGATTTTGTTGAAAATAGTTCCTCTCTTTGGTTCCTTTGTCTGATTTTTATTTACCGTAACAACTCAGGTATGTAAAGCACAGAGGATATGATGTAAAGAATATTTATGTATTATATAAAGTACCTATATTTGTATTAAAAATTTCAGATGTTATGTTGAGTAATGAGGTCTGTTGGTAGACCCTGCACATCTCCACTGGTAGTAGTTTTATGTTAGTTCAGCAATATTTAAATCTGGTTGATTAAAAAGTACACACCAGTGCAGGTTATTGTAGCATCTACGAACAAATGAATTAATGGCCCATTGGCAATTATTCCTTTGGGAAAAATATTCAACACAGCTTAATTAATTAATAAAATAAAAAAAAATTACAATCATGTCGTATATAGTTTTTTTTTTCAAGCATAAAATAATTTTCATATTAAGTCTACTACGACTACTGTGGAGAGTATTGAAACGCTCGACTGACGAATACAATTCTATACCGTGGCGAGGGTTTAGAAAACTGTATTCAAACGTGGCGTCATCCAATACACTTCTTTATTTTTCCGCTTGCTGTGTAGCACAGAACTAGTCGTTTAATTTTTACCGTAAAACATTGAAGTATGACATTGCTTTTTGAAAAGTCGGACAAAGGATTTTTAAAAGTTTTAAGACAACAATGTTCTATTGTCCAGAAATTTAGATGCGGTTTGGACCTGTGTGACAATGATACAATGATATATGAAAGCACCACTGCAATTTTTCTTACGTTTGGAGGCCAAGCTGGGTGGCTGATGAAATCGAAGGCCAAGCTCATCACGCATATGGTCTCCATGCTGTCGGTCCAGGTGATGCTGAACTCCTTTACGAAAGTGGCTATGCACTCCAGGAGCAAACAGAAGAAGTTGACTTGTTCGAGCAGAGCCGTGATGATTTGAGGAGTCTCCTTCAGCATAAAGATGATGTCGTTCAAGCAGTAGATCATCGTTTGGAAGGCCGTTATGGCCGCGGAACGCGGGAAATACTGTTTGTACTTGATGAGGTAGTTCAAAGATAAGGTGGTTTTGGGGTAGATGAAAGGGTCCGTGTAGATCAACTCGCGCCATTTCATGACGGTGGGTTTGACGGCCGTATTGAGCATGCTCAGGAGTTTGCTGAGGAATATGCCGCGGATTTCGTCCGTTTTGGCCAACTCGTGGTGCCCTATCCCGCGTATTTTGTACCCCACGCAAGCCACCGGGAACATCTGCAACGTCAGCATCTGATGCTGACTGACGTCGCCGCATCTTTTTTGAGAATATGTACCCAGTATTGGTTCGACTTGAAATCTGTACTTGTTCACCCAATGGGTCAGCTGCAGCACGTTTTCATAGTACGACTTGTTCACGTTAATAGTGATAACGCGGAAAACACAGTTGAGGTTTTTGTACCCCAAATCCGCAGTCATCGACTTGGAGGTTATAACCTCCTGGGCGAACGTGAAAAACATGGCTGGTAAAGCGATTTTGGACAAGGCCAAAGTGAACTCCTTACTCTGCGAGATGGTCATGTACTCGAACAAAACGTCCTCGATCTTGTACTTTTGTATGAACACGTTGACCACTTTAAAATCGTAGTTGACACTTATTTCCGACATGTACACTTCGAAAATTCCGTAAATTAACTCCAACGTTGGTTGCAATTTCCCATACAAAACCTCGTCGTTTATCTCCAAAAAATTATCGGGGTTATTTATGGAAACATTCAGTTTCTCTTTGAGTGGAAACATTATCGTCTCCACTATCTTCAACGCAAAACCCGCGTCCACTTCGTAACTCTTCTTCAGCAAACCGGCTACGAACTTGTACCCTTGCTGCGTCACATACAAGGTTTGATTGGTCAGCACAAACGCCAGTACGTGCTTCCAGTAGGTTTTGGAAATCAACCATTGCACTCCAGTTTGGTGCTCCAAACAAGCGTTGCAAATTTTAATAAATGCGTGCTTATAACTCTGCGAAATCTCCATTCGCGTTAGTTCGAAGGTTTGTACGAACCTTTCGATGCAAAGGAATTTCTGGAATTGCGCGAATGTTTGTTCTTTTGCTGCAAGAAAGGATATGACGTTCAAGGCAAAAATAACGATGCCTTGCGGAGATTTGCTCGATTTCCATACTGTTAGCAGGTTCTCCAGCCAATTGGTGTACACGTCTATATTTATTGCTTCTTTGGGAACCCCATCTGAAAAATATATTTTAATGTAACATAATTTATATTTAATTATGGACATTTTTAAGAAATTTAACAAAAAAATAGTTGTACAAACATAACTTTAAAATCGAACATTTTAAGTCAAATAGTCTGCCGTTTTTCGATCAGAAGCACCATTATTTATAAAGTTCATTTTTTTTATCTGGACTGCGGCAACGTTGCAAATTTGGGGTTTTGGTTGGTAAATACAGTTGTCAAGTTGGTCGCATTGATTAACAAACTAAGCTAGTTATAAATCTAATTGTGGTTTTGTATAAATTATTATTACATTGTGCAGTTGTCAAGTTGAGTTGTCGAAATTCGTAGTTAAAAATGCAATTAATTTGGCTTTGGTGGTGCTTGGATGAGTAAAATCATATAAAAAAGTAATTAAATATAGGTTGCTTTACGGCCCAGAAGAGAAAGTATTCCTAGCGGATAACCTTCGCTTTGAAAAGAATTTATATAAAAGAAATTACAATTTTTTGTGAACGTAAATGTTGTCCAATGGTGAATAATGTGAAAATAATGTGTGATGTAATATTTATAAAAACCAAATTTGTTACTTTTTTACTCCAAAAATGTCCATAAGGCGATGTACTTTTTCTTCCATTGTGGCATTTGTCATAATTTCATCAAAATGAAGTTTTGCCCTCAAAAGGGCTTTTACATTCGAATTCGTTGCTATTATTTTTGGCATAATTATCTTTTTATTTATAATTGACAAGTAAATTATCAATAATAAATATTATTGTCAATTTAATTAAATTCTTTAGCAGAAGTACCATTTTTAAATACTAAAAATACTAAGTCAAACTGGCATAAGCCACCAACCTAACAAAAAAAACACAAGTCCAGATAAAAAAAATGAACTGTAGTTATTAATAAAATACAGTAGCCAATCACAGGCGTGTTTTAACAGAATGATTAGAGGTGCGACAACACAGACTTTTGTAGAAATTCCATGGCTATGAACATATAATGTGAAATAATAATGGTGCGTCTGATCAAAAAACGGCAAAGACTATAGAATCCCATCCTCAATCCACCCCTTTTCTGCTGTCCTTGACTTTTGAGACACCCTGTATAATACATAATATAATAAAATACTATTTTTTTATTCAATTTTAATGTTATGTTAAAAACTATTTAATTTAATAATGCGCAACTCTCGTTCATTTTAAGATATTTTATTTCTTATCTTCTATACATTTATATACTTTCAAAAAACTTTGTACTGTTTACATAACATGAAATCCTATTTTCACACTCCTTGAATCAATATTTATACTGATAATATTTATTTTATGATATACTTTTGATACCACACAAGTACCATTAACAGTTATCACAGCATAAGAGACAGCAGGGCCACTCGAAATTTCGCTTAAGCGGCACCTTTGTCTAATCCAGACGCTGACCTCAACTACGCGTAAATAAAGAGTTCAGTATTTAAAAAAATCTTTCTTCCTGAGTTACCTACTACTAACAACTGCTATTTGTATTAATTTGGATTAATTAATTTAAATTACTGAATGCTAAATTAATTACAGTAAAAATACGATTTTTATTTTAAATTTGATATTTTTTTCTGAAAGCAGAGAAATATTATTTAACATCTAAAAAAAATAACGAAAAACTTACAAAAAATATATCTTAGAAGTTGCTGTGCATTTATTTTATATTGTTAATTTAATTTCATTCATAAATTTATAGATTTATCTGGCATTCCATATGAAAAAGAATTTATACCTAAATTCAATTTGAAAGATGTTAAATATTTTTCTTGTTCCTGTAAAATTGTAGTTGCGCAGTATTGCAGTATTACCAACAATTAGCAAGCATATTTAGATATACTTAATACATATAATTAATTAGTTATAACTGATTAATTGTAGGTATATCTTCGACATTTTGTTTAAGAATACAAAATACAATATATTATATTTTTTAAATCTTACCTGCATTTTTTACAATATTAACAAACAAAGTATTCAAGTAAACATCGTTTTTGATTTTGTATTTTGGGTCCAGGAAATTTTCCAGGATCTTTTGAATCTTGACTTCATACTTGTTTGCACAATCCATATTATATGAGGTATAATCCTTAATTCTTTGAATTAATTATAAATTATAATCATAAATTAATCCATCACAATTTACAAACATAATTTTTGCTCGCACTTCTTTATTTTCACTGCAAAAGTGGCAATGCCCTTGAATGTTATTAATTATTATTCATTATACGCCGCAACTTTTCATAACATTCTTCTTCTTCTTCTTATTGGAATTTTTATTTACCGCATGTGGAGTGCCTTTAGGATAAATTGGTCTGGGGCCCTTTCGGCCCTTTTAACCAGTCACAAGTGGAGACACAAGACACGTAGAACCTCAGATCAAGAACATTCACTTAAACATAACCTTTAATTTTTTTATCATCCGGGAGTTCAATCTTGCTTAATAAGGCATGTATCGACGTAACTATAAAAGTTTTACAATTACAATTTTATTTTATCAAAATGACTAATGTTCGCAATAAATCACTTATATAGTACAATAAGTCTAGGACGATAAGAAACCACAAGTTGACTTTTTAAATCTGACACCCAGCTTTGCCAACCTGACACACAAATACCAACTTAACAGGTAAATGTCAAATCAGCCATAACCTCAAACAATGGAAAAATGGAAACAATTTTCACTGATTCTGGGCTGAGTACAAGGGACGCGTTAAATAAACTCTACGTGGAAATTGACACGATTTTACAGCAATTCAAGTCTTCTCAGAGAACCAGGTAATTAGTACTATTATGCAATTTGTCCTTGTGGATTGAATTTTAAATTGAAAAAAATGGTTTTATTTATGAAAACGGTTGTTTAGTTGCATAATTATTAGTTATACATGATTAATAATTGTATAATTAGTGGTTATTTATAAAAATAGATTTTGCGTGGTAAGTATTCAAGCTTGGAGTGTGATGTTGAATTGAATAATCATATTTTGTTTTCTACACTTCGGAGAACATTCAGATGATTTAACAAAAATGGAATCGTAGCTATTTGTCTTCCTTTTTCACTAAACCCAATAGTTTATAAAGTTTCTGCTGTTATTTTAATTCCAAACACAAAGTTCACTATTATTTTAAAAAGTATAGCTATACGATACATTTTCATTTAAATAAATAAATGAGCAATTTATAATCAAAAATTATATAATTTTCAAAAATATAGGGTGCATCAAGTAGCTTTTCTTCCAAAAGTTTTCATATTATTTGAAAAAAACTAAAAACCTTTCAAAACCAAAAATTGTTATAACTTTGTTGTTACATTCACATTCATCTACATTTTCATCCAATTTCTATAATTTAGTTTTTCTACTCCCACCTTTAAAACGCCCTTTATCGTACATGTTTCCATGACACCTATTAAATACACATTGACAAGTTGTGGCTTTATGGCGTTTTAGTCATAGATAACAAAGCCTTTTTTTTTGGTTTTAGTCACATGCTGAAGTTAGTTGACAGTTGTCAAATGTCATAAAATCCTTAAAATAGAGGTTATGTTATATCATCCAAATTATAAAACATACATTTCTTAATTTGGTTACAGAAATATTTATATCACCCTTATATACCCCTTAAAGAGCTATAAAAATAAAATTATTTGGGGGGGGGGGAAATCAATCAGTACTAAAATTGGTCCTCATACTCTCCTCCAATGAAACACCCTATTTTTTATTGCAGATTCGGATCATTCGACTAAAAATAGGTAGATTTTGTCTAAATCATTTTTTCATATTTGTAATAGATGGTGCTGTTATGAAAAAAAATCAATTTTGTTCGATTTTTATTCTGTATACGATTCTCCAATAATTTTTGAATAAAATACTTGGTTTTATTTTTAAATTCATTTATTTTTTAAATTTTAATTAAAGTAGGTGCTCAAAATGGTGGCCTTCGACTTCAATGCATTTATTAATTCGCATTTCGTTTTAATATTCTGCTAACACTGCTCTGGGATATTCCCAAATCTCTATATAATTCTCGTGTGCTTGCATGAGGATTAGCGGCCGTTGCTGCTAATACATTAATTTTATTATTTCCACCTACGATTGTTGCTCGACGAACTCTTTTTTTCGGTTAAACACTCCCGTTTGTAGTAAACTGCTTGACTGTACGGTGAAATGAAGTACGTGATCGAATTTTATCCGGAAAACGCTGAGCGTAGATATTAACAGCATCATCAAGATTCCTGCCTGCTTCTCCATAAATCAAAATCATTTCTATTTTTTATTCCACCGTTAAAAAATCCATTATGAATAACTGCTTAACGAAAGGAGGTCTTTTTTTGCAAATTAATCTTCGATATAAATTGATTAAATAATGCTAAACTATAAATAGTTTCTTTATACCTCAATAATAATTATTATTTATAACTAAATGCTATTTTTATACCTCAATTAGGATTAAATTAATTAATTGACAAAATAATGTTTTTTTACCCTAAATGAGGTATTTTTATTAAAAATAGTAAAATATTCCTTTAAATTAAAGGATTTAATGCTGGCAGGTAAAAAGTGACCATGGTGCGCAATTGATAATTATCACTGAATGAAATAATGTATAAAATTTAAACCAAAGGAAACTTAAATATTAGTTAAAAAATCGTGGGTACTTAAAAAATCACATTTAATTGAATAAGATCATTATTACAAAAAAAGTGATATTTTTATAGAAAAATTATTGCAGAATCGTATACAGAAGAAAAATCGAACAAAATTGATTTTTTTATTACTGCGCCATCTATTACAAATATAAAAAAATGTTTTAGACAAAATCTACCTATTTTTAGTCGAATGATCCGAATCTGCAATAAAAAATAGGGTGTTCCGTTGGAAATTTTAAAGTTACCCCCTGTTCCCCCTATAAGAAGGAGAGTATGAGGACCAATTTTAGTACTGATTGATTTCGTCCCTCGAATCATTTAATTTTTATTTTTTAACATTTTTTCGTAAAATGCATATTAACTGAGATATTTCAAGTTTAATGACTCACCCTGTACAACGTATAACGATCTAACTGTAAATTTTGTTGGCAGAAAAAATAAATCATGGATAAAGGATGCTTTACACCACTCAAGCCAACACACCACAATAAATTGGGTTTCTGCTTCGTTTCAAATCTGGACTATAGCTAGTTTGGTATTTTACTATTTATTTAACCACTATTACCACCCGAACTATGCCGATTTGGTTATTTTATATCAGGCATTTTTTATATTTATTTTGTTATTTATAAACGTATCGTTGGAGTTGTATGACAACAAGTTGAGGCACAATGAAGTTCCTAACCGCGTTCAGTCAGTATTGGATAAGCTGAGTAAAGACATCCACAATATAGAGTGGACTGCCGAGAATTACCCGAATTTATTCACGCCGTTTTCTCCGTGTATTACTTTACAATGGACGTACAGGGACAACAAGCTGGTGAATCTACCGTGGTCTTTACTGGTTAAAGATGACGTCATTCTCGTTAGGCCCGGACAGGCCAGCCCTGGCTACTGCGAAGCCCTGGATAAGAACTCGGAGTACCAACTGTTGCACGCTAAAGAGATCTACGCGCCATCTTTACAGAACGCCAACGAAGTGTTCAGCGCGCCGAAATCAAGGCAACCTTTGGAGAACAAAAAGTACAGACTCCTAGAGACCCCTTACTTGAATAACTTGAGGGTATTTCTCGAACAAGCCTTGGACAGACCCATAACCCAACACAACCAACATAGACACATGGTCATGATCAAAATAATCGAAAGAATCATAATGCCGTCAGCGTTTTTGATCATCTTCATCGTAAACTTATTGAAGTTCCTGTATTTCATGCATTTGGGCGGGATATCAGCGGCTGAATTGTTTTTATTACGGCCCAGCATCGTGGTTTTACCTTTAATACCGTTGGTATTTCCGCTGTTCTGGAATTCCATGAACTACGCTGGGATAGCCAGGTAACGAAGCCGTGTCATGTAATTTAACCGTCTCAATAAATCATTTATTGCATGTGCTTTTTCTTTAACACCGTAACACACCAAATTGGCGCCCGATCGTTCAACTTTCATTTAATTTTAAAACCTAAAAGAGCAGACGTTTGTTTTAGGTTTCAAACGATTTTTGACGCGACCAGGCGGTTCGAATCTCAACCCAACTCGCTGGGCGAGGACGGGGATACCACCCCCATAGACACTGTAGATTTAAAATTTAGCTACAAAGAAATATGGCGGAATTTTTTGGACATTCTTTCGGGGAAGCCCGATGTTTTGAACAGATCTGCCAACATAATGCACGTTTTAGGGTCGGTTACAGTAAGTTAACTATTTTTGTTTTTTTTTATGGTTTTGAGGTGTTTTTTTAATTTTAGGCTTTGGGGTGTGTGGATAAAAAGGGTATATTGTCCTGGCCCAATCCGAATGCCGAAAAAGTGTTTTTTCTTCACAACAATGACAATATTTCACCCTCATCTAGGTAAATATGATATTTGTTAATTAGGGTGTCCAGAGAGACCCTGTATAATCCAGACCCAACAATTTTCTATATTTTCATATTCTTAGAAATTTGCAAACACCCTGTATAATTACAGTATGCCACATAGTGTACCTATGTTAAATCTTTTCCAATAATTTTTTTTAATTAATAAGATAAGTATTATTGAATTGATTTCAGATAAAAAAAATTAAATTATGGCTTCAAATGCGCAAAATCATCATATATAATATATTATATTATATTATGATGATTTGGCGAATTTTTAGGCATTAATTTTATATTTTTTTATCTGATGATTCAACAAAATTTCTTTAAATTTTTATCCGATTTAACAAAATTTCTTTAAATTTAAAATTACAAGCATAAAAACATTATTTTTTAGTATGGAAAACGTAAATGACTTTTTAAGCATTAATTTCATATTTATTTAATTGATTATTCATCAAAATTTCTTTAAATTTTTTTCTGATTTTATCAAAATTTCTTTAAATTTCAAATTACAAGCATAAAAACACTATTTTTTAGTATGGAAAACGTAAATGACATTTTTAAGCATTAATTTCATATTTTTTTAAGTGATAATTCATCAAAATTTCTTTAAATTTTTATCTGATTTAACAAAATTTCTTTAAATTTCAAATTTCAAGCATAAAAACACTATTTTTTAGTATGGAAAACGTAAATGACATTTTTAAGCATTAATTTCATATTTTTTTAAGTGATAATTCATCAAAATTTCTTTAAATTTTTATCTGATTTAACAAAATTTCTTTAAATTTCAAATTTCAAGCATAAAAACACTATTTTTTAGTATGGAAAACGTAAATGACATTTTAAGCATTAATTTCATATTTTTTTAAGTGATAATTCAACAAAATGTCTTTAAATTTTTATCTGATTTAACAAAATTTCTTTAAATTTCAAATTACAAGCATAAAACATTACGGCCATTTCAAGCGGATGGACGGGACAAATCACAAAACTGTTTTTATAAAAAAAATTGTAGCTAATTTATTATATATTATTTTTGTATCAAAATTGTCAAATATATTCTTTTATTATTAGGGTATACATTAAATAAAAAAAATCGCAAGAAATATTTTATAAAAGTAGAGATAATTTCAATAATTGACAGGGATGGACGGGACAAGATAAATCTTTTTTTGTCCCGTCCACACCTTTTAATTATTAAAATTATATCTACTTTCATAAAATATTTCTTGATTTTTTTTTTATTTAATGTATAACCTAACAAAAGAAGAATATTTTTGACAATTTTGATACCAAAATATTATATAATAAATAATCTACAATTTTTTTTATAAAAACAGTTTTGTAATTCGTGCGTTTCGCGCGCTTGAAATGGCCGATTATTTTCTAGTATGGAAAACGTAAATGACATTTTTAAGCATTAATTTCATATTTTTTTAAGTGATAATTCATCAAAATTTCTTTAAATTTTTATCTGATTTAACAAAATTTCTTTAAATATCATATTGCAAGCATAAAAACATTATTTTTTAGTATGGAAAACGTAAACGACATTTCCCAAGACGCGGAAAACTACCATTTCCATTCGGACGCGCCATCATCTGCAACCGGGGAAGTACTGGACTTGACTCACAATCACAACGAACCTTTCAAGTTGCATTTCGACGACCAAGAGTGGAACAAACATTTAGCTTCACTTAAACCATTGGGGCTGGCCATTCTGCTCAACACCTGCAATTTTGACACCCAGGTAATGATTTTTCCACTGTTTTATGACTATTTTCCCTTTGGGACACCCTGTATTTTTCAAATACAAAATGTATTCGTTTTTTAGGATCACTACACTTCGTTTTGTCAGCACATCACCTGTGAGGCAATGTACAACGAGAATTTGGTTCCGGTTACAAACAGAAGATGTCTCTGCGAGTTGGCAAAAGAAATTGGATTTTCGGAACACGCGCAAAAGATTTTTGCTTTGGAGCAGCAACTTTCTACGTTCAGACACTTGGTGAGATTTTATTTATTTACTTTATGACCGTAAAAATAATTCCCCAAATTTATCTTTGCATTTACGATGTTGACATAACGATTATATCTTATTTTACATGTTTTATATCTAATAAATAATGCTAAATCATCACTTTCTTTGGACACGTGTTTATTATAGAGATTACAGAGCATTAAATAATACTTGTTAAAGATCTCACAAAAAAAAAGAATAGAAGGACCACGATAAATAATTCTATAACTTTTTGATTGCAATTTTTTTTTATTTTAGCCGTATTTAGTAAGACTTATTAAACTATATTTAACTGAAAAAATAAGGGTTTTTATTTTTGTATGCGTTTTTATATTTTTTGTAAATCTGGGTTATGGAGAAATAATTATGTTTTGATTTTATGACACCTCAAAGTAGAATGTTTTTAAAGCAGAAAAACTGGTTAAAAAGTATCTCACTACAGCACCGAAAGCGCAGTGGCGGCCCGTCAGGGGAGGCAGGTGAGGCAGTGCCTCATCATAGAGAATTAAAAAATTAAGTATAATTTAAATATTTTACTTTCTATAATATACTATAAATTTTTAATATTTGGATTAGTACATGAATTGTGAAATAGTCAATAAAATTGATTGATTTAATACGTGGAATACCCAGCAACATTTAAATTATTTGAATTTGAAACGACCGCAATTTAAACTAATATTTATAGCTAGATGCTAAATTTTGCATGCGGAATTTTAGATAAATTATACTTCACACGTTTTTCAAAATTCAATAATAAATGGTTTTATTTTTCTTATAATAAATCGATTTAATCGAAATTATATTTATATTCTAAAATAAAGATATTTTAACACTATCGCCATCTTGTAGCCATCACAGTAACCAATAAAATAAATACAGATTCCTTCTTTAGGTTTGTTTTGGTTATAAAATTCTGAACTGTTTAAAGAACAAATCGGTGGTTATTTACGCAATATTTTGTTTATTTTTTTTCTATGAGTTTGTCTATTTTATGATTCTTTTGTAAGTGGTTTATTCTGTGGGTTTAGTTAATTGAACTTGGTGATTTATGTGAATTTATTCATTATGGATATTACGGTGTACCGATATTGTTGACCTTCACGTGGTTCTTGCTGAACAATGGAATATTAATTAGACAAAAATGAGGTTTATTTAAAATAAACGTCATTTTTACAATAAAATATATTTCATTGACAAAGTAGAAAGGAATCCTAGGATTCCTTTCCCACCACAGTCTAAGTTTTTTACTTAGTTTTAAGTACCTATAGGTTGTGAACTGCGACGTCAGTTTTAAAAAAAAAAATATCTTCGCCTTTAAATGAGGGCGAAACCCTGCCTCTGCCTCACCAAAATGAAATGTCACGGGCCGCCACTGCGAAAGCGGTGTTATAATGAAGTCATTATGAACGCAAAATAGATAAAGTTGTTTTACCAACGTATTTCCTACAGCAAACAGAGATGGTAAGAAGGGACAACAAGTACGCGAGGTCCCTGCAACTGTCCACGAAACTAAAGTTCCCATTTCCACACATGTTTGCCGTGGTAGTCAAAGAACTGTCAAGTGGTAACATGCAACTTCTGTCCGAAGGAACGGCCGACATAATTCTAGATTCCTGCGTGGAATACTGGGATGGGCGCGATCTGTGCACCCTATCGCACAGCGATCGCAAAAAAATACAGGATTTTTATCAGAGGAGCAGTTTGACCGCCTACTGTACTGCGTTCGCCTACAGGTGAGGGAATTGCTGAAAAATAGTTATTTATGTCATTAGGTTAAGAAGTAAGGCTTTTTGTGCTAAGCACAAAAATGCACTTCTTGGCCGAATGGCATACAACATTTTATCTTCAAAGCACTTTATATAGGTCAATTTAATTCAACATCAAAGCGGCCTAACCTCACTTTTTTAGAATCTCATTTATTTATTAGCTAAAGATTACATTGTAATGTACAATAATTATTATTGCTTTTAGAAGCAGTAATAGTTTGACAATACCTAGCAACATGATTTAAGTAGAAATGGATTTTTGCTATTACATTGAATTCAATTAATTGTTTAATAAATAGGTAGGTATCTAATTTCAATTTGTTTGGATTTTTATTTAAAAAATATATAGTTTGGAATGTTTAACATTTAATTTCACTGAAAACTTAAAGCAAATTAAAACTTAAAGATAATTTGAATCGTAGAAAAAGAATCGTGCGTTTTCTTGGTTGCCTAACCTCACTTTTTGTTTTATTATTCATATTTAATTTTACAATAATTTAATGAAAAATATTAAACATTAACAGTAAAACAAACAAATTAGCGCTTATTATAAATAAATTAAACCAGTTTAGTACGTTAATTTCTTAGAAAAGGATTAATTTGTCAAAACAATACCCCTAGCGAGAAAAAATCGAACTAATTACTTGCCTCATAAAATTTTTTATCGGCCTAGGCCATAACAAGGTATTTCTTTATCGAATGTTGACAACAATAAAGTTTAAATTATAGACCGCGTGGAGATAAAATAGTTTTTTGTACAATAATATTCGTTTTTAAGACCTCTAGCGAAGTGCATAAGCGAGAAACTGAGCAACGTCTATTTGGAACTCCCCAGCGACTCTAGGCACCTCTACACGAACCACAGAAGTCCCACGCCTGCGCACTGGGAATGTAAGAGTGTTCTGGAGCCCAAAATTAAAGCCAACTTAACGCAATTCTACAGCACAGGTAGGGTTTGTAATATACGCTAAAGAAGTATCGGGTTTTCGCAACGCGCGCGCCATCTGGTGGACTTCAAAGGCATTGCGTGAATTTAGGAATTACCAATTATACATCATTTTTAAATACACTCACTGGCAAAATAATCGATCCACACAAATTTTCCATGAATTTCAATCGCAAATAACTTTTTTATTTGATGTCCGATTTAAACGAATATTAAAAAATAATGTAGATAAATTATTGGACAATCGCTCACATTTTAAAAAATTACTAAAAAATAGACGTACGTTTATAATATACAGGTTTAAACAAAAATATGTTTTTTACCATAAGTTTAAGACACTCTGTAGAGTGGCAAAACCGTATATTGTTTTAAATTAAGTTTTATTTATCAAGTCACATCTATTCTTAACAGTTTTGTTTTTGGTTCACCTTGATATATTTTTTTTGTGGAAAAAATGGATTTTTTTTAAAAATATTGCAATTTCCAATATTTTTCTGTATGAAGAACTAAGGTTGCTATGGTCCATCCATAGGCTATGGAGAATGACAGTGACAGTTTTATTGAATCATCCCATACTTCTTTAGCGTATAACGCACCGATATATTTTATTTGTTGTTTGTACGACTATAGATTCCCTTTTATACAACGATTACCCAACCGGTGACGTCTCGGATGCCGAGAGCTGCTTTCAGATGCAATGTAACCAGATTTTCATTGGTATGGTCACCATGCAGTATCAGGCGCTCACGGACATGGTACTTAAAAAAAATTAAATTGACTCCATGTACTAACTAAATTTTCAGGTTCAGCTAATAGAACAGCTCGAAAGGGCTTGCATTAGATTTGTCCACTTTAGCAAGGAGAACGAGTTGAGGTCCAGGGTTTTCAGTGAAAAAATGGGCCTGGAAAGTGGATGGAACTGCCACATTTCTCTATTGAGTGAAAGAAATAGGTGAGTTTTTTATTGATTGATTCATGTAAATGCATATTTATTTTCAATGTTGTACTTAGGTAATATTTTACTAACTATATAGTATGTAGCTTGGACAGCCAAAAAAATCAACTATTTTTTTTTGAAAATTATATCGACAAAAAAAATATTGTGAAAGTTTGAGTCCATAATATTATTATTAAGAGGTCTATCATCGCAATTTTAGATTTTTTTTCCTCAGCAAGTTTTTGTCTCATAACTCCCAAACCATTAAGTTTAAGAAAATTGACTCGAAAATATTTTTTTAAGAACCGTTTCCTTAAAATCATGCTTTAAAAATTGGTATACTTATACATTTTGATCTTTTAAATTGGAATTTTGTAGTTTATGTAAAAATCAGTGCCCATAAAAAAACCGATAAATATTCTTATGGGAATTCAAATGCTTTACAAAAATCATTTTTTGGCTAAATTCACTTAATCAAAAGTTATTCAAGGTTAAAATTTCGTTTTGACTTCAAATTCGACCTTGAATAACTTTTGATAGAGTGAATTTAGCCAAAAAATGATTTTTGTAAAGCAGACTTTTTTTTAGAGCATTTCATTTCCCATAAAAATATTTATCGTTTTTTTTTCAGGATACTGATTTTTACATGAATTACAAAATTCCAAAGTAAAAGATTAACTTGTAAAACTATACCAATTTTTAAGGCATGATTGTAAGAAAACGGTTCATCTGACGGGAAATTCCAATCAAACCTTTTTTGTAGAGCATTCAATTTTCTTCAAAAAATATTTTTAAGTCAATTTTGTTAAACTTAATGATTTGGGAGTTCTAAGACAAAAACTCGCTCAAGAAAAAAAAATCTAAAATTGCGATGATAGACCTTTTAATATTAATATTATGGACTTAAACTTACACCATAATTTTTTTATGTCACCCCAAACAATATTTTCCATATACTTTAATCAATTTTTTTGGCCCAGTCTAATGTAGCTATTAACATTCTTTTAAATTATAGATATAGTTAAATCAAACATAATAATCGAAAAAGTTCATTTTTAACATCTTTAATTTTTTTCAAATTTTGTGTGGTTTTTTACAAGCTAGGATGACCACAAATCTTAATTTTGAAGGTTCTACGATAATTAGTTACCGAGAAATTAATTATTCTAATAATACGCTAAAGAAGTATCGGGTTTTCGCAATCTGGTGGACATCAAAAGCATTGCGTGAATTTAATACATTTAAAGCACAGATTATACATCATTTTTAAATAAATAGGTAGATTTTTCACAAAAGAGAGGAATTAAATGAATTTAAAAAAAATGGCACATCCTGTGAAAAATTAAAAAACTATAATAATTAATTATGGCGGAACCTTCAAACCTAAGATTTTTTAAAGATTAAACATTTTTTTTTCATTTATTGGGTTGGTACCACATAGGTATATTATAAAAATTATTCACTAATAACAACCATCCTGTTTTGCTATAAATTTTCTTTAAAAATGGATAAACTCTCGGCTTTAGGTATAGTAAATTTAAAAGGAAACGACGTACACGTAATCGATGACGTCATAATCTAAATTTATAAAACGAAGTCTGTAATTGAATATTTGAATGCATTTTAAACAACTTTAGTTGGCAGCAATTGCAATGTTGTCATGTTTAGATTAAAATGACGCATAAAAAAGAAATTGACGTTTTAGAATTTTGAAGCTGTCAGTTGTGTTTTTGAATATTTCGTTTAATTCGTGTATACTTTTGTCTGTTGTTTGTGTTATTTTATATCGTTTAAGTTTTCATTGCCCTTTTTTTTGTTTGTTGTAAATCGTTTTTTTGTTTTTCCCACAATCCACACAACAAATACAAAAAATCACTGCAACACTGCACAGTTTAACGGCGACCATTTTTGTTGTTTACAATTTCTGTGCTTTGGGTTTGTGCTCTGTTTATACAGATTAATAATCGTTTTAAACGTTGTGTTTCTCATAGTAAGCCTTAAAAGAGGCCTTAAAGTGCTAAGAACAACCATTTTACTCCTCTATTGTAAAAAATAAACTTTATTCTATCAGGGCTGTCATAAAACTGTCAAATGTCAATTTTAAGGTTAAATTATAGGTATATTTATTATAAAAGAGGAGTAAAATGGTTGTCCTTGGCACTTAAAGGCCTTATTTGAGGCTTACAAGTGCCTCTGTAAGAAACACAACGTTTAAAACAATTATTAAAACCGAAGCACAAGAATTGTAAACAACAAAAATGGCCGCCGTTAAACTCTGTGCAGTGTTGCAGTGATTTTTAGTATTTTAAGCATAAGATAGAACAGACCTTGTTGTGTGGATTGTGGTATTTCCTATATTTAAAATGCCGAATCATTTAAATAGTCAGAGTCGAGTTGATATCATTCTTAAAACGCTATTTTGAGGCAGAACGGGATAATAATGGACCTTTGTTACCTTTAAAGGTAAATAGGATTATTATTAATTATATATTAGAATATTTAACAAAATATATGTTGGATACATAAAATAATATATATACCAGAGTATGGCAAGTTTTATAGCTGAAAATGTCTTTAAAAATGGCTAAAAACGTACTTTTGGCGGTGCATCATATAGTTTATAAAAACTCTGACTTTTGACATTATGGTATTCTAAGGTCCCAAATCTAGGGACCCTATGGTATTATTAATGTAAACGCCATCTATCGCCCTGTAGTTGCACTACCACTTTCACTTGATGCAATTATTTTAGTATAACATTGACAACCGTGCCCGATCAGCTGATTGATGACGTGTACGTCGTTTCCTTTTAAATTTACCATATACTATAAAAATGGTGTCAAGGAATGTATAAGCATGCCCTCTTTTTAGTGTCGTGTCCACTAACATTTCCTCTAAACTCTGTGTATTTTTGTTTGTGTTCAACCTTCTAATTTACGCTAAAATCATGGCGACCGATCAGACCGTGCGAGGGCGACTGCAGCGCCAAAACCACCGAGCGGAGCGAGGCGACACGACGCTTGTCGCAAAGCGAGCGAGGGATACCGCAAGCCCAAAGAAACGACGAACGCGCTTGCTTGCTCGATAGGTACCTACTTCAACATTCACTTTATAACGCTGAATTATCAAATAGAAGGCTCTGTATATTGACGTTTTGTTGCTTTTTTCCGTTGCTTATCTGGCGTCCATCTAAAGTGTCAATGTATGGTGTCTGCGTAGCCGTAGAGACACTGGACGTCGCAAAAACCGAATTAATTCCACTGAGGCACCGTGAAAACTCGTTTTTCTTTAGCAATCTGGAGTCGTCGAGGACGATGAGCTTTTCCGCGCCGAGCGCCATCAACATGGACCACGCGATAGTCAAGTTCGACACGGAAATCGAAAAACAAACGAAAAAACAGTCGAACGTCGACGTCGCCAGTCAGGAGAGCGTCCACTACCAATCGGAAGTCGCGCACGATTGGCAGTCGTTGAGTTGCTTGACGGACAGCACCGAGCAGAGCGCGCCAATCAACTTCGACATGAGCAACAGGGTAAGTTGCAAACCAAATCATGTCACAGTGATATTCTCCAATAATTTTTGAATAAAATACTTGGTTTTATTTTTTAAATTTATTTATTTATTTTTTAAATTTTAATTAAAGTAGGTGGCCTTCGACTTCAATGCATTTATTTATTCGCATTTCCACCTGTGACTGTTGCTCGACGAACTCTTTTTTTCGGGTGAACACTCCCGTTTGTAGTAAACTGCTTGACTGTACGGTGAAATGAGGTACGTGATCGATTTTTTTTCCGGAAAACGCTGAGCGTAGATATTAACAGCATCATCAAGATTCCTGCTTGCTTCCCCACAAATCAAAATCATTTCTATTTTTTCTTCCACTGTTAAAAAATCCATTACGAATAACTGCTTAATGAAAGGAGGTCTTTTTGTTTGCAAATTAATCTTCGAACTAAATTGATTAAGTAATGCTAAAATATAAATAGTGTCTTTATACCTCAATAATAATTATTATTTATAACTAAATACCATTTTTTTATACCTCAATTAGGATTAAAATAATTTGTATGATAATTTTTACCTTGAATGAGGTATTTTTATTAAAAATAGTACAATAATCCTTTAAATTAAAGGATTTAATGCTGGCAGGTAAAAAGTGACCATAGTGTGCAATTGATCATTATCACCGAATGAGTAGAAAAGTAGAAATTTGAAAACTGTTATAAACAATAAATTTTTATTCAACAATTAAATAACTTTTGGACTACGCATCTCAGAAAATCCATACAGAGGTATTTTTGTAGGAAATTTAATTTCCTACAAATTGTTCTCTGACAATTTTTTTATAACTTCAACTGTTTTGTTGATAAGAACGAACATATAACAATTTTTGAGAAAATTGGGCTTTCGAGGTCGACACCGATGAGACGGGTTCAAGTACAAAAAAATGTTAGTGGGCACTTTCAAAGAGTCACTAATATACTACAAATTCTGACTAATCGCAATAAAATACCATGAAATCAAACGGAGCTATATTAATTTAAATTTAAAAAATCATGATTTACACGTTATTTAAAAGAGAAATATACATCGATCGAGAGGAACCACTTAAAATTAAGGGCTCAAATTTTAAAATTTGATAAAAGGAACAAAATTTTCATGTCAGCGAAAAAAAAAATGTTCGTTTTAAATGGAGCACCCTAATGTATATATCTTGTTGTAGGCTAAGCTCCCAAGAGGAATAGACAAAATCAGACCGCATATTGAACTAATTGACAACGTACCTCTATTGGTGTCGCTTTTTACCGATTGTACCCCAAGTGCAACGCGGGAAATGTTGAATATCATGCAAGACTACGGAGAAATTGTTTGCATTATAGGTTCTTCGGAAAACTCCGAAAACGGTGGCATTTTTATGCAGGCAGATGCAAGGTATTGAAACTTTGTGAGATTTTTAGAAGCGCCATCTATCACACCTATCATTTCAGCATCTCCATCGAGCCACTATACCCTCAAGTCTGTCAAAAACGCGAAGTATTCAAAGCCTCCAACCCAAAAATACTGTCACCTATAACTCTCTCTTGCGAGTTAAATTCCATAGCCTGCTCCTTAACGTTCAAAAGAGAAGAACCGATCTCTTTTCACCGCTTGATCATGGAGGCGAGGCATTTCATAACCACCTTATGGAGTTCAGGTACGATTTCCCTTGTGAAAATTTATCTTTATAAGACTTTTAGCGGGGAAATGGTAGGAACCTAACTAAAGCGATTAAAATAAATATCCGGAATTATTCAGAGAGGTTGTATTTGATTATTATAAAATAAAACACAGAAAAGTATTTATTACCATTTTGCCGGGGCGGTAATAAGCCAAGTTTATTGCATAATTACATATATAATAACATGTAAGGTGTAATAGTTATAACAATTATAATTTTTTACATATGATGCCCTGGACTTGCTTTTATTGTTGCCACTGTACTGTTCTATTTTAATAGTTTCTTTTTATAGGCAAATATTCATCTAACCATTATTCCAAACACTTTTTAGACACAATATCGATTTTCTCAGCTGACCAATTAGAGCACAGCTGATCTGTCATGTGATGGCATCTTCCCGCGTTTTCAAGATAGCTCTCCTGTCACTACTTACCAAGTGTTGCCGTTTGCGGGTGTTTTACTCGGAAATCGGGTATTTTCGTCATGTTTGCGGGTAGAATTTTGAAGCGGGTAAAATCGGATATTTTGCCAATTTCGATCAAAATACTAACTGAAGATATTTTCAGTAAATTATATTGTATGTTTACTAAAAATGCATAACTATTTTATTCCATACAGGATATCCTGTTACATTTTTATTTACTTAAATAAAAATTTTAAATTGGTTTAATTATTTTTTTTTAAACAGGGCGAATGCGCTAGTAAATTTAAAATATAACTAGTTTTTTAGTACCTATTTTGTAATTTTTGGTCGGGAACTTTTATGATATTCATTCGGCAACTCTGTATAAAACACATGAACCAATGAAGGCAGCTCGAAGATCAACCATATTTGTTTTATGAGTTTTATAATCTGTGTATGAGGTCGACTGTCGACCATATCATGCCTATGCGTTGCGAAGAATTGTTATAGTTATTATACCTTATATATGTACTTAATCAACAAGGGATCTGTATGTACACAAACCAAACGTATCTCCCAACTGTTTTATTCTGTTCAATTAAAATAAAGTTTGTTTACCTATATTGTAAACATTGCTTCCGTGTTTTTATAAGCCTTATAACAACACAAAAACAGTGTTTATAAATCCTTTTCATTGTGCTTTCTTTTGCAATAACCAAATAATGTTGTATAATTCCGGATATTTATTTTAATCGCTATAGGTACCTACCATTTCTCTGCTAAAAGTCTTATTAAGTCTTAAACAGTCTTATTCAGACTTTTTAAGAGAAAGTAAGACTTTTGAGTTAGTAATTTGGCTGTTTCAGTGCAATTCTGGCTGTGTTGCTGTTTTGTTTTGAGTTTCTTGGAGCTCGTGGCCGCCTTGTGCATGCTACCTCCCGTTCTGTCCATCGGCCAAACTTTGTGGTTATGTTGCATCGTTATACCCGTCATAAGTATATCTTTGATGGTGAAAGAGGTCGACCCGGACGTGATGAAACAACCGCAGGGGAAAATACAGAACGTGTCGGGTTGGAACGTAAGTTTATCGATAAAAAAAGAACGAAAACAATTTTTTCGATCTTAGGTGGGCATTTTTATCCTGTGGTGCTACGGGACGAAGTTCATCCCCACCGTCCTGATGGTTTTGGTTTCCTACGTTGGCATCCTGTCGAGCCAGTGCGCGGAATTGTGCTCGATAAAAAACTGCACTTGTGCCTTTTTCTACATCCCCACTTTTTACCCAGACGAGAGTGCGAATGTGGTGGGGTGGCCGCCAGACAGCGCCAACCTCTACACGGCCAGATTGGTCACTGTGTTCATCGTGTTGTTGCATTTCGGTGAGAAAATTTTGCTCGTGTTTAATATTTGTTTAATCGCTTTTCTTTAGTTGTTATATCTATAGGATTCGTCCATAGGGACTACTCTGTGTTCAGAAAACTTCCAAACACCAACATAGCCTGGTTGGGGGCTGTATTTACTCTGTAAGTAGTGTTTGTATTAAAAAAAAAGTTTTTATAAATATGCTGTTACAGAACGTTGGTACAAGCTTTTTATGTTGTTGTACAGTATAAAATAACCACACCGCCTCAAGATGAAGTTAACTACGTCACTCCTACGTGGGTTATATTTTTTTCCGCCATATCGCCTTTATGTATTTTTATTATCAATGAGTTGGTGAAGAGGCAAGAAATTAAGTAAGTACAGAATTTGTTGATAAAATATTATCTCACTTTGGTGTATTACCTACTTGGAAAAAAGTCGGGTTAAAAAAGTTTGACAGATGTCAGATTTGTAAAAAGTGAGGTAAAAACCGCTTGACAATTGACTATAATAAACAAAAAGTAAAGTTCATTTTTTTTTATCTGGACCGTGGCAACGTTGCAAATTTAGTGTTTTGGTTGGTAAATACCGTTGTCAAGTTGGTCGCATTGATTAAAACAAACTAAGCTAGTTATAAATCTAATTGTGGTTATGTATAAATTATTGTAGGTTACATTGTGCAGTTGTCGAGTTGAGTTGTCGAAATTTGTAGTTAAAAATGCAATTAATTTGGCTTTGGTGGTGCTTGGATGAGTAAAATCATATAAAAAAGAAGTTAAATATAGGTTGCTTTACGGCCTAGAAGAGAAAGTATTCCTAGCGGATAATAATCTTCGCTTTGAAAAGAATTTATATAAAAGAAATTAAAATTTTTGTGAACGTAAATGTTGTTCAATCGGTTATAAAAACCAAATTCGTTACTTTTTTACTTCAAAAATGTCCATAAGGCGATGTACTTTTTCTTCCATTGGGGCATTTGGCATAATTTCATCAAAATGAAGTTTTGCCCTCAAAAGGGCTTTTACATTGGAATTCGTTGCCATTATTTTTGGCATAATTATCTTTTTATTTATAATTGACAAGTAAATTATCAATTATAAATAATATTGTCAATTTGACAGTGTCAAAGTATTTAATTAAATTCTTTAGCAGAAGTACCATTTTTAAATACTAAAAATACTAAGTCAAACTGGCATAAGCCACCAACCTAACAAAAAAACACGAGTCCAGATAAAAAAAATGAACTGTAGTTTAAAAACAAAACCAGTTTTTGATGAAATAATTCTCAAACATTTTACTTTAAACTATCTTTTAATTTATGCACGGAACGAAATAAACTTTTATACAATATTTTCCGTGTGGGGATTAATATAAAAAATTAATGGCAAAAAATTATATTTTTGACCGAATAAAAAAAAACACTATTTTAAAATTATTTCTTTTTTAGAGTAAACAAAAGGTTCCTGAAGCGTGCAAGATTAGACTTTGGAACCAAACTGGGGATGAACTCTCCATTTTAAAGTGCAAAAATATTTTTATAACAAACTAACCGACTTTTTAAGAATTTTTATTTTACAAGACTGGAATGTTTTAATAAAGTACTGAAACTGTAAATAAACTATACAAATTTGTGAGGGGATTCGTTTTCATTAAAACCCATTCAGTTTGATAATATAATTTATTGATCACACGTTTGTAAATAGAGATTTCTTCGTATGTCTCGTTATTCATAATATGCTCTAAATTCAATTTCAACAAGCCAAATATATATATATATAATTCTTGATTGCAACTTTCAATGTTGTTGGGAAGTAGGTGGCTTAAAAGCTAATGAGTTTTCGGCACAAGATATTTTAACTTTTTTGCGGTAGTGATCTGTTCGATTTAGTCGTGTTAGTAGTTAAAATACCTTGTTGGTTAGTTTTTAAGTATAATATGCATGTCAGTCAATTTTACTATTAATATCTAAAGAACACAATGTTTCAAACGATTTATTTTCTACTGGTGTTCGGTTTATTTGTACTGGGGTTATCTTGAAATAAAATTTTGATAAAATAAAAAGTGTTAAAATAAAAAAGAATTTTCTGCTACATTAAAATCAAATAAAATCCTTTAAAACATTATTAAAATTAAAAAATCGCGCAGGAGTCTCAGGGGTTTTCCGGAAGATCGAGTATATCGGAAACGAAACCGGAAATGTCGGTGTCAACTTCGCGCGCGCGTATCAAAAACGGATGCTCCAGCAGCTGGTTGTAGTTCCACCTCTCCTGGTAGCTCTTCTTCAAGCAGTTGACGGTGAAATCGACAAACTCCTCGCTGAACGAGCCGTCAACCGGCAATTTTGGCGGCTCGTCCGTCACCACCTGTTGCAGCTGCTCGAAGGGGGTTCCCCACTTTTGGTAGGGGAAACGACCGGTCGAGAGCTCGATTAAGGAGATGCCGAAACTCCAAACGTCGGAGCGGATGTCGTATTTCGAGGGCTCACCCTGAGGGTCTATCCGTTCCGGCTGAAAATTGACGGCGCCTTCAGGAATGTTTATATACAAAAGTGCTCTTTTAGTTCCACCCTTTACTTCTTAAGAAGTCCCATAAGCCAACTGAATGGCTTGTGCGGGTTAGGGGTAGGAACGGACCGCGGGCTTAAAGTCCCCTCCGAAGGACTATTACACAATAGGACAACACAAATGTGCGTTTTGTGATTTGGGTAAGTACACAGCAAACGGAAAAATATAGAACTATAGAACTAAAAGTTTTATCAGAACTGTATTGAATCGTGCTTTGTTTTTATATTTTTCGCCTCTATACCTTGCACGACTATAGTTTAAGTCAAACTCAATGGTGTCTTACAAGATACATTATTTTGATTTTCTATATTCAACAGTGAGGTAGAAACTCGACCCTGTCGAATGGCGCAGTCGTTTTAGCATTTATTAGATAAAAGTTTAAAGATTAAAGTTTAGCACTTATGTTTTAACAGAAAATTATAAAGTTGATTTTTTTAAACTCAAAACAATTGATGGTCAAAAAGTATTTTAAATATAAAATGCAACAGTAAAAGTCTATGTTTAAAAATATTGATTTTTAATACAAAAATTCTCACATTACATTAAATGTAAGTTTTAAATTTTAAAGTAGTAACCATTGGACTGAACCCTATGGCACGCCGTTTTAACATTTATTAAATAATTTTTTAATTTAAAATTTTATTGGTTTAAAATTTTCCTAACTAAAAATTTTAGGTTTACATTTATAAATTTATAATATTTTCAACTATCATGTATTGAAAGACAAAATTTACTAACCAACAGTTCACTTCTATATTAAACAATATTATTTTCTATCAATTTTTGTAAAAATTACTAATAACTATCACTTTTTAATAAAAATAATTTCCCAAGCATAATTTATTTGGGTGGCATTTTGTTAACTTAAATAAATATTTTATAAAATTATTGAGATTAATTTGGTAAAGTTAAATTTTTTAGTATTTAAAAATAGTATCAAGCCATTTAAAATAAAAACACATATAAAACATTTTCTACCAAAATAGTTTAAAAAGTTAAATTTTTGTAAACTCAAAACTATTGATAATCAAAAAATATTTTAAATATAAAATGCAACTGTAAAAGTTTAAGTTTAAAAATATTAATTTTTAAAGAATGGAATTTTAATATTTTATTCTTCAAAATTATTGGTTTAAATTTTTAAAGAGTCATTTAAATGATACTTGATAAATTTTTAATACAACAATTCTCACATTACATTAAATGTAAGTTTTAAATTTTAAAGTAGTAACCATTGGACTGAACCCTATGGCACGCCGTTTTAACATTTATTAAATAATTTTTTAATTTTAAATTTTAAAGAGTCATTTAAATGATACTTGATAAATTTTTAATACAAAAATTCTCACATTACATTAAATGTAAGTTTTAAATTTTAAAGTAGTAATTTTTGGATTAAAAATTTATTTATTTATCATTTAAATGACTCTTTACAAATTTAAACCAATAACTTTTATTTTTAACAATTTTAAATTGATACATTTTTAAGACAAAATTTATAACTTTACATTTAAATGTAAGTCGATAATTTTTAAATTACAAAGTGTAAACGTAGCTTTAGTACAAGGCACAAGAGTCTGGGATCGGAGCCACGATGCAGCCAGTTTGATCCGCAGTGTTGCCAAATCGTGCTTGCTCCATAAATATTTGACGCGTTTTACAAATTATCGTAATTAAATGTTTCTTTATTACATAAATTTAATAATAGAACAACAACATTTTTAGTTCCTATTGCACCAAGTTAATTCGACAATTAAAAAACATCAACGGATCAAACTGGCTGCATCGTGGCTCCGATCCCAGACTCTTGTGCCTTCTACTAAAGCTACGTTTACACTTTGTAATTTACAAATTTTCGACTTACATTTAAATGTAAAGTTATAAATTTTGTCTTAAAAATATATCACTTTAAAATTGTTAAAAATAAAAAAATTTGGTTAAAATTTGTAAAGAGTCATTTAAATATACTGTGGAGAGTATTGAAACGCTCGACTGACGAATACAACTCTATACCGTGGCGAGGGTTTATAAAACTGTATTCAAACGTATACACTTCTATATTTTTCCGTTCGCTGCGTAATGCCGACCAAATTATTGGGTAGGTAGGAAGATAAGGAAAAATTGGGGCGCCTTAAAAATAAAACAAAAACTTACTGCCATGTATGGTTTGCAGCCGGCGTCGATTGTTTTGGCTACCGAGTCGACTAGATACCCGCTGATACCGAAGTCGCACATCTTTACCTCACCCTTGCGGTTTATGAGGATGTTCGACGGTTTGACATCTCTATGTATGACTTTCAGTTGGGAATACAAGTAGTGCAGCGCGTTTACTACGGCTAGAGATATTTTACCTGAAAATATTTGCATTCTAAATTTCTAAATGGTGTTTTCGCGTTGTAAAGTCTTACCCAAAACTTCTTCGGGTATTTTTTGCTTGTGGTGGTAGACTTTGGCGTAAAATTTGTCGAGGCTCATGTCCATCACCTCCATGCATATCCAGACGTCCCCTTCGCGAAATAGGGCGCCGTAGAATTGCACCGTGTAGGGGCATGCGCTGCTGCGCATCGATATGTCGAGATCCATTAACAATCGTTTTTGTTCCTGAAGAGACGCGTCAAAAATAAAAACGACTTTGGTTGTTATGAACTTTATCCGATTTCAGGAATTAAATATTAAGATTCATATCAAGCTTGTTTGTTTAGAATTTACAGGAAAAAAATACAAATAAAATAAAATATAAGAGGAGGAATATTTCAAAACATAACATTTTGAAAAAGAATGTCGAAGTTGTAGAATGTCTTTTTTTAATCATAACCTATAGTAGACTTAAAAAAAATGTTCCATATGGGTACACTGAACATTCGTCGAAATATTTGCATTTAGATTAATTTAAAATTTTAGCAAAATTAATGGTTTTATAATTAAATACTAGTACTATTTATTAATTAATTAAAATACGAAATGATACCACATATTCTTGAGACTAAAATAATGTGATATAACTAAATTTTAATTACCTATATGGGTGAATCTCACGAAATGTCCCCTGATGGTGTTACCCCATGATATTTAATAAAACTAAATGAGTTGACCTACACTTTTATTGTGTTTTAATCTTTCATAATTAAGTAGATATTACAGCTCAGGTTCCAGATTTTTAACCGCAATTAATTATTTTTTACAATGTTATAAAAGTCCAAAACCTATCCTCCGTGACTGTTACTCTTTCTAGGTTAACCTATATGTTTTCAAATATCTGAGGTAGTAAAAACATACTAAAAATATCAGTTCACTAAGTAAATTAAACACATCCAAAGCAATCGAATCAAAAATAAAATATTATTAAAAATTAAAAGAAATAATTTTTATAACCATTTATGTGGGTGTTACAAAAATTGATTCTATCCTCCGTGAATCTGTTTTTTCTTTGAATTTTATGCAACGGATTTTATATAAGCAAAAACCTCTGTTTACGACATTATAGATGCATGTGATTCCTGAAGGTCAGTTAGAATTTATATGCAGATGAGAGTATTGCTGTTTTATAATTCAAAAGTTAGTTCATTAATTTGCTATTTAAAAACCTATTCACCGTGAAGTGTAATATCTCATCTATAAATTACTTTGCAAAATTTTTTATTTTTGGGGGTTTTCAGACCGTTTAAATGATACCCATCTTTTTGCACCTTAGTGTATACACGTTTAAATAAAAAATAATATTTTTCCAAAATATTTGCATTTAAATTGATTTCAGGGACACCTGGTATAATTTAAAATGTTGGCAAAAACTTGTAAAGTGTCGACTTTAGAAGAAAAAAATTAATCATTTTTTGTAGAAAATTTGTAATTTATGACAAACTAATATTTTTAATTTAGTAAATTAAAAATATCTTTCTTGTATTTTTTAGTTAAACACATATTTTTATTAATATTTTTTAAAATAAGCATTTTTTTAATTGAATATGATATTTTTAGATAGATTAAATCAAATTAAAAAAAGCAAATATTTTAAATTCACTAAATAAAAAATATCAGTTTGGCATGAAAATTAAATCTAATTTTTAATTTAGCAAATTAAAAATGTGTATTTAACAAAAAATTACTTTTTTAAAGAAAACTTAATTTCTAACAAAAAGGAAATCAAACTTTGAACCAATAAAATACTTTAATGTGGGGCTGAGTTCTTAAAAGTATTGTTAAGAGCTCTAAATTGGACTGAATTGTTTAGAGCGATATCTTTATTGAAAATTATTGTTAGTAGCGGTTAAACAAAAATCATAAAGTAGCTAAACTTTAAAAATTTAAAAACACGTCAGTAAAATCTTTCCACTTACTTGTGTATTGACGGTTGCGGTGATTCGTTTGACGGCCATGATCGTGCCGCTAGGCACGTGTCGCATTTTTTCGACGATGCCGTACGCGCCTCGGCCGAGATCGGAAATTTTCACCAGATCGTCCGCCTCAACGTCGCACGTTTTATCGCCTATCGTTATCGTTGTCCGTGTGTCCAAATTCGCTGGCGGAGTGATTCTAATAAGAAGAATAATGTCAGAACTACATACATTATTCATTATAATCAATAATGTGATTTAAGCGCAAAAATAAAATGATTACAATTGCGAAAACAAAATAATTGTTAATAAAGATGAAAGGAAGCTTCACATATAAATTAAAATTCACACAAATTACGAAATAACGCATTTAACTACTAGAAAAATAAATGATTGTGTTATCCTCATTAATCACTTTACTCCACACAAACTTTGAAGTCGTAAAATCCGTATTCATAGTAATTAAAATTACCATAAAAATTAGCGTTTCATAATTATTTACTTACACTGGTGGAGGTGTGATATTAATTCCTTGAAATTTGGGCAAATTGCCCCTTTTCCTTGCTGCCATCTCAAAAGAAACTATTCAAAATTATCACTTAACTCTAATAACTCGAACACGTGCTTTAGATTCAACAAAAAATCATTTTATTCTTTTTTTTATGACATTCTTCTTGTGACCCTAGTTATTTTTTTCTCACAACACCATAATAGGTTATTTTCGCGATTACAACAAAACTACGGTCTGTACAGCTTAAAGTACAATAAGAATATCGAAATCACACCTAAAATAACAGGTTTTTAATTAAAATTCATTTGTTTTTGCCGTTTTTACCTTTAAAAGCCAAAACGATCAACAACTTGGTGGATGTAAAATGACACACGGTGTTGACAAATTTAAAAAATATAACATTTTTACGAAATTTACATTCTTAAAACCGCCTTTTTTCTCAATTAAATTTTAGACAACAAAGGATGTTTTAATTACCTACTTGTGTGCAAAAACTAGCAGTGAAATAATGTGTATTCTTTAAAAAATTCGAATTTAGTTAGCAGTAGTTTAAATGTACTGTTAAACTTGGCATCGTGGCGACATTTTTTTCCGTTTTGGTTGGTATCACTTTTTGTGGTTGACATTCCTTCGCTCTGCAACGTTGGTACGCATAATCTTGACGTTTTCATAGACAAACGTCAAAAAACTAACAAATAAAAATGTAAATAGCTCTAAAAATCGCGGTTTGTACATCCGTCGATTGAAAATATGTTAATTAGTTGGGAACAATCAAACGCCAACAGTATTAATTGGTGTCATTGGGACAATGGCAACATTTAGTAAGTTTTTTAACACAAATACCAATATTACTATGTTGGATGATTTGATCCCTTCGATGGGGCTTCCTGCCTTTATCAGTGCTATAGTGCTCTGCTGTGTGGGGTTCTACTTGATAAGGAAGTTGAGTGTCGATACCAAAATACCTGTAAGAGATTCTTCCAAGAATCATAACTGGAGTACTATTGAAGTGTCTTCCAAGGTAGGTTACAAACAGTTTTCTTAGCAAAGCAACTTTTTTTTCATATTTAAAGCTTAAATCCTAAATCCTGCATTTCCTTTTTCTCCCATTTTACTGTACTTTTGGTTTGACTTCATATGCTTTTTTAAGGCATGGTACTGTTCCATATGTGATATGTTCCTTGTGACGGGAATTGGGGTGTTTTGCGATTGTTGCGGGGTATGTGCTTGTCCGGAAGATGTGAAAAAAGCAAACTTAAAATTACCTTGCAAAGCTATAGTGAGCACTAATGATGTGCAGCTGCATCATTGGGTTAAAGGTACAAAACTTTTGTGTCATTCTTTGTTTTTAGTTAGTTAGAACCTAAAATGACTATCATTTAGTAATAAGTACCTTATAAATACTAGACTGGGCCAAAAAAATAGACTATTTCTTTTTAAGTATTTCGAAAATATGGTTTGGGGGGACAAAAAAATTATTGTGAAAGTTTGAGAGGTCTATCATCGCAATTTTAATTTTTTTTTTCTCCGCAAGTTTTTGTCTCAGAACTCCCAAACCATTGAGTTTAACAAAATTGACTCGGAAATATTTTTTTAAGAAAATTAAATGCTCTACAAAACGGTTCATCTGACGGGAAATTCCAATCAAACCTTTTTTGTAGAGCATTCAATTTTCTTCAAAAAATATTCTTAAGTCAATTTTGTTTAACTCAATGGTTTGGGAGTTTTGAGACAAAAACTCGCTCAGGAAAAAAAAATCTAAAATTGCGATGATAGACCTCTTAATATTAATATTGTGGACTCAACTTTCACCATAATTTTTGTTTATCACCCCCAAACAATATTTTCAATATACTTTACAAAAAAAATATAGTCGATTTTTTTGGCCCAGTCTAATAAATACTACAAATTTAGGGAATCTTCCGTTGGGCACAATCTGTTACATTTGCGACGAAGAATGTTGCTTGGAGCCGGGTTTGAACGATTTTCAATGTTGCTGGTGCCAAAGAACAGTACATACAGAGTGTTTGGATAAAATGGGGCAGGTTTGCGATTTCGGATCTTTTCGTAATATGATTGTGCCGCCATCTTGCGTACAAGTGGCCAGAAGAAAAGGGGCTTTGAATAAGCATCTTTTGTTGAGAGCTGTAAAAGATCCTGGCTGGGAAAATTGGACACCACTGGTTGTTATTGGTAAATTTTTTAATTTAAAAAAAGTAAGAAAAGAAACAGATTGTAGGTATTGGTTTTTGTAGGGAATAAAAAGTCGGGGAATAGTGATGGGGCTCAGGTATTGTCAGAGTTCAGAAAATATCTGAATCCAGTGCAGGTTATCGATTTGAGTGAGAGAAAACCACAGGCGGCTCTTCAGTGGTGCGTTTTATTAGCACCAAGGCCTGTAAAACTTTTAATTGCCGGTGGTGATGGTACTGTAGCATGGGTTATGACGTCATCGTATAAAATGGACCTAGACGTGAGAAATCAAGCTTATAAAAAAAAAATCTGACGCAAATTTTCAGCCTGAACCGGAAATCGCCATAATGCCCTTGGGCACTGGAAACGACTTATCTAGAGTTTTAGGCTGGGGAAAGGAAAACTCGACCGACTTTGAGATCGTCAAATTGCTGAGAAACATTCAGAGAGCGCGAAAATCTCAATTAGACAGGTGGAAAGTGGAGTTGGTCTCCACGCGCCATCTAGGTTTAAGAATACCCACTAAAACGCTGTACATGTACAACTACTTGTCGGTAGGGGTGGATGCTCAGGTGGCCTTGAACTTCCACAAGACGCGCCAAAGCATTTTTTATGTCTATGGAAGTCGAATTTTCAATAAAGTAAGGGTCCTAGGTAGGGTTTTTAAGTGCCGGAAAAATTGGGAAAAAAGGTATTTTTTTTTTCAAAAAATTTAATGTTTTTAACATTAAGTATTTTAATTAACAAAATTGTATAAATTGATGTGTTAAATAAAACGATAGTTATGTTTTTTTGCGACCCGGTATAATATTCTTTCTGAATTAAAATAAAACGAATAATTTTTATATAATCATTAGACGGCCAAAAAAATCGACATTTTTTTTTTGTAAAGTATATCGAAAATATTGTTTGGGGTGACAAAAAAAATTATTGTGAAAATTGACTCAAAAATATTTTTTTAAGAAAATTAAATTAATGCTCTACAAAAAAGGTTAAAGTGAAATTTTCCGTCAGATCAACCGTTTCCTTAAAATCATGCCTTAAAAATTGGTATAGTTTTACATTTTGATCTTTTAAATTGGAATTTTCTAATTCATGTAAAAATTTCGTTTTGACTTCAAATTTAACCTTGAATAACTTTTGATGGAGTGAATTTAGCAAAAAATGATAAAAGACTTTTTTGTAGAGCATTTGATTTCCCATAAGAATATTTATCGTTTTTTTTTCAGGGTACTGATTTTTACATGAATTACAAAATTCCAAAGTAAAAGATCAAATTGTAAAACTGTACCAATTTTTAAGGCATGATTGTAAGAAAACGGTTCATCTGACGGGAAATTCCAATCAAACCTTTTTTGTAGAGCATTCAATTTTCTTCAAAAAATATTCTTAAGTCAATTTTGTTAAACTCAATGATTTGGGAGTTCTGAGACAAAAACTTGCTCAGGAAAAAAAATCTAAAATTGCGATGATAGACCTCTTAATATTAATATTATGGACTCAAACTTTCACCATAGTTTTTTTTGTCACCCCAAACCATATTTTCAATATACTTAAAAAAAAATTTGTAAATTTTCCAAAAAAATTCTTTTAAGTTTTTTTTGTAGGTATTCTTTAAGTAAAATGAAAAAAGTGCAAAAGTAAATTTTTCTGAAAATTTCCCAATTTCTCCGAAAAGTTTAAAACTCTAGTCCTAGGTGATCAATGATCAAATCCGCAATGCTAGGGGGCCAGAGTTGGTTTATACCTAGTAAAACACACGTTTTTATTATTCTAGATGTTGTATTTGTGCTTTGGCACCCATCAGGTTGTCAATTCCGATTGCAAAAATATTGAACAACGTCTCGACTTGTACTTGGACGGCCGAAAAGTGGACTTACCCGAACTGGAGTCCATTGTGATTCTAAACATATCATCTTGGGGCGCTGGGGTCGACTTGTGGCGTAAATAAAAAAATACATATATAACCGAAATGCCCGTACAAAATAATACCACATATTCCTGATACCAAAAAGATACAGGGTGTTAAAGTTGAAAGCTAGTTTTCGATTTTATTAAATAACTTTGGAAAAAAAAAACGCTTTTGCACAAAGCTTGATTTTTGTGCAAAGTTATTTCATAAAGTTAGTTAGTTATATCGCCTTTTTTTGGTGTCGGTAAGTTATTGTACCATTTTGTACAGTCATTTTAGGGTCAACTTGTATATGTGGGGGTACCTCAAGTCGAAGCTGTACGTTTTCCAGGAAGATCGGGCTAATAACCTCAATGATTTAGGAATCCGCATAACTAATTTGTTGGGGGATATTAGTCCAGAAGTCCTAGCAAATGTGCGTGGGAATTTTTATAATAGGTTAGGCTATTGTTTGGCTGCCTATGGGGGCTTGTTCGAACATTTAATTTAATTTTTGAGTTTATTTATTTTTATTATTTATTTTTAGAGTTTTATTTTTATTTAGAGTTTTATTTTTATTTATACCTAGTTATTTTTATTCAGAATTATTTTTTATTTGAGAAATCTTTTTTATTAAGAATACTATTTTTGTTGTTGCCCTAGTTCTCAAGGAAAAAATCAAAAAATTTTATTTTTAGGATTCGGGTACCTATAAAATATTTAAAAAGAAAATTAAAATGTGCATCTACACTCTTACGCAGTTTGCTTGACACTAAATCATTTAGTCTAAATGCAGCCAGACTGAGAGTTGACCTCGCTTACAATTCGCACGCATCCGGCAGCCGGCTCTGGCCAATCAAATTCTATTTGGCGTTCTATCCTTGTTCTTTTCACGCGGGTATTGAACAGCCGTCCTTTCCAGTGTGGTCGGACTTGGATTTGCAAGCACTGTATTTTTGTAGGTATGGGTTCTCAAAATGGCAGATCCACCCAATCATACCATGATGGAATTCTGGAGGTTGTTGGCATATATTCTTCATTCCATATTGCGCAACTGCAAGTAGGGCTGTCCACACCCTTGAAACTAGGGCAGGCCAAACATGTAGAGGTATGTTACTTACAGTAGACTGGGCGAAAAAAATCGACTATTTTTTTTTGTAAAGTATATCGAAAATATTGTTTGGGGTGACAAAAAAAATTATGGTGAAAGTTTGAGTCCATAATATTAATATTAAGAAGTCTATCATCGCAATTTTAGATTTTTTTCCTGAGCGAGTTTTTGTCTCAGAACCATTGAGATTAACAAAATTGACTAAGAAAATTGAATGCTCTAAAAAAAAGGTTTGATTGGAATTTCCCGTCAGATGAACCGTTTTCTTACAATCATGCCTTAAAAATTGGTATAGTTTTACAATTTGATCTTTTAACTTTGGAATTTTGTAATTCATGTAAAAATCAGTACCCGGAAAAAAACCGATAGATATTCTTATGGGAAATCAAATGCTCTACAAAAAAAGTATCATAACGTTTTTGGCTAAATTCTCTCCATCAAAAGTTATTCAAGGTTAAATTTGTTGAAATTCTTGTTTTTTCCGCTCTAGATTTTTTTTGGGAAAGTTAAAAACTTAATTTTTTTATCGATGATAAACTTTATTCTAATGTTTTCGCTTTAAGAAGCTATTTTCTTTAGAAAATATTATTTTCACTGTTACCTACATATTTAATCGTTTAAATAATAACAGTCATGTTGTTTTTTTATTGGAAATTGTTAATTAGTTATATAATACAGATTTAAAAAGAAAAAAATCAAATTATCCATAAAAAAATTAATCTACAGAAGAAAAATACAAGAATTTTGTTTTGACTTCAACTTTAACCTTGAATAACTTTTGATTGAGTGAATTTAGCCAAAAATGTTAAGAGGCTTTTTTTGTAGAGAATTTGATTTCCCATAAGATTATTTATCGGTTTTTTTTGTGGGTACTGATTTTTACATGAATTACAAAATTCCAAAGTTAAAAGATCAAAATGTAAAACTATACCAATTTTTAAGGCATGATTTTAAGGAAACGGTTCATCTGAAGGAAAATTTCATTTAACCTTTTTTGTAGAGCATTTAATTTTCTTGAAAAAATATTTTGGAGTCAATTTTGTTAAACTCAATGGTTTGGGAGTTCTGAGACAAAAACTCGCTCAGGAAAAAAAATTAAAATTGCGATGATAGACCTCTTAATATTAATATTATGGACTCAAACTTTCACAATAATTTTTTTTGTCACCCCAAACCATATTTTCGAAATACTTTTCAAAAAAAAATAATAGTTTTAAACTAAAGTTGCTGGAAATTTGTTCATCAACATTTTGCGAAGCTCTTGTATTTACCGAGATAATGCACGTTTACTTTGTTCTAGATTCGATTAAAAGGGGAACTTCCAGTTCAAATAGATGGCGAACCGTTTGAACAGCACCCCAGTACCCTACAAGTTACCTACACAAACAAGTGTTCCGTTTTGGTAAATCAAAATCCCGACGAATAAGTATTATAGAAATGTTGGCTTTTTGACGACATTTCTACGCATTTATTGCTAAGGTTAATCAACTTGAATGTTAAGTACTTAAGTAAGTTTTTTAAGAGTAATATTTTTTATTGTTTGAAGTTAACATTCCCATTTATTTTACACAAATAGTGCCATATGTGCTAGTCAAATTATTTTGGTACAAATTTTTATTTTCTAAAAATAAAGTATTATAATGTTATAATTAATTAAATTAAGTAATATTACTTACTTATATTGTTATCTTCCAAATAAATGTTATATTATATCTACATATGTATTTTAAAAAGCGTTTTAGTTTATTTTTTTAAAGTATTTTACTAAGCAAAAATAAAAAATAATTTACATGAAAAAGAGTCTTAACATGGATTGCTGAAAAAATAATAAAATAAATCAATTTCTTCTGTGTTATTACTTGGCTTTGAATTGTCTTATCTCGTTTCCTATTGGTTGCACAAAACAAGTGTTAAAACAAAAATTTAAAAATACCATATTTTTGTTCGTATTTGGGAAGTATAAATACTTTTTAATAAATTACATAAAAAAAAGCATTTAATAATAAAACACAAAATGATGATATTTCAGATTTTATAATGGTACCTATGTTTAACCGCAAGAATTTGGCAACGTCGTATTTCTACCACGATAGCCAATAGGTTTTTATCATAGACATACTAATATGTAGATGGTCTTTATAATTAACCAATTTGTGGCAATATGCATATTATGTCACTTTGCTTTTTATAAAAACCACAGAAATGTATGTAATCATAATCATAGGTGATGTACCTAAGCAAATGATATAACCTAAAGTTCATTTTTTTTTATCTGGACTGCGGCAACGTTGCAAATTTAGGGTTTTGGTTGGTAAATAGAGTTGTCAAGTTGGTCGCATTGATAAAAACAAACTAAGCTAGGTATAAATCTAATTGTGGTTATGTATAAATTATTTTAGGTTACATTGTGCAGTTGTCAAGTAGTTAAATATAGGTTGCTTTACGGCCCAGAAGAGAAAGTATTCCTAGCGGATAATCTTCGCTTTGAAAAGAAATTAAAATTTTTTGTGAACGTAAATGTTGTCCAATAGAGAATAATGTCAAAATAATGTGGGATATAATATTTATAAAACCAAATTCGTTACTTTTTACTCCAAAAATGTCCATAAGGCGATGTACTTTTTCTTCCATTGTGGCATTTGGCATAATTTCATCAAAATGAAGTTTTGCCTCAAAAGGGCTTTTACATTCGAATTCGTTGCTATTATTTTTGGCATTATCTTTTTATTTATAATTGACAAGTAAATTATCAATAATAAATACCTATTATTATCAATTTGACAGTGTCAAAGTATTTAATTAAATTCTTTAGCAGAAGTACCATTTTACTTAAATACCACAGAACATAAGTTAAATACTAAAAAGCCACCAACTTAACAAAAAAAAATGAACTGTACATACCATTTGAAGAGTTTCCATAGAATGTCTTCAAAATTTAATATATGATTTTGTCTGGCATCATACACATTCATAAATAATTTTAGATTTCAGATTCCAAGTTAATAATAATTTTTAAGGTTACATTTATTTTCATACGCCAGTGTATTTTGTATTTCTATAAAAAAAATCAATTATAATAATCAATTTTTAATAGTATTTTCTTAAGGAAATCTCAAAAAAGCAATTTTTAGCACTTTTTAAAACTGTCAATTGAAATTTCTTGCAGCCAACTTATGAAACACAAAAATATGAAAGTTTTAAGTCTTTATTTTGCCATTATAACTACAAATTAACAATTTATATTGGTACATATGTTGTTTTTAGTTTTTAATGGTACTTTAATTTGTGATAAAGTAGTAATTTGTTAATTAAAATACAAGTTGTAATATACGTTTTATTTTTACTACATTGGCACTGCCGAATTTGTAGCCACAGCCTACTTCAAATCTGTGCAGTCAATAGGAAACGATTTTTTTTCAAAAAGAGGAACACGGAAATTTGGCGTAACACCTTTTAGATTGTCAGCCAGTTTGTAATTTTGTCCATGTTAAAACACAGATTGTACCTATAGTATACTAATATATATATATTGATGTTAAAAAAATTAAATATTAAAACAGTTGATGAGTATTTTGAGATTTTATTTGATTTACCAAAAAACATAATAAAGCAATAACATACTGCTTGAATACAAAAATAACAAGCTCTATTATAATTATAATTATAATTAAGTATAATATAAAGAATTACAGTTAAAATCTTTATTTGTCAGAAACAAAACATTTTCATAAAACGAAAACAATGTAAGGAAGCCCCATCCAATAAAATCGTTGCATATTATTGAACACATTATGGTGTGTAGCAAATTCTACATGTATTACTTGTACATATTGAAAATGGCTTGGCCAGGATGGAAGGTCTTCACCCCCCTATCAAACGTTTTGTATTGGTAGTGGTTTGTACCACCGTCACGGGATACGTTGATAACTCCGGTCACATCAGTGCTACGCCCCGTTTTCAAAGAGGCCACCTCTATATGTACGTCCGATACATATTGCAGCGTGTTCGATATAATTTCGTCGATTTTGTTGCACACGTGCGTGTTGATGACAACCGCAACGTTTTCCGTGTCCACAAGAGAGTTGCAGTAATTAATAAACGAAATTATGTGGGCGATGTCCACCCCTAAATCCAACAGGTGGCTTAAATCGTCCACAATGAGGTAAATCTGTTGGGTGGTGCTTTCCGATAGCAGCGCTATCTGCGATTGTATTTCCCCGAACAAACATTTAACCAGTTCCTCTTTATTCTCATACACATCGTCTTCGATTATTTTCTGCGTCAAATCATCCAAAGGTTCTATTATTCCCGCCTGATGATCGTCGATGCTCTTCTTAAAATCATAACCCAACTTTTTACCCACGTTTTGGTAGTGATCTAAAGTGTTATGCAACCCGATGAGCAGGATTTTGTTTTTTTCGTAGAAAATTTGTTTTATCAAATGCGTTAGAATGAAGTTCGAGTCTGCGCTGCCGTTTTCCTTAACCGAGATAATTTTTTCCGACGTTTTGATTTGAAGTGAGGCCAGAACAGGGTTGTTACTTTTCGGGTCTGTTAGAGACAACATTTTTAACCTGAAATCAAAATATCAACTATAATCCCATACAAGTTAGGTTAAATTTGAAAAAAGTATTTTTTTTAAATAAATAGGTAGTTTTTTCACAAAAGAGCAGAAGTCTTACTCGACAAATTTTGTTCAACTGCACAGCTAAATCGCGCACCTTATTTGTGTTTTACGTTGCAAGGAAAAAACTAAAAAACTGGTTTAGTACTCGATTTCGATTGATTATTCTTTATATCATTGATTAAGAAACTCAACGCTTATATACTTATATTGTTACGTTAGTGTGTGTATTTTATCTAAGGGATCATGGTGAATTATTGTGTTTTTGATTGTAAATAAAATTCAACAACTAAATCGTTGCATTTTCATGTTTTGCCAAAGTATACAATTCGGTAAGTACTTTTGTTGGTGCAGAATTAACTAATGATAACTTTACCTAATATAATTTATATTTAAGTTTGGACATTTTTAAGAAATTAGTAAAAAATAATTTTTGCACAAACATAACCTTAAAATCAACCATTTTTATATTTGAGTTCTCTAAAAAACGCCGACAACTGCATTTTAAACAACAAAATATACCTACGAATTCATGGCTACATAATATTATATATAATACATAATATAATGGTATTTTACCGTTGAGTGGAGACTTTTTTAATCAACGCTTTTAATAATGCTAAATGCTGTTTGAATTTAGACGACTTATTTGTTTGACGATTTTTACTGAATTGAAATGTTTACACTTTTCACGTTAATCATTACTAAAATGTGTACCTAATAATATCTAATAATAATATCTAAAATATCTAATAGATACAATTTATATTTACAGAGACTGTATGCAATTTATTTCTCCATTCGGATTAACACTGTTTATTGGAAAACCGGTAAAAACTCAACCCAGGATTTCCTCTCGAAATACACCCAACAACACAACAAATCGTGCCACGGTTTTTTTTTTCGATATTTTTTAACATTTTCCGGCTTTATTCTCAAAAACACTCGTTTGTAACACATGCGTTTGACAGCTGATTATCAAAAGTTGTACTTTTGTTACGATGATAACAGCCGAGTGGTGGCGCTACTAGCGATACTTCTTTAGCGTGTAGGAGAAACAAAAGATGCTGGTGGTAACTCAAAATCTAATAGGCAATTGTTTTAAAACAATTACAAATTGGATATAAATGTGTTTACATGTGAAACTTACTTTTTTTCAAAATTCCCAGGAATAACGATTTTTGTTGTTTTTAATTATTTGAAAACCGCAGATTTTGTTTACAATTTTCAAATGTTATTTTAGCAGAATTGTAATTAAGCAACTGAACCGACCTTGTTGCTCTTCAAATAAAAAAGATACCCATACATAGAAGAATACTTGACAACTAAATTAATCAAGTTATTAAATGTTAATAATTAAGTATTTTAATCTAAAGTAAATATTGAGATAAAATCTTATTAAATTTTATCAGTTAAATAAAGCTTAATAATAATTTTTATCTGCTCCTATTAAATAATATTGGATTTTTTCCATGTATACAGTGTGACCCATTTGTTTGCGACTCAGCCCTGTAAAATCTTTATTTATTGTGCGATTTTAACCCGATTTGTTTTAAAGTGTAGATCTCGATAAACTGTAGATATTTTTGGAGCAAAAGACTCCATATTAGTACAAAATACAAGGCCTACTATGTCAGATTTTAAGAATTCATATAAGCGTTTTTTTAAACAAAATCTAAGCACGGCACTGGATTTACCACCCCTTAAAATGACCCTTTAGTTAATTTTATTGAAAAATATTAAGTAGAAAAATGCACAATAATAACTACAAAAAGTTATTCTGGCAAGTTATCCATGAAAAAAATATTCAAATAAAATTAAACTTATATAACTATATAGTAATAGTACCATGTTATATATAATAAAGTTAATTTTAAGTTAAAATTGCGTTAACTTTAAACTAAAACAGATATAAGCGCCGAACTAAAACTATTAACCGCGATAATTCAAGTTCAGTTATACAATTTTAAACCACAGATAATAAACACAGAATATCTAGTTAAATTTTGGCGATTTTGCGTTTACAATTTTAACCTTGACATGTGCAAGGTTCAACGTCACTGAATATTTTAACAATCCATGAATTTTAATAGTATAAAATAACAATGTGATAATAAACCTCATTAAAAAAAGAATTTTCTTCAAATTTCTGTCAAAATCGGATCAATATTTGGGAAGGTAATGCATTAGTTTCAGGTCAAGGCGGTAAAAAACATGCTTGGTAATATAAAACGATAATAATACGATTACTTCGAACGCGAATGTGGTAAGACCGTTTAGCCTTGAGTAAATAATGATTTAACAGATAAAGCAGAGGACTTGGCGCTTTGCAATTGCCTAAATTAAACTGTGCACCATGAATATAACAGCTAAACCCTACTCACCCAATGTGTATTGAGAAAAAATTAAATTAGCAACAACCAATAATAAGGTAAACAATGTTTATATTTTACATTTCACGTCAAAACACGAGATTTCCAAAACTTAACCTCAATTTTTGACAATTGTCGTGTGGTGCACGTCACGCAACCTTGATGGCGCTGCGGCGCGCCAAATTCAAACCAAATGATAGCCATGAAAGTTTAAAACTGATAAGAATGTTGTAATTAGAGTTATCGAAAATGTTTAGTTGACGTGCGTTAGCGAGGGACATCGGCTGACCAGTCGAGGCCACGCGCGTTTTTTTAATTCTGGCAATATTTCAGTTATAGGTGGGTCAGGCTAAAATTAGTGGATTGTGTGAAATTTTGGTGCGATGTCGGCGAACGAGAGGAGAATTGCACGGTGGTATTTCGGGGGGCTGGCGTCAGCGGGAGCGGCGTGCGTAACGCATCCGCTGGATTTGATTAAAGTGCAACTGCAAACGCAACAGGAAGGAAAAGTGTCCATTTTCAAACTCACCACCAATATTATTAAGAAAAATGGTAAGTTGTAACAAACGAAATTAATTTTTATCGCTTATTTAAATTGATTCTAAGAATAGATTATTAATTAATTTAATAAAAATTGGGCGCTCGATAATTTCAGTTATATAAATACCTAATAATTATTTTCTGTGTACAAATAACTTTGAATGACCTTTTCATAAATAATGCAACTTTAATTGCTATTTATTTTATCTATCCAAAATAATTATACATTTTAGATTTTAAAAATTTTGTACCTACATTTTAAGAATTTTGGGAATTTTATAAATTTTTAAAACTACCTATAAAAATTTGAAAATTTTTGATTTTGGAAATTTTGTAAACTTTGGTAATTTTGTAAATTTTGAAATTTGAGATATAAGAAATTAAAATTTAACATTTTTTGATAATTATAAAAAATTTTAAAATGCGAGACTAAAAAAAATTTAAAATTTGGAAATCATAAATTTTGTAAACTTTGGTAGTTTTTGAATCTTTTTAGATATTACAAATTTAAAAATATATTTATGATTTAAAAATTTTGAAAATTATAAAAAAGTTTTGCAAAATGTAGATTTTGGAAATTCTGAAAATTTTTAAAATTTTTAAAATTTTATTACAATTATTGTCAATTTTGAAAAAAAAATTGTGCATATTAAGAAAATTTTCACAACTTATGGTTTTCTACTCTCCAAACCCTAAAAAAATTTGAAAATATTTAACATTTAATTTTTTTTTACTTGTTAAACCCTCAAATAATTTGTAAATTTTGGTAATTTTGGAAATTTTACAAATTTTAAAATTCTTAAAATTTACAAAAAGTTTTAAAAAATTTAGGAGTTTTTACGTGTAAATTTTGCAAATTCTGAATATGTGGATTTTGGAATTTCAGAAAATTTTGTTTATATTAAAATTCTTATCAATTATGGAAATTTTAATTTTTTTAAGATATTAAAATTTTTATAAATTTAGGAATTTTTTTACTGGAATAACCCCAAACTTTGGTATTTTTAAAAATTTTTAAACTTTTTAAGAAATTAGAAATTTAAAAAATGTATTTAAGATTAAATTTTTTTTGAAAATTATAATTTTTTTTTTATTTTCACACATCGTTTTCTACTTGTGAAACCCTCATAAATTTTGTAAATTTTGGTAATTTTGGAAATTCTGAAATTTTTTAAGACCCATTGGAAATTTTAAAAGTATTTAAAATTAAAACATTTTAAAATTTATAAAAAAATTGTAATTTTGAGAATTTATGAAATTTTATGAATTTAGAAAATTTTAGAAATTTTCACACGTTATCGTTTTGTTCTTGTCGAACATTCAAAAATTTTGGAAATTTTGAATATATTTAAGATATTACAAATTTTAAAAATATTAAAGATTTCAAAATTTTGTAAATTATAAAAATGCTTTACATTTTAAGAAATTTGAATTTGAAATTTATAACTTTTGCAAATTCTGAAAATTTTTATTTTGGAGAATCTAAAAATTTTTGAGATTTAGAAAATTTTGTTTATTTTAAAATTTTTGTCAATTCTGGATTTTTTATTAGAATTTTTTTAAGATATCAGACATTTTTAAGTTATTAGAAACATGAAAATATTTAAGCTTTACAAATTTTGAAAATTATAAAAATGTACATTTTGAGAATTTTACAAATTTTCACCCACTTTATCGTTTTCTACTAATGAAACCCTATAAAATATTGAAAATTTTATCAATTTAGGAAATTTTGAAGATTTTGGAAATTTTAAAATTTTGGTAATTGTGAAAATTTTGTAAATTTCCAAAATCTTGAAAATTTTCTAATTTTCAAATTTCTTAAAATTACTAAATATCCATTATTTTAAAAAAATTATATAATACCTAATGGACATCTTGTAATTTTAAGAATTTTGAAAATTTAGGAAATTTCCAAAATTCCTAAACTTTTAATATTTCCAAAATCTTCAAAATTTTCTGAATTTTGAAAGTTTAGTAAATTTTGGTAATTTTAAAAATTTTGGAAATTTTGCTAATTTAAAAAATTTGGAAATTTTGAAAATATTGGAAATTTTCACCCAGCCTATCGTTTTCTACTCGTCAAACCCTTTCATTTGATACCCATATCAAGGAGGTTGCGAAAAAATAGCCAATCCGCTGTCTTAGGGCTTAGCCTTTAAAATACCATAAAATCTTGTTTCTTTTCAAGGCGTGCTTGCTTTATACAACGGCATCTCCGCCAGCCTGCTGCGACAGCTCACCTACTCCACCACCCGCTTCGGAATATACGAGGTGTGCAAACAAAACATGAAAAGCGACTCGTTCGCCGCGAAAGTGGGAATCGCCGCGTTTGCGGGGCTATGCGGGGGAATAGTTGGCACCCCTGCCGACATGGTCAACGTGCGCATGCAGAACGACATCAAGTTGCCGCCCGAAAAGAGAAGAAAGTAAGATTTGACAGCTTAAACGTCATTCATGTGACATTTGTGACAGTAACAATTTATTTTAAGTTATAAACATGCGTTGGACGGTTTGATGAGGGTTTACAAGGAGGAGGGTTTTAGAAGGATGTTTTCCGGCGCCACCACTGCGTCGTCAAGAGCCGTTCTCATGACCGTCGGACAATTATCGTTCTACGATCAAATAAAAATGACATTACTAGCCACTCCGTATTTTGACGACAATATGACAACGCACTTTGCAGCTAGCCTTTCAGCCGTAAGTATTTTAGGGATAGTTAAAACGGTTAAAGCATGACGTAAAACGTTGAAGTGATACCTACATTTGTTTTACCCTTATAGGGCGCCATCGCGACAACCTTAACGCAACCTCTAGACGTGCTAAAAACCCGCGCGATGAACGCCCAACCTGGGGAGTACAAAAACCAAATGGCCATCGTGATGCACACCGCCAAAATGGGCCCGATGGGCTTCTTTAAGGGCTACGTGCCCGCGTTCGTACGTCTAGCGCCCCAAACCATCCTGACGTTTATGTTCCTGGAACAGCTCAGGCTGTACGGCGGGTGGATTAAGCAAAATTAAAGTCGTAGTTGATACGTAGCCCAGGCGAATCAGGCATTAGTGATATATGACCGACGAGAGCTACATATGCTGGGCTGCCCCCTTTCTCACACCTAAAGCATTTTGTTAGTAAATTTGTATAGTTTGCATTTTAAAGTCAATGAAGTTACTTGAAATAAGTAAATTTGACGTAAACCTATTAGTTATTTATTGACAGGGTAAATTTTGTTGTTCAACTGACCTATTTTTTTACACCTATATCTACACAGTGCCAAAATACTGCCCCTCAAATTGTAGTTATTGTTTTTGAATTATATTTTTATATTTTGGATTTTATAACTAAAAACTGTAAATGTAAATATTTATTTTGCTCATTTTATCTTAGTTTTTAAGATATTTAATTGTAAAAAATAGTTATTTGATTGGTCGTTTGGCTGCATTTAGTATGTTTGGTGATTGTTAAGTTTTAAAAAATTTGTTGTAGCAATAAAAAGTATTTATTTCAATTATAACATTTTGTGTTATTTACATTTTTTTTCTTGCCCATTTTTATACAAAACCCTGTTTTTTATTTTCAAATTTTTATTTGTTTCAATAATGGCGAAGGCTCCGGGAATTTTAAGATTTTATAACAAAAAAAATATATAAAAATCGATTGTAATTTACTCTTCAGTAGTAGACATTTTATTTTGACTTTTATTTAGCATATACAGGGTGCAAAATCAGATGAGAAAAGAATACGAAAACTTTATCCGTGGCGTTGACTTTGAAACAGTGTATCTTCGTTAATAACAGAGATAATTACGTAAACAAAAAACCAAAATGTTCAGAAAAGATAGGACTACACTATGATTACAATTTTTATTGCTTATGCACCCCACAGGGTGTTACAAGTTTGGGGAAACACTTATTTTTACGTTTGCACAAATTAAAATCAAAATAAAAATATCTACAACATAACATCCAGTGGCGGCTCGTCAGGGCTCTAATTGGTGGTTTTGTATCACATGACTAAAGATGTGGTGGGTGGCAGTTTGTGTTGCAGTGTGTGTAGAGCGGGTGTTTTTGTTTTGATTTAGATTAAATCGTTTAAAACTGTTGTCTGATCTTTTATAGTTTTTGCCTCGATTAGTAAAATTTATTATTTTATTATTGTGGTGCACGGGGGTACATACACGCTACACAGGTAGAATTGGCAGTTTTATTAAGCAACAAGTTGTATTGGGTTTCAAAATACCGATAAATATTTTTTTTTAATGAATTTTGTTTATGATTTTATTCTCACAATAATTGAATCCCCTCTCCTATTCACGAGCCGCCACTGATGACATCGCAACTGAAGAGTCAACCTACAATTAAAAAAATACATATAAAAATTAGATACGCGGTTTTTAGATTTTAAAACGAATTCAATTTTTAATATTTTCTTTATTTTTAGGCCTGTATAAGCGTTGTGATGACTCAACCAATAGACGTCATTAAAACAAGAATAATGTCTGGATATTGCCATGGTATTATTAAGTGTTCGAAATCTCTGTATGAAAAAGAAGGTTTACTAGCCTTTTATAAAGGAATTATACCATCTGGAGTAAGACTAATTCCTACAAATATTATAACGTTTTTACTATTCGAACAGCTAAGGATTAGGTTCGGTTTTTATGCTGTTGTTCATTAAGATTCATTTTTTATATTGAATTAAGGTAAATATTTCTAAAAATAATGTGTATTCTGCGGCAATAATAATAATAATTTATTTTAAGTTATAAACATGCGTTGGACGGTTTGATAAGGGTTTACAAGGAGGAGGGTTTTAGAAGGATGTTTTCTGGTGCCACCACTGCGTCGTCAAGAGCTGTTCTCATGACCGTCGGACAATTATCGTTCTATGATCAAATAAAAATGTCATTACTAGCCACTCCGTATTTTGACGACAATATGACAACGCATTTTGCAGCCAGCCTTTCAGCCGTAAGTATTTTAGGGATAGTTCAAACGGCTAAAGCATGACATAAAACGTTGAAAAGATACCTACATTTGTTTTACCCTTATAGGGCGCCATCGCGACAACCTTAACGCAACCTCTAGACGTGCTAAAAACCCGCGCGATGAACGCCCAACCTGGGAAGTACAAAAACCGAATGGCCATCGTGATGCACACCGCCAAAATGGGCCCGATGGGCTTCTTTAAGGGCTACGTGCCCGCGTTCGTACGCCTAGCGCCCCAAACCATCCTGACGTTTATGTTCCTGGAACAGCTCAGGCTGTACGGCGGGTGGATTAAGCAAAATTAGAGTCGTAGTTGATACGTAGCCCAGGCGAATCAGGCGTTAGTGATATACGCCCGACGGGAGCTACATATGCTGGGCTGCCCCCTTTCTCACACCTAAAGCATTTTGTTAGTAAATTTATATAGTTTGCATTTTTAAAGTCAATAAAGTTACTTGAAATAAGTAAATTTGACGTAAACCTATTAGTTATTTATTGACAGGGTAAATTTTGTTGTTAAACTGACCTATTTTTTTACACCTATATCTACACAGTGCCAAAATACTGCCCCTCAAATTGTGGTTATTGTTTTTGAATTATACTTTTATATTTTGGATTTTATAACTAAAAACTGTAAATGTAAATATTTATTTTGCTCATTTTATCTTAGTTCTTAGGATATTTAATTGTAAAAAATAGTTATTTGATTGGTCGTTTGGCTGCATTTAGTATGTTTGGTGATTGTTAAGTTTTAAAAAATTTGTTGTAGCAATAAAAAGTATTTATTTCAATTATAACATTTTGTGTTATTTACATTTTTTTTTCTTGCCCATTTTTATACAAAACCCTGTTTTTTCTTTCAAAAGGTTTTATTTTCAAATTTTTATTTGTTTCAATAATGGCGAAGGCTCCGGGATTTTTAAGATTTTTTAATAAAAAAATATATAAAAAAACGATTTTAATGTACTCTTCAGTAGCGATTCTGAAGTAGACATTTTATTTTGACTTTTATTTAGCATATACAGCAAATGAGAAAAGAATACGAAAACTTTATCCGTGGCGTTGGTTTTGAAACAGTGTATCTTCGTTAATAACAGAGATAATTACGTGAACAAAAAAACAAAATGTTCAGAAAAGATAGGACTACACTGTGATTATAATTGTTATTGCTAATGCACTCCACAGGGTGTTACAAGTTTGGGGAAAAACTTATTTATACGTTTGCACAAATTAAAATCAAAATAAAAATATCTATAACATAACATCCAGTGGCGGCTCGTCAGGGGAGGCATCTGGAGCTTGGTCTTGCTCTAATTGGTGGTTTTGTATCACATGACTTAAGATGTGGTGGGTGGCAGTTTGTGTTGCATTGTGCGTAGAGCGGGTGTTTTTGTTTTGATTCAGATTAAATTCTTTAAAACTGTTGTCTGATCTTTTATAGTTTTTGTCTCGATTAGTAAAATTTATTATGTTATATTGTGGTGCACGGGGGTATATACACGCTACACAGGTAGAATTGGCAGTTTTTATTAAGCAACAAGTTGTATTGGGTTTCAAAATACCTGTAAATTTTATTTACTTAAATATATCTGTTTTTTTTTAATGAATTTTGTTTATGACATTATTCTCTCAATAATTGAATCCACCCTCCTATACACGAGCCGCCACTGATGACATCGTAACTGAAGAGTCAACCTATAATTAAAAAAATACATATCAAAATTAGATACGCGGTTTTTAGATTTTAAAACGAATTCAATTTTTTAATGTTTTCTTTATTTTTAGGCCTGTATAAGCGTTGTGATGACTCAACCAATAGACGTCATTAAAACAAGAATAATGTCTGGATATTGCCATGGTATTATTCAGTGTTCGAAATCCCTGTATGAAAAAGAAGGTTTACTAGCCTTTTATAAAGGAATTATACCATCTGGAGTAAGACTAATTCCTACAAATATTATAACGTTTTTACTATTCGAACAGCTAAGGATTAGGTTCGGGTTTTATGCTGTTGTTCATTAAGATTCATTTTTTATATTGAATTAAGGTAAATATTTCTAAAAATAATGTGTATTCTGCGGCAATAATAACAATAATTTATTTTAAGTTATAAACATGCGTTGGACGGTTTGATAAGGGTTTACAAGGAGGAGGGTTTTAGAAGGATGTTTTCTGGTGCCACCACTGCGTCGTCAAGAGCTGTTCTCATGACCGTCGGACAATTATCGTTCTATGATCAAATAAAAATGTCATTACTAGCCACTCCGTATTTCGACGACAATATGACAACGCATTTTGCAGCCAGTCTTTCAGCCGTAAGTATTTTAGGGATAGTTCAAACGGCTAAAGCATGACATAAAACGTTGAAAAGATACCTACATTTGTTTTACCCTTATAGGGCGCCATCGCGACAACCTTAACGCAACCTCTAGACGTGCTAAAAAACCCGCGCGATGAACGCCCAACCTGGGGAGTACAAAAACCGAATGGCCATCGTGATGCACACCGCCAAAATGGGCCCGATGGGCTTCTTTAAGGGCTACGTGCCCGCGTTTGTACGCCTAGCGCCTCAAACCATCCTGACGTTTATGTTCCTGGAACAGCTCAGGCTGTACGGCGGTTGGATTAAGCAAAATTAAAGTCGTAGTTGATACGTTAGCCCAGGCGAATCAGGCATTAGCGATATATGCCCGACGAGAGCTACATATGCTGGGCTGCCCCCTTTCTCACACCTAAAGCATTTTGTTAGTAAATTTATATAGTTTGCATTTTTAAAGTCATTGGAGTTATTTAAAATAAATAAATTTGACGTAAACCTATTAGTTATTTATTGACAGGGTAAATTTTTTTTTCAACTGACCTATTTTTACACCTATATCTACACATTGCCAAAATACTGCCTCAAATTGTGGTTATTCTTTTTGAATCATATTTGTATGTTTTGGATTTTATAACTAAAATCTGTAAAAGTAAATATTTATTTTGTTCATTTTATCTTAGTTTTTAAGATATTTAGTTGTAAAAAATATTTATTTGATTGGTCGTTTGGCTGCATTTAGTATGATTGGTGATTGTTAAGTTTTAAAAAATTTGTTGTAGCAATAAAAAGTATTTATTTCAATTATAACATTTTGTGTTATTTATATTTTTTTTTCTTGCCCATTTATTATGCAAAACCCTGTTTTTTATTTCAAAAGGTTTTATTTTCAAATTTTTATTTGTTTCAATAATGGCGAAGGCTCCGGGATTTTAAAGATTTTTCAATCAGATGAGAAAAGAAAACGAAAACTTTAACAGTGTATCTTCGTTAATAACAGAGATAATTACGTGGACAAAAAAAACAAAATGTTTAGAAAAGATAGGACTACAATATGATTACAATTGTTATTAATAATAATAATAATAATAATATGAAAAAATCCCTCTTCAATACCAACTTAATTAAATTAAAAAAACTAAGCTTTTTTGAACTTGGGTTGTTTAGTTATACTATATAATCCCACTTTGTTAAATTTTTGACATAAGTGTCATTATGAAAATATTATTAAATTGATGATGGTACATTTTGGGGTATAAAACAAAATTCTTGGTGGCTTATACGGTCTTTAATATGTTATAGAAGGGGATCAAATTGTATGTAGTGTTTGTCTGTTTTTGTTTGGTAAGTAAAAATAATTACCTAACATTTTTTTGTTAATTATTTGAAGATTTTTTTTAGGTGTTTTGTTGAATAGAAATGGGTAAAAAACAATCGGATAAAATACCGCGTTGGTATTTTGGAGGCATAGCCTCAATTTTTGCTGGGTGTTGCGTCCATCCCTTGGACCTTATCAAGGTACATCTCCAAACTCACCCGGATGGAAAAACTACGATTCCTGAAGTGGCCAAAAAAGTATTAAGAGAACACGGTAAATTTTTCAACAAAAGTGTAACTTTTTTCTACACTTACGTACTTTTTTCAGGAATTTTCGCCTTTTACAGTGGAATATCCGCCGCCGTAATGAGACAGTTCACATATTCCACGACAAGATTCGGCATATACGAAGTATTAAAACAAAAAATACAAAGCGAAACTTTTACCAGCAAAGTGGCAATAGGCACCGTATCGGGTGTAGCAGGCGGCATAGTGGGCGCCCCATCCGATCTCGTCAACGTACGGATGCAAAACGATCTAAAACTTCCGAAAGAACAAAGACGAAAGTAAGCTTTGATTTGCACAACCAAACCACTAAACAGGGTGTCCAAGAACTTTTTAAGGGTGTTAAATTTACTTCTGATATAATTTTTTTCTTGCCAAATAATATACACAGTAAAAAAAAAATCAACTCTAAGCAACACTAATTAGAGTTCACACAGGTCCACACTAAATAGTGTTGTTTTATAACACTACAATTAGAGTTAATTTGTGGTGTAATTTTCCCCAAGTAAGTAAGTATGATTTAACACTATAGCACTGAGGATAAAGTAATTTTACACAGTATTAAAAAGTGTAAAATCGTGTACTTCTACACTTCATGGGTAAAATCCCACTTTTGTTCAGTATAAATTAACACTACTTTGGAAAAGTTCTAATTTTAGAAAGGTACTTTTACTCTTTTAGTGCAAACTTCTACACTGAGAAAAAAATGGGACAAATAAACTGTTTACCTAATACTTTTATTTGTAGTGAATATATTGTTTATTACCTCTAAATAGTCGAAATAATAACGATAAATATACTTTAGTAAAACTTTATATGTCGGGAATAAAAATATATTTAGGATAAATAAACTGTACCCTTGTCCCATATTTAAATATTTTTTTTATTTGGGAGCAATAAACTTTTTTCTCCGTGTAGTGTAAATTATTACTATTATTTGAGTAAAACCTATTGGTGGTAGTGAATAAAACGAAAGGTAAATAAAGAGAAACATTTATTTGGAACACAAATCTATGACAATTATCAAAATCGGTGCCTTTTAAAATATAATTTTATATTTGAGTCGTATGGTTGGCTTAAGCAAAATGGTTCCTTAAAACGTAAAAGTTTTATATCAATGCAATGTTTTACTGGCTGTCAACTTGTAAGCAATGAATTATCTTGGAAATTCATCAGTAATCCATTTTTCTGGTGTCAGGGATTTACCACACGTGTACAAATTTTCCATAAAATTAATAAAAATGTAGGTATAGGTTAATATAACAACCATTACGCTTGAAAATAAAAAGTAAATCAAGTATGTATGTATTTATATTATTAATGTTACAAGTACCCGACCTACTGCCGTAAATTATTGATATATAAAATAGGTCGCGTATGGACATCCTTTTAACATATTGGTATTTATTAAGTATTAAGACTTAAAGAAAAAGGAAGTATAATACTTACCAAAAAATAAGAATGTCCCCTTATGGATTCACCGTAATTAAAATCTAACTGAACAAAAATCTCACACTTCCGCAACGCGGTATCTCCGGATATGCACTGCGTAGGTAGATAGGTACCAACCAAACATTTTAGAACGCATTTCGGTTATTACCAGTTTTTTCAATCTATTTTGCCACTATTGGTGTAATTTAACTTTAATTGTGATACAATGTGCACTAGTAGTGTAAAGAAAAAAGAGCTCTAAGTAACATCAAAACAGACAAAGAAATTGCCATGCACTGTAGTGTACATTTTGGGGTAATAAACACTCGCATTAAGTTTTTCTACCCTTTTTATTTATTTTAATAATAAATAGTGTGAATGTACCAATGAATAATGTTCATATCTTTTAAATGTGTTTAATAAAGTTAATAAGTACTAAATGCTACCTAGTGTATTTTGTAGTGTTACTTTTACACTTACAAATCAACTCAATATTTTTACCCCTACACTAAAAATTTTACACGGGCAAAATTTTTTACTGTGTAGGTACAGTCTTTACATTAAACTTTTTGAATATACATTTTTATTACTACAAACATGTACAAAAATTTCAATTAATGCAGTTCAGACAGGAAATTAATGAAAAATCTCTAATATTAGCACTTTGTATAACAACCTTTGATTGTTTGTTTAAGATTTATTTTTATTTGTTTCAAAAACGTAATTTTTTTTATTTAAAAATAAGAATAACATTCCCGTAAGTGTTAAACTAACAACCTCATTTTTCTCAGTGTAGACAGCCCATAAACAACTTAACCAAAAAGAAAAAGGCGTAAGAGTAAATAAACCAAATCAAGCAGGAACGACACAAAATTTAGATTTTATAAATAAGTGTTGTGTGTAGTTAATAGGTATACAGTTAATTTTATCTGGTGTTTTTTTGTTATGTTGGTGGCTTATGCCAGTTTGACTTAGTATTTTTGGTATTTAAAAATGGTAGTTCTGCTAAAGAATTTAATTAAATACTTTAACACTGTCAAATTGACAATAATATTTATTATTGATAATTTACTTGTCAATTATAAATAAAAAGATAATTATGCCAAAAATAATAGCAACGAATTCGAATGTAAAAGCCCTTTTGAGGGCAAAACTTCATTTTGATGAAATTATGCCAAATGCCACAATGTAAGAAAAAGTACACCGCCTTATGGACATTTTTGGAGTAAAAAAGTAACGAATTTGGTTTTATAAATATTACATCACACATTATTTTCACATTATTCACCATTGGACAACATTTACGTTCACAAAAAAAAAATAATTTCTTTTATATAAATTCTTTTCAAAGCGAAGATTATTATCCGCTGGGAATACTTTCTCTTCTAGGCCGTAAAGCAATCTATATTTAACTACTTTTTTATATGATTTTACTCATCCAAGCACTACCAAAGCCAAATTAATTGCATTTTTAACTACGAATTTCGACAACTCAACTTGACAACTGCACAATGTCACCTACAATAATTTATACATAACCACAATTAGATTTATATCTAGCTTAGTTTGTTTTAATCAATGCGACCAACTTGACAACTGTATTACCAACCAAAACCCTAAATTTGCAATAAAATTCCAGATAAAAAAAATGAACTTTAGGTATATTTAATTAACTTAAAAATTACGCATTTCTTCTAGTTTTTTGGCACATATTATAATTTGGAGTTTTCTTTCAAAATTCATCAGATTTAATGCAAAAAGAACATATTTCTTGAGACACCCTGTATACCTATACATTAGGGTGTAAAAAAAGCTATGGAGCTTTCTTTTTTAATAATCCTAATTTATTAGCTACAAAAATGCCTTCGATGGTCTCTGGCGGGTCTACAAGGAAGAAGGCGTAAAACAAATGTTTTCTGGAGCAGGGGCGGCCTCATCCAGATCCGTACTAATGACAGTGGGGCAGTTATCATTTTACGACCAAATTAAAATGTTGCTCTTAAAAACTGCATATTTTGATGATAATGTTATCACGCATTTTACGTCAAGCTTTATTGGAGTAAGATGATAAATATAAGTATAAAATGTGGTCCTCAACTCGAGCCTCTGTCAAAATGTTAAAGCCTGAATTATAGATTGCCTTCCTTCCTTCCTCCCGTAGTCGTGCCCGTACGATTTGTGCGTCTTGTAAAAAGTCAATTTATAGATTTCCGTGTAAAATTTTGTAACCATGTGCGATGACACCTAAAATGGTTGACATTTGTTTTTGTTTATATTCTGCGTTTTACCCATTGTGTGTAAATATGAAAGATAAACATTTATATATTAGTGCAGTGATCACAATTTTAATTGCCCAGACGGCTTGTTGTATAGTGCCCAACTATGGAGAAAGGCAGTAACTGCTAAACAAGAAATTTGTGGGAAATTAGCATAAACTACATTTTTATAAAAAGCAGTAGGTATTTAACTGATTTATTTGACTTAAAAGATAGTTTACTGCATTTCTTTGTTGAATTAAGATAACAAATGTCCATAGCTTTATCATAGCACAAGAAAACGAATTTGTAGTTACTGGCTTTCTGCATAGTAGGGCAGTATAATAAAAAAAACATCGAACAAGACGTTGAAAGACTCGCCCACTTTACTAAGACCGGGAAACTACGGGGTTTTACAAAGCAACGTTTCTAAAAATGAAAGACATTGATCATAAACAATATTAATATCTAAATATCCTATTTAGACACACAAATTATTTAATAAACTGAACACCTATCTTAAATAATGCTAAACAATCATGTATTTTAAATATTTTGTGCCTACGCGCTGTCACCCTACAACGCATGTCCATAACAAGCACTGTGATTGGTCATGTCAAAGACCTTTACGGTGAAAGATAAAACTTAAAAATTTCTACGGGAGGAAGGAATGCTGTCCTTACGGTACGGGAATCTATAAATGGCACTACGATTTAAATAAACATTTTTGACGTAATTGTCACCATTAACATTGCCCGTTATTAATTTTAATTATTACTTTAAAATATTAAAATAACTTCAAAATATAATTTTGTTAAAAAAATATTTTATTCTTTGATTTTTTTTATTACTATAATTGCAAAATATTATCACAAAGTATTAAACATTCCTACACGGGAAATGTTAATGGTGACAATTACGTAATGTTCATCTTCTACGGGAGGAAGGAAGGAAGGAAGGAAGGCAATCTATAATTCAGGCTTTCATCTTTTTTTCATAAATTTAAAGATGTTTAAATAATAACTATTTTTAGGCAATTTTATGCGTTTTAATCTCTCAACCAGCAGATACTACGAAAACTTTGGCTATGGAAGCGAGGCCAGGCGAACTGATAAGTGTCAAAGATAAGTTGTTGTACGCCAAAAAACAGGGGTTTTACAGAGGTACCTTGATTTCGTCCATTAGATTTATACCACTGAATATTTTAACGTTTGTTTTCTTTGAACAACTTGTTAAGTATTATGGCAAACCAAGGCCTGGTCCATTTCTAAATCAATAAATTATTTTATTTATTCTATGATGTTTTGTTTCATTTACAAAAAAGTACATAATATAAAATCTGAGATACGAGGAGTGTTCAGAAAATAAGAATTGTTAAATTTCGCGGGTTCGGAGGGTCCGGTTGTCAAGAAATTTTCTTTATTATGTTGGTTTACATGCCCCCGAAGTATGATAAAAACTTTAGCTGTTTTCATTGTTTACTTTGTCTGTGGCAGCCGCTAAGGTTCGAAAGAAATAGATTAAAGAATTTGTATCCAATTTTGCTTAAAAAATGAAATAAATTCTGTGAAATGTTAACAAAGGCCTATAGTGAGTCTGCTATAAGTAAAACAAGAGCTTACAAGTGGTATAAGAGTTTCCAAGATGGCCGTAAAGACGTTGAAGATGACGAACGCCCCGAACGCACAAGCACATTAACAACCGATAAAACATGGAAAAAGTGGAAAAAATGGTTATAAATCATCAGAGAAGTCGCTGATGATGTTGGTATATCGATTGGCTCATCCCATGAATTGAATGTTTTGGATATGAAACGCGTGGCAGCAAAACAATACTGTAATGATGCCTCAGCCTCCATATTCGCCAGGCATGCCTCTGTCTGACTTTTTCCTATTCCCAAAAATAAAGAGAACCTTAAAGGGCCGTCGTTTTGCAAGCATAGATGACATTAAAAGCGCATCGCTGAAAGAACTAAAGGCTATCCCAAAGATCGAGTTTAGAAGTGTTTCGAGTATTGGAAGAAGAGCTGGCACATGTGCATAATATCCAATGGGGACTATTTTGAAGGCGACAACATGTGTAAGGTATGAATGTAAAGTTTCGACAAATATTTATTTTTAAAAACTTCAACTGTTTGTAACATTTTAAAAAGTATTTTTATTACGGTTAAGTTATTCTTCAATTTCTTATTATCAATAAACCTCAAAAACAAGCATACAAAAAATAATTCCATGTGTATTTAATCTTAGATCCAAAATGTTCTTAAAATTCCTAATTGTAGTACTACTAATAATGGAAGTTGAATTCAATAATTGTGTAGGTGTTTTCTTTACTGGAAAAATAAAACGATTTAATAGTTTTTATAATTTTATTTTGAACAACTCGATTATATGATAACAACAAACAATCGTTTCGTAAATATGCATCAGATTTATAAGTAAACCTAGGTTTTTAAGTTTATTTCCATTTACCAAATACTGAAATATTAATGGAAAAAAATTGAATTTTTATTATACATATAATTAAATAACATTTCTGGTGAACGTAAGGTCCATTTAACATTGTGGAATGCCAGGGAACCTCATGTCAGTTTTTTTGTATTGCTCTTGAATCCATTTGTCAGCCCTTTCGCTGAGTTCCTTGGTAAATAGTTCGTCTTTACTGGAATTGGCCTTTCCACGTCTAACAAAATTTTCCTCTACTGGTGGAAAATAATCAAAATAATCTCTATTCACGCTTGGATTTTTCTTAAAATTTTCAACCTTTAAATGATCTACAAGCGAATCTATTTGGGCGTCCGTGTAGGTTTTTTCGAAGAATTTGCATAGTTTTACAACAGTACCTCTCACATCCTGAAATATTGTGTTTAAGTGAAAAATATTACAGCAATTTAGAAAACTAGTACCTTGACAAGATCTTCATAAAATAAAAAGAAAACATTTTCTTTATTTCTAATATTTCATGCTTCCATAATGTGCTCAAAAATTGGTTGATTATTCTCTAAAAATAAAAATATTTTGTTAAATGTATTTATCATATTTGTATTATTACTTAAGCCTTTTTCATAGAGATTCCAAAACCTCTCGAATATTGGGGGAGCTCCATACATTTTTGCAAAATGATACTGTGATACTGCCATATCCTTTGGATTTCTAACCGTATAAACAATCTTAAATTTATTTACAAGTTATAATAATAGTGAGCATTTCATTATTTTTTTCTTACTTTTGCAACCTTGGTCATTTCCGCCGGAAGTAGGGATATAGGTAAATGAGATTTTATGAATCTTTTTTCAGGAACTTCAGTTTTTTCCCATTCTAAAGTAAACAACTTTTTGATGGAAGCACATTTTTCCGGATCATTTGCATGTTTTCGTAAAAATGATTCCATTTTATCTGAATGTTCCATGGCAAATCTAAAAAAAAATTATTTCATAAAATATTAAAACCTTATACCAAATTATTAGTACTCAAAATATGGAAATCTTTCAATCAAAGGCGTTTTTGATGCTTTTTCAAAATCCAAATCATTGCATATTTGCCAAACCATCTCTTGGGTAACGGTGGTACCTGATCTTCCAATGGTAATTACCCACACATCAGTGTTTTTAATTGGGAAGTTATAAATTTCATCCTTGTATTTTTCATAATATTTATCACACACGTACTTCTTTGGCCCTGCGTGTCTTAAATTATCTGGTTGTATTAAATGCGTCTCAACTGAAATTAAATTATTGTTGGGTGTGAATGTTAATATTTGATTTTTACCTTGTCTGATAATGTCTTTGGATTCCTCCGAAAGAGGAATAATCTCGTTGGGATTCTTACGGTTCACCATCTTTTAAAAGTTTAGTAGATATAAAACATTTATATGTGGTTCCAACATTATATATGAGCCAGTTAATCCTTCATATAATGAAAACAACCCAAAGAAACTATTTACTTAACTAAATCTTGGCCCACGTTTGCACAGGGCCGGCCCCAGGTACGGCATCAAAGGAGGCGGCATTTTACGACATTCAGTGTTTACTTATCTTCTATTTTCAAGCTGCACAAATAATTTGCGTGAATAATTTTTTATGCAATTTAAACGAATTAATTGATTTTTTAATCTTAATAAGTCAAACAATTACAATATTTAATTTTAAGCCAAAGAATTACTTTCTTTTAAATAGGGCACCCCAGTAAAATATTTACTAGAAGAGATATCGAAAAAATTTAAAATTCAGCTTACATGGTTTAAAGTCAGGTTTTTGGTTCAATTTAAACGAATATTAAAGAATATTGTAGATAAATTAATGGACAAAAGATGTTTTTTACCATAAGTTTAAGAATGGCAAAACCGTATATTCTAAATTAAGTTTTATTTATCAAGTCACATCTATTCTTAACAGTTTTGTTTTTTTTTTAAAACATTGCAATTTCCAATATTTTTCTGTATGAAGAACTAAGGTTGCTATGGTCCATCCATAGGCTATGGAGAATGACAGTGACAGTTTTGTTGAATCATCCCATACTTGGACATGTTATACACGGCTTTCAAAAGCTATCAAATTGTTTTTTGCAAATTAATGTTTAAATTTTGAGGTGTCTTCTTACTTTATAAAATGGATATGTCTCCGACTGATGTTGCCAGAGCCATTAATTTAATCCAGGATGGACGGTCACAGTATTACGTGGCAAGTGTTTTAAACGTCATAAGAAGTAAAGAACAAAGGGCAACATCAGTCGGAGACATTTTTAAAAGTAAGAAGACACCTCAAAATTAACACATTAATTTACATTATTTTCCGAATTTATTAATTTTGTTGCCATTAGTTTTTTATGTTCTCTATAGAGAACATAAAAAACTAATGGCAACAAATGATATATCATGCACTGTATTTAAATCACTGTTATTCTGCAAGACTCTTTAAAAATGAATTAGTCAAAAATATCATAGCGAAAAAGCAGCCACTAATAATTCTCGTCAACAGCAATTTGTATCCAGGACATTTAGCAGTCAATTCCTATGAAATATTATTCGCTGAATCCGAAAATGTCGTCAAAAGCTATAAAAGTAGAACTGTTTTAAAAATAAAATTAAATTTACATATAATATGGAATTGACTATATCTCAAAAACAGCTTAACTTTTATAGTTTTTGACGGTCTTTTCGGATTCAGGGGTGAATCACCCTGTATTTTTGAAATAAAAATAAAAAAATATCTAAATATTCAAAAATATACAGGGTGTTCCATTGAAAAAACAATTTTATATCTATTAAAAAAATTTGTTTTGTTTTGTTTATCCCCAACAATTTAGTAATATTTTGAAAAATATTAATTCAAAAGTATTTATATTTTTTTATAATGTTCTTAAATTTTAAGTTTAAGTTTTTTTAAATCGCGTGCGAGTTTTTTTAAAACAATATTTTTACTAGTTAAATAAAACAAAATTGCAAAATATAACTAAATTAGTTTAGAGGTGCTTATGAAATTAATCATATTTAAACAATGACAAGTTTATTATTTATGTAATCAAAAGTTGTTAAACTCTACCAACTAATTAAATTCAAATAATACTAATATTACAATGTAATGTCATTGTTATATTAGTATTATATGTATTAGTATGATATGCTGATTTTGAATTTAGATAAAAAAAATAAAATTATGTTATTGGGAAATGCAACATTAACAATATTAATTATCACTCGATAATTAATTTTCCAAGTTTAAAAAATCATTTAAATTCGTTTAAATTCGAAAAAATTTCATGGGTTGAGCCAATCGATATACCAACATCCGACTTCCCTGATGGTTTATAACCATTTCTTCCATTTTTTCCATGTTTTTATTGGTTTTTATCGGGCGTTCGTCATCTTCAACGTCTTCACGGCCATCTTGGAAACTCTTATACCACTTGTAAACTCTTGTTTTACTTATAGCAGACTCACTATAGGCCTTTGTTAACATTTCACAGAATTTATTTCATTTTTTAAGCAAAATTGGATACAAATTCTTTGATCCATTTCTTTTAACGAACGAAAAATCGCCGAGCTCATAAAACACGTCTAACCTTAGCGGCTGCCACAGACAAAGTAAACAATGAAAACAGCTAAAGTTTTTATCATACTTCGGGGGCATATATACCAACCTAATAAAGAAAATTTTATGACAACCGGACCCTCCGAACCCGCGAAATTTAACAATTCCCGTTATTTTCTGAACACACCTCGTATATTAAGATTGCATCAAAAATTCCATATGTAAAGAAAGAATTTGCCCTTTACCTCATTAAATATAATTTGATATGTTTTTTGTAACTGGGTCAAATGCGTAAATATTTCAAAATAAACAAACCATTCAACTAAAACGGATTATTAAGATACACTTCCGAAGCCTTTGCATAGAAAACAAAACATAACCACGTATTAAAATACTATCAATATCAATCATGTCACCTATGACAGCGCCTTTTATTCTGCCCTTAAAAATGTCCACTGAAATATAATGAATAATCTTAACGGTGGGTCAAAAATATTATTCAAGCGTTTTGTTTAATTTTTTTGTTTTACTCGTTGTGCCATCTGAAAATCCTCTTCCTCTTTAACACTCATATCCTCTGCTAAAACATTTACATCATTAGTTTAAATTTCATAGTGCTCTTTGAAAAACCGATTTGTATACCCACCCGCAATCCACACAACAAGGTCTGTTCTATCTCGTACTAAAAATACAAAAAATCACTGCAACACTGTACAGTTTAACGGCGGCCATTTTTGTTGTTTACAATTTTTGTGCTTTGGGTTTGTGCTCTGTTTATACAGATTAATAATCGTTTTAAACGTTGTGTTTCTCATAGTAAGCCTTAAAAGAGGCCTTAAAGTGCTAAGAACAACATTTTACTCCTCTATTGTAAAAAATAAACTTTATTCAATCAGGGCTGTATTAAAAATGTCAAATGTCAATTTTAAGGTTAAATTATAACCCACAAATTAACCTTCAAATTGTCATTTGACAGCCCTGATAGAATAAGGTATATTTATTATAAAAGAGGAGTAAAATGGTTGTCCTTAGCACTTAAAGGCCTTATTTGAGGCTTACAAGTGCCTCTGTAAGAAACCCAACGTTTAAAACAATTATTAAACAGCGCAAACCCAAAGCACAAGAATTGTAAACAACAAAAATGGCCGCCGTTAAACTCTGTGCAGTGTTGCAGTGATTTTTAGTATTTTTAGCATGAGATATAACAGACTTGGTTGTGTGGATTGTGTACCCACCGTGTATTCAAATAATATCGAACCCGTGGTCGCCCCGGCAACCAAAACAATTGCCACCCAACACTTGAGCGCTTTTACATGAAAGTTCAAAACAAAGTTGGCTTTGCTCGTGTTCGGTCGTGGGACTTAACGTGCGAGCTTTAAACACGTGCGCAACCATGTCGATGTATGATGGCGTTCTTTAAGCCGGTTAAGAGGTTAGAAATGACGCCGGAAACGCCGTCCAGTTCCGGAAGTGACTCTTCCAGGCCTCCTGTAAGAACTGCAGAAGAGAAGCTCATGGTTGCTGTCAGGATTAGGCCTCTAAAGCCGGACGAAAGTCAGAGGGTCTTGTATGCCGTCAACAAGAAGGTAAGGAGAGAATGCATTGAATTTAATGTACAGGGTGGCAATTTTAAAACGAACAGCACTTACCTACAACAATACTATAATAGTAGTTAATGGTGTTTTTTGTATCCTTTTCTCAAAATGGTTCCCTGATAGGACAGTTTATTCTAAGAATGTTTTTTAAACCTTCCAGTGGGAATATTCTTAGGATCATGCTATATTTCTTCTAGTCATGTTCTAAGAATGTTTTTTAAACCTTCCAGTGAGAATATTTTTAGGATCATGCTATATTTCTTCTAAAGAACATGCTTAAAAGAAATATAGCATAATCCTAAGAATATTCTCACTGGCCTATAGGCAGGTTCTTATAGAAGGTGCAAAGTTTAGTGGTAAAAATTAATCCACTCTAAACATATGCTTAGAATGTTGAGAATGTAATTCCTATAGAAAGTTCATTTAGGAATATTCCTGGTCATATATGACAGTGAGGCGTATTTGTCGCCTCCTGAAGAATTTTACGAATGTAGAATCCAACATATTAGAACGTGGGTATCTGACATATTTGAAAATATTCTCAAAAGCTTCCTAGAAGCTCCATAAGAAACCTTCTAAGAACATTCCAAAAAAGTATTCTTAAAATGTTCTTAGAATGCTTTTTAGGAAGGTTTTAAGAAGCTTCTAAGAATCTAATTGCATCATTAAAAGGGTATCTATTGAATGTTTTAAAAGTCCCTAAGAACATTCTTAGCAATAAGGGAAGGTTTTAAGAATATTCCATTATTCCGGGTCATATCTTCTTAGAAGATTCTTAGAATCAAATTTTGCTATCAGGGTTGATATGTAAATTGACGTGTTTCGCCAAATTTTCATAGTGTCATCAGTTAAAGAAATACTGCTGTTCGTTTTAAAATTGTCACCCTGTATATACCTATATTTATATATATGTATCAATATGCCCCTATTTTAATACTTGATAATAAAGGATTTATTTTACGAGTATCACACAAATATGTTATATTTTGCAATTAAAAGTTGACACTTTAAAAAATATATGTATCACCTATGCATGCGGGATATTGAAGACAATTAATAATTCATAGGGGAAATGGGAAAATTATATATTTAACCTTGACATATGTAGCAAAAAAAAATACCTGACACAAAACGAAATTATATAAATAACTGATGGTTAGTGTTTTAATTGTTATAATCAATTGTTTCGTGATATGAACAAACCCTATGATTGCGATCTGAACAAACTGCTAATTAAATAGATTTTCACGTTGACGCTTAACCTTTAACTAAAAAAGAATTTTAACCTCATTGTGCAGCAGTCGTTAGACATTTCGTGACTTCAAAACATCAGCGAAAAAATATTATAGGGGGATATCTGGTAACAAAACTAAGGAAATATTCAATAGAAATTAGGTACATTTTTAGAAGTACCAACAAAGGTTTTGTAGATATAAATAAACATATTGTTTTATATTTGTTCACTATTTTTTTATTGAGATACATTATAGAATGTTGTGGCGATTTTTTAATCTAAATAAAAAGTTGCTGCTGAGGCGCAGTAGACACATCTTAAAATGTATAATGGGTTGCATACAATACTCGTATTAAATCGGCAGTTAAGTTCTACTTTAAAAGTCTTTTAATAATAACTATAAAGAAACAAAACATTATTAAAAAATATGGCCGAGATAAATTTGCGGAAGTTAATTCTAAGGTTTTAATTGCAAACCGAGCATTAAATCACAATGATTTTTAATTAAAATTATTAATGTATTAATCTTGACAGCAAACTGGCACATTTTTTTGTTTATAAAGGTTAATTAAAACAATAGATGTAATCATTATTTTTTTAATTAAAATTCCAAGCACAAAAAAAATTACCTGTCACTATATATAGTAAATAAAATCAATTAAACATTAACGAAAAACTGTAGGAGTCAAAATATGCGTGATGTCGAGCATTTTTCATGTGTAATATTAATACAATAATTTCCCATTATTAACCGTAATTTGTTATGTAAACTCTTTGTTAAACTACCTATGCATGGCATAAATCTTTTTGCTCAAATTTTGTACATGGTTTCACTACGAACGTAGTAATTAAGTTAAAATTATAGGTTAATATACTCTATTTAACACCCTCAATAGCCGAAATAACATTGTCTTTAAATTCCTTGTCCTAGCGAAAAATCAGTCACTAATAATTAGTTCAATTCTACCGAATAAAATGGTCAAATTGGTAGATACTTTTCTGTACTGATGGGGTTAAAATTTTACAATTTTGCTAATATATACCCTGATAGCAAAATTTGATTCTAAGAACCTTCCCTTATTGCTAAGAATGTTCTTATAGGGACTTTTAAAACATTCAATAGATACCCTTTTAATGATGCAATTAGATTCTTAGAAGCTTCTTAAAACCTTCCTGAAAAGCATTCTAAGAGCATTTTAAGAATACGTTTTTGGAATGTTCTTAGAAGGTTTCTTATGGAGCTTCTAGGAAGCTTTTGAGAATATTTCCAAATATGTCAGATACCCACGTTCTAATATGTTGGATTCTACATTCGTAAAATTCTTCAGGAGGCGACAAATACGCCTCACTGTCATAATATGACAGTGAAATGTATTTGTCGTCTCCTTAAAAAATTTTGCGACATATTAATAAATATTTATTTAAAAATATTAAATAAACAATTTGACCTCTAAACCATAAGTTGTATGTCATTATTTCATAAAAAGTAAAATTGGAAAATTTTGTGGGATAAGTCAGATTAGATTGAAGTTGAAGATAGTTAGGATTATTATACATAAAAATGTTAATTTAGAAATAAAAAATCGGTATACAAATTAATAAATATTCATTTTTAACATAAAAAAAAAATATAAAAAAACAAAATACATATTTCCTTACAAAATAATTCTTCATAAAAGAAAAAACCAAATAGTTCTTCATAAAAAAAACATTTTGGGTTGTGTTTTTTACTTAGTATTTAATACTAAGTATAGGTACCTTTATACGTAGATTATGGTATATTTTACTATTATATAGGTACCTAACTGAACTGAATATGCTTAACAGAATGTTCCAGGAATATTCCTAAATGAACTTTCTATAGCAATTACTTTCATAACATTCTAAGCATATGTTTAGAGTGTATTAATTTTTACCACTAAACTTTGCACCTTCTAAGAACCTGCCCATAGGCCAGTGGGAATATTCTTAGGATTATGCTATATTTCTTTTAAGCATGTTCTTTAGAAGAAATATAGCATGATCCTAAGAATATTCTCACTGGAAGGTTTTAAAAAAATTCTTAGAACATGACTAGAAGAAATATAGCATGATCCAAGAATATTCTCACTGGAAGGTTTAAAAAACATTCTTAGAACATGACTAGAAGAAATATAGCATGATCCTAAGAATATTCCCACTGGAAGGTTTAGCTGATAGCCCAGTTTATTCTAAGAATGTTTTGTAAACCTTCCAGTGGGAATATTCTTAGGACCATGCTATATTTCTTCTAGTCATGTTCTAAGAATGTTTTTTAAACCTTCCAGTGAGAATATGCTTGGGTAGTTCTAGTAGTTCTATTCTAGGGTAGTTGCTAAAAACTCTTAAACCAATTGATTTCGCTTAGTAAAGTTCCAAATGGCGTGAAACCATATACCTATAAGTTATAGGTATATGCGTGAAACTCAATTTTTTATATATAAAATAAATCAAACAATAGAAGTCAAGCACTTACTTCCGCAGAAACAAAATTAATTTTAAAGTAAAATTTCTAATCAAACTTGTTTAGTTATTCTAAAATCAAATTTGCGCCGATATAATCACCCTTATGGAGCATTATGTAAATATGGTTTTAAATCACGAAGCATGCGTCTAATTTGATCTAAAAATACGTACCTTGTACAAACTTAATGACGTAGGTGGCCGTTTGCACCACAAAATCACATGCACACCTGTAAGAATTAATCGAGCAAAAATATTTGACATAATTTTATCGGATCTGAGGCTCACACGTGAACCTATGTAAATTTGGTTAATTTATCAAGAAATGGCCAAGTTCAAGTGGTTTTTAATATTACCTACCTAACAACCCACAGTTTATTAATTATTGACAAATTTTTTCAAAAACGTAGCTTTTGCGGGAAAGTTGAAGTAACGCAATATTGCCAGATGTAAAATACACAGTGTGGATATCACTTATCCATGTCAAATAGAAATCGAAATGAACATTTTGGAAGAAGAGCTACCATATGACATCCTGGAGGCAGCAAATACTGTAAATGAGAATTTATTACCAGCGAAATCCTGTCAAAAATATGAGAAACAATTTAAACACTGAAAACTGGTGCAACAACAAAGGGACAAAAAGTTTTAAGGAAGAAGTGTTTCTAGCCTATTTTGCGGATTTAAGAAAATCATATCAGCCAAATACTTTGTGGAGTAAGTACTCCATGTTAAAAAGTGTCCTAAAAGTTAATAAAAATTTGGATTTGAGTCTAAATTATGAATTAATATCATATGTATATAAAAAAGAAAATGTGATACCGACCAAAAAAGTCCAAAATTTTTGAGAAAGATGACATTTCAAGATTCACTAAAGAAGCACCAACTAGTACTCGTAGGCGAGAAGAGCTCTCAAAGATAATGATTGATGATATAGAAGATAAAGAAAATTTGGTAATCGTGAAAATTTCGGACAGTAAAAATTACACATCAAGAATCTTTGTGATATCTGATGAAATCAATAATGCTCATTACTTACAACTGTTTCGAAAATATTCAAATTTGCGAGAACCAAGCGGTTTTTTGTCAATTATAAAAGAAGAGCATGCACTACTCAATGTGTAGGAATTAATACATTTGGTAAAATGCCTGCGCAAATAGATGCATATCTAAAACTTAAAAATCCTGATGAGTACACAGGTCATAGTTTTCGTAGATCCTCCGCTACCATATTAGCCGATTCTGGAGAAGGAATTTCCAATGTTAAGCGACTTGGGGGCTGGAAATCAACGGCTGTCGCCGAGAGCTACATAGAAGAATCCATGACCCAAAAAAATTATCAAATAAAATATTGGACATAAAAAACAGCTCTTCTGAGTTAAGTCACCCGTTGAATGAATTAACCTGTTCTACAATTAATTTAGAAAATATTAATAATTGTTCCTTTGCGCACGCTAGTAGAAAAAATATTGTTCCCAACACATGAGCAAAGTAATTTTTCCGAGAAATGCGCACTTGTTAGGAAAATAACTATATTAGTGCTGTAACACTTAATATTTTAGTTAAAAAATGCGACACTTAAAAGAAAATATGGAATTATTTAAATGACACCTTTCCACACAGGTGGATCGGAAGAAGAGGTTTCATAGAATGCATGGCCAGCAAGATCACCAGATTTAACACCTCCAGACTTTTTTATGGGGACATATAAAAAACAGGGTGTTTAAAATACAACCTATTGATTTAGATGAGGAAAGAACAGTTTAATGGTAATTATAACATTTGAAATAGAAAACTATCCCGGGCATTTTTCATAAAAATATTCTCCCATTGAATAACGAATTTTATTCCATACTTTGAAGGAAAATTTAATCAATCAGGTTTTTATTTATCTGATACTCAAAACTTTATTTTTCAGAGTATAATATTAGAAGACCCTGAAAAATTCGACGTATTAAGACAGAAAAAAGGGGTGGATAAACAGCATCATTTTGATGTGGTTTTCGGGGAAGATTCTTCACAGGAGGATGTCTATAATGTCACTACAAGCACTTTGGTTAAAGATGTCCTTAATGGGTGAGTAACGAACTTATTACATAATAATTTATTATAATATTGTTTGTATAATAAATATTAGCAAATATTAAATATATACAGGGTGCACCCTAGGAAAAAAAGTAGTGAGAACATTTTAGAAAATAAAGTATAGGTACAATATTTGCACGATATACGAGGTGTGTTCAGAAAATATCGGGAATTATCGTTTTTTGAAAAAAAATATTTATTTATTCGTCTACATTAATGTTGTCGCCTTCAAAATAGTCCCCATTGGATATTATGCACATGTGCCAGCTCTTCTTCCAATACTCGAAACACTTCTAAAACTCGATCTTTGGGATAGCCTTTAGTTCTTTCAGCGATGCGCTTTTAATGTCATCTATGCTTGCAAAACGACGGCCCTTTAAGGTTCTCTTTATTTTTGGGAATAGGAAAAAGTCAGACAGAGGCATGTCTGGCGAATATGGAGGCTGGGGCATCATTACAGTATTGTTTTTGGCCAAAAATTTTGTTCAAAATTTAACAATTTTGGAACAAATTTTTCTGCCAAGCGTTTCATACCCAAAACATTAGAAAAAATGTTATGAGATGAGCCAATCGATATACCAACATCATCAGCGACTTCTCTGATAGTTTATAACCATTTCTCCCACTTTTTCCATGCTTTTATCGGTTTTTATCGGGCGTTCGTCATCTTCAACGTCTTCACGGCCATCTTGTAAACTCTTGTTTTACTTATAGCAGACTCACTATAGGCCTTTGTTAACATTTCACAGAATTTATTTCATTTTTTAGGCAAAATTGGATACAAATTTCTTTGATCCATTTCTTTTAACGAACGAAAATCGCCGAGCTCATAAAACACGTCTAACCTTAGCGGCTGCCACAGACAAAGTAAACGATGAAAACAACTAAAGTTTTTATTATACTTCAGGGGCATGTATACCAACATAATACAGAAAATTTTATGACAACCGGACCCTCCGAACCCGCGAAATTTAACAATTCTTGTTATTTTCTGAACACACCTCGTATATCTTGCTTCTAGTTTCAATGGGTTCTTCATCCAATTTGGGCTTCTTGAACTGCCTTGTAGATTAATCACTCATCTTTCTTTTCTTAGATTGTGGTCTCCTCCAACCTAGTTTTTTCCTGGTTAAGTTCAGCGATATAATTTTCTTCAACCTACGAATCATCTTCATCAAGATTTATAATGTCCAATGGTATAAATTGTTTACACTATGGTCTTCCCAGTCATCCAATAGTTCCCTTAACTCTGATATATTCTCTTCACTTCTTTCGTCTTCATGACGATCAAGAAAATTATTGTTCCTGGTTTTCCTTATGAATGCCTTGTATGATGCATTCGTTTAAAATCGTTTTTTGTTTTGAAGTCATTTTAGTAAACACTAAACGCTTATATGGCTGTATGAGAAAATAAATACAGAAGGGTATTAAAAATGATGTGCAGTTCGTAAACGTATTGTTGAAGCAATTAAAAAACAATTTATATGAACTCCCTTATATGATAATAGTGTATTATTGGGTTAACCTTAATTACCTACATATATTATTTATGTATATGTTTTTATGTACTTTTGTCAATATTTTGTATTGATTAAATTTGTTTCATACGAAAACTTTGTTATTTAACACTGCGCTAAAAAATAAATTGTTAGTTTGTTATTTGGGTCGCTAATTTCAAATTTTATTAAAATTATTATTTTTAGAAAAGTTTTTGGCCATTTGTTAGTTGTCAGATATTTGATTTTATTTTATTTTACTTAATTTAATTTAATCAGTTTTGCTATGCTGAAAAATAAAAAAAATTGTAATACATACCACATGATTAAAAAAAATATTTTAAATAGTTTATCCTAACTTTAACACCCTGTAGGGTAAATCGAACAGTTATTGGACACTTAAGGAATATTATTTATTTAAAATTTATATATGCCGTTGTTTTAAAGATTTTAGTTTTTTTTCTTATACCTAAATATATAAAAAGGATAGTTTGTGTGTTTAAACTTTATTTACGTTTACTTAAAAATAAGAATATTTGAATTTTTAATAATAGTTTTATAAAAACATGCAAAAAAGTATAGTAATTGGACATTTTATATATGTAGTAATTGGACACAGGGACCATAGTTATTGGACATACAATTTTTATATAAACATAACAACTTTACATCAAATAACATAAATTGTTAAATATTTTTAAATATAAATTGCTGTTTTAGGTAATTTTTTTTATTTCGTTTATGTAAATATCATATAATTCATATATTTCTTTCTCGGATTCCTCATCCCTTTTCTGGATTCTGAAGGTAACTACTAATTCCTTGGTCTGACTTCTGAAATAATTTGTTGCAAATATCATCAAAGTGTGGTATGATTTATATATATCTAATATTTGTTAATTATGTTGCCATTAGTTTTTTATGTTCTATATAGTGCACTGTATTTAAATCACTGTTATTCTGCAAGATGTCCTGTGACGAAGAAATCACTATATTACTTACTCTCTAAAAATGAATTAGTCAAAAATATCATAGCGAAAAAGCCGCCAGTAATAATTCTCATCAACAGCAATTTGTATCAAGGACATTTAGCAGTCAATTCCTATGAAATATTATTCGCTGAATCCGAAAATGTCGTCAAAACTTATAAAAGTAGAACAGTTTTTAAAATAAATTAATTTTACATAAGTATAATAAAAATCTTACCACCAAAGTAAAGTTCGAACTTTTTTGTCCCATATTGGACCTAAAATAAAGTAGTTCTACTCGTATATTATTACCGACTGAGATATTTATAATTGTGTACAGCGTAATCTAATGATTTGACTTTAAGGTAACTATTTATAGAACTCTTGTTTTTACAGTATTAATGTTAATTGTCCAATAACTATAAATTGTTCGATAACTGTCTACTTTACCCTTTATTCAAAATTCGACCAGTAAATTTTGTACAATTTTATTAAAATTGTTTCAGATACAATGCTACTGTGTTTGCCTATGGCCCAACAGGTGCTGGTAAGACCCATACCATGGTAGGCGATCGAGAACACCCAGGAATAATGATAAGAGCCTTAAATGATCTTTTCGAAGTTGTCAAAGGCAAGGAAGATGAGTATTCAGTAAGTATATTATTACACAGTAAAAAAATTTGCCCGTGTAAATTTTTTAGTGTAGGGGTAAAAATATTAGAGTTGATTTGTAAGTGTAAAAGTTACACTACAAAATACACTAGGTAGCATTTAGTGCTTATTAACATTATTAAACACATTTAAAGAATATGAACATTATTCATTGGTACATTCACACTATTTATTATTAAAATAAATCAAAAGGGTAGAAAAAAATGCGAGTGTTTATTACCCCTTAATGTGTTAAATAGTGACAAAATGTAAACTACAGTGCATGCCAATTTCTTTGTCTGTTTTGATGTTACTAAGAGCTTTTTTTTCTTTACACTACTAGTGCACATTGTATCACAATTAAAGTTAAATTTCACCAATAGTGGCAAAATAGACTGAAAAAACTGGTAATGACCGAAATGCGTTTTAAAATGTTTGGTTGGTACCTATCTACCTACGCAGTGCATACCCGGAGATATCGCGTTGTGGAAGTGTGGCATTTTTGTTCAGTTAGATTTTAATTACGGTGAATCCATAAGGGGAAATTCTTATTTTTTTGGTAAGTTCTTTTTATTTAAGCCTTAATACTCAATAAATACCAATATGTTAAAAGGATGTCCATACCCGACCTATATTATATATCAATAATTTACGGCAGTAGGTCGGGTACTTGTAACATTAATAATATAAATACATACACACTTGATTTACTTTTTATTTTCAAGCTTAATGGTTGTTATATTAACCTATACCTACATTTTTATTAATATTATCGAAAATTTGTACACGTGAGGTAAATCCCTGACATACAGCCGCCTGACGCCTCTCTACCAATGGGATCACCCATTTTTTATAACAGAAAAATGGATTACTGATGAATTCTCAAGATAACTCATTGCTTACAAGTTGACAGCCAGTAAAACATTGCTATGATCTAAAACTTTTAGGTTTTAAGGAACCATTTTGCTTAAGCCAGCCATACGACTCAAATATAAAATTATATTTTAAAAGGCACCGATTTTGATAATTGTCATAGATTTTTGTTCCAAATAGGTAAATGTTTCTTTTTATTTACCTTTTCGTTTTATTCACTACCACCAATAGGTTATACTCAAATAATAGTGTTAATTTACACTAGAGGTTTGCACTAAAAGAGTAAAAGTACCTTTCTAAAATTAGAACTTTTCCAAAGTAGTGTTAATTTACACTGAACAAAAGTGGGATTTTACCCAGGAAGTGTAGAAGTACATGATTTTGGGTAAATTAACACTTTTTAATACAGTGTAAAATTACTTTATCCTCAGTGCTATAGTGTTAAATCACTTGCTTAATTGGGGAAAATTACACTACAAATTAACTCTAATTGTAGTGTTATAAAACAACACTATTTAGTGTGGACCTGTCTGAACTCTAATTAGTGTTGCTTAGAGTTGATTTTTTTTACTGTGTAGGGTTGGTTTATTAAATTATTGTAACTAAATAAAAAAAATTAATGTAATAATATATAATAATAATTTAGTGTTTATTGTTAATTAACACGGTGTTATACCTAATTGCCAGAGCTATTATTAGAGTGGTTTACAAATGTTGTATTCTAACGGTTGAGTTTACATAGATTTAAGTCAGGATAACTTTGTAATTCTTTTGTCCAGTTAAAAAAGAATTATATCGGTTCTGCAAAGGCTATATTTTGCGTGTTTTTAATTGTTGTAAACCTTTGTAGAGAATAATACATTCCTTGGGTTAATTATCAAAAAAGTAATTTAAATTTACAACCAAAGATGGCAATCTTGCTTTTATGTAACACAAAATTATCGCATAAACTTATAAGTCGTCACCTGAGAATTATAGTGTTCTATCTGCATTTTCTTTTTTTTTATTCAGGTTAGTCTTGTTTTAAGTATTAAAGATGCATATTGTTCTATCTATATATAAGTGGGGTAGAAATTGTACAGTTTAAGCCTTAAACTTTACAATTTCTACCCCAATTATATATAGATAGATCAATATCATCTTTAAGACTTAAAACAAGACTAACCTGAATAAAAAAAAAGAAAATGTATATAGAACACTATAATTCTCAGGTGACGAAGTGTATAAATTACTATTTTTAACCCAATATTAATGATTTAAGAAAACTTTAAACTATACATACATAAAGCTAAAAATGTATACCTGCTTTGCGTGATTGCTAGGTTTAGGTCCTCTTTCATAACAGAATTGGGTTACTTAAATAAAACCTTATGAATTGTATTTTCATTATGGTGCCTAATTATTTTTATTGAACGCGATACGGAAGAAGATAAAAATAAATATTAAACGGGGTTGTAGAAAGGGGTATGAGAGTTAATATAATATTAATTTTATTTAGCATAGTATCTGCAACATTTAAAAAATTTTCCTCTGGATGTCCACTGGATGTCACTGACCTATCCTATATATGGGTGATTCTACAAAAGTTGGGCAACTTTTGACCTCATTTTGTTTATATAGTTTTCGGAGAAAATAAAACAGTATTTTGTTATGAGAACATAGATAATATAATAAATATACTGTTCCAGACCGGGCCAGTCACTTTTTCAAATAGTTTCTGAAATATCTGTGTTTTCTAAATTTGAATGCAAGGGAAGTGACGAGTATACCAGGGTACTAATTAAATACATAATTTATTGAAAAATATAAGATTTATTACAACTTTGAGCATATTATACATTAAATATCTTAAAATCAAATAATACCACACATCAGTGGCGGCTGGTGGATTTTGGGTATACCGATATCGCAATTATTAAATATGGCACCCACACCAAATTTATATGAGTTTATAATGACATTAAATAAACAAGTTCTGCGCAAGCAGAATTTAAATTGAAGTTTGCGAAAAAAAGATAACCGAAACATCGAACATGGAACTGACGACACGGTACTGATGAATGAGATACAAATTTGAGATTATAATTCGGAATTAAGTATTTTACTGCAGTATTATTGGATTCTACTTATCAACAAATCACATATAGCCTTATATAAATCACAATAAAATATATATACGTAAGAAAATAACTACTGAAATTTTGACTGGAACTATACGTGCATTCACCACAACTTCGCCGCTTGCATTGTTTTCAAGATGACTGCCGTGCAAAGGGCGGGCTCTGTAGGTAATTTTTTACCAACACTTGAGTTTAAACGAGGACTTGACTTTTAAACTTGAATATTTCGCAGGAATTTTGAATTTTAACATTCGACATAGAACTGACGGGTAAAAGTGAGTACAAAGATTATCAATTTTTTAAAAATTGCTATTATTCGAATCTATGATAAAATATCACAAAAAACATTATTTAATGTTTTATAGTTTGTGGTGAAATTGAAAAATTTAAGATAAATTGAATATATTTTAAAATGAAATCACTCAAATATTTGATTCAGGAGTTGTGACACGCCAAGGTACTGATGTTTTGAATATTTATTATGTTTTTCTACAAACGTGCTTTTGAAAACATACATTAAAATTGGGTGGACAAGTTAAAAAAACCTGGATCTTTTGTTATATACTAAAATTCTTACAAAAATTATTTTGTGAAACTTTCCCCACTTTAACTTTATCTCAATTTTGACCAAAAATGTACCAAGAAACCTATGGACGAATTACAAAATGCTTAATAATTTTCAAAACATGTTGATATTCGTAGGGAATTTTATGACCAGTTATTAGAAATCGATATACATATGCATTTGAATATTTTATTCATACTGTACGCTTTTCCCTTTGACATAAATTTAGCGAGTTCAGGATCAGATAGTGTATTGTCTATGGTCTTAGGTTCAACGTACTTTAAACCTTAATACAAAATAATGTTTGATATCAACAAAAGCGCAAGTTTTTGTATACCAACACTAATAAAGTAACATAAATATGATTTAACATAAAATTTTTATTGCATATTTTAATTAATACCTTACCTTCAAAAGCATTAAACAAATTAATTAAATTTCATTCATTTAAAAAGAGTTTTAATGATTCCAACTCCACTGTGAAAGTACGCCACAACACAACACAACCGGCAAAATGTATATTTGAAATACCTATAATAGAATTATAATATTAGATCACTGCCCCTAGAAAATGGCTAATTGCAAGTTGCAATGATACAAAACGTACTAAACACGTGTGCCGCAAACGGTGTGCGCGTTTTGCATCCCCTCCCATGTATCAGAAGCTACCAGATTTTGTTGTAAAATTGACATGCTATTGGGATAATTGTGATGTATCTTGAATGAATTGCGTAAATATAAATAATTTTCATAGCTTTTGAACAAAAACACTTTGCACTTGGTTAAAAGAAGAAACATTCAAGAGATTTTGTATTTGTTTTCAAGAGAACTATATAGTGAAAGAAGTATATACTTCTTTCACTAAGAACTTTTTTTTTAAGCGATAAATACTCTTATGATTGCTTGATTTTTTACTTTTTATTGTGTGATTTCAAAGTATAAACACCATATAAAAACGCTAAAAACATTGTAAACATATTAATATACTTAAACCATTTTCATGGTAATTTATTTCCACAAACCAATTTCGCTTGTCGTATGCGTGATCCGAATCATCGTATAATCACGAAGATGCGACGTAAAACTTTAAAACAGGTCTTTAGTAAATCTTTAACGACTTAAACTAAGCTCGATAATTTGAACTTTCAGGTCACCATGTCGTACTTGGAAATATACAACGAACAAATAAGGGATCTGTTGAATCCTTCTTCTGGATTTTTGGAGTTAAGGGAAGATTCTAAAGGGAAGAACATACAGGTTGCAGGGTTGTCCGAAATTTCCACCACGTCAACTGATGAGGTAATATTTTTAATTATATACGAGGTGTGTTCAGAAAATATCGGGAATTTTCGTTTTTTGAAACAAATATTTATTTATTCGTCTACATTAATGTTGTCGCCTTCAAAATAGTCCCCATTGGATATTATGCACATGTGCCAGCTCTTCTTCCAATACTCGAAACACTTCTAAAACTCGATCTTTGGGATAGCCTTTAGTTCTTTCAGCGATGCGCTTTTAATGTCATCTATGCTTGCAAAACGACGGCCCTTTAAGGTTCTCTTTATTTTTGGGAATAGGAAAAAGTCAGACAGAGGCATGTCTGGCGAATATGGAGGCTGGGGCATCATTACAGTATTGTTTTTAGCCAAAAATTTTGTTCAAAATTTAACAATTTTAGAACAAATTTTGCTGCCACGCGTTTCATACCCAAAACATTCGAAAAAATTTCATGGGATGAGCCAATCGATATACCAACATCATCATCGCTGCAGCGACCTCTCTGATGGTTTATAACCATTTCTTCCACTTTTTCCATGTTTTTATCGGTTGTTAATGTGCTTGTGCGTTCGGGGCGTTCGTCACCTTCAACGTCTTCACAGCCATCTTGGAAACTCTTATACCACTTGTAAACTCTTGTTTTACTTATAGCAGACTCACTATAGGCCTTTGTTAACATTTCACAGAATTTATTTCATTTTTTAAGCAAAATTGGATACAAATTCTTTGATCCATTTCTTTTAACGAACGAAAAATCGCCGAGCTCAAAAAACACGTCTAACCTAAGTGGCTGCCACAGACAAAGTAAACAATGAAAACAGCTAAAGTTTTTATCATACTTCGGGGGCATGTATACCAACATAATAAAGAAAATTTTATGACAACCGGACCCTCCGAACCCGCGAAATTTAACAATTCCCGTTATTTTCTGAACACACCTCGTATAGAGTGGCCCATCTAAAACAACATTCATCCACGAAACGTTTTCGCAACTCTTGTATTAACCCAGGGTTGTAATAGTAACTTGTAACTTAAACGTAACTTTTCTCAACTTTATTCCAATAATGTTATTTTTGTTTTCCATTACGATATAGTGCAACTTCGATTTTCAATAAATTGGAGACAAGGTCAATATAAATAATATATTTAAGCAATGTTGACTTTGGTTTTCAATGGGTTTTACCTAAAATGACAAGCAAACATAATAATTATTGTTAGTTCACTTAATTATATGAAATAATATGGAATTAATTGAAAATAAATATGACCGGAAAATGCTTCTTTGGCATGTTTATCTTCCACCCAAATGACCATCAAAAATGCTTCTCTTGCAAAATTTTCAGCTTCATCTTCCAAGAGCTATAACTTTCTTAGGAAGCAATTTTACCCATCAAGAGACCTATTCCCTTTCGTTGAACATGTTATTTCTTAAACATTCCTGTTTATAAGGTTTTATCAATACCTTTTAAAACCTGTACACCAAAGAACACTCTACACCTTCGCTACTCATCAGAGTTTGAGTTGGACTTTCTCTTTTTGCCTCTCTGTTGTAGAAGGGGCCCTTCCACACCGCCTGTGTTGACCTTAAAGGCTGGCCAATGCAGAGTTGAAAAGATGGTAATCCACCACTAACTTCCCTGTTAATTTATCCTCAATGGCATTAAGTTGTTTTACTGGCTCCTCGACATTGCAAGTCTCCATTTAGGGATGGACTTAATGGCCCCGCCAGAAGATCTGTTCTTTGGCTAGTTCAGCATAAAACGTTTCTTTAACGTGTAGATTTTCTTAATTTCTTTTTAAGTATTAAATATCATCAATGATTTTAATACAATTTTAGTCTATGATCTAGTTATAAAATTAAGATACTCTCTGTCCTAGAAACATTTATCGCTGTTCAGAAAGATTCAAGGTCAAGCCTTTAAACATACGAGAAACAGAATACCTTTAAACACAGGTGATGTTTGGGTTGTCGTGGAGTGAATATACATGCTAAGAAATCGATGTTTTTGAACAGCAAGACTCACCTATCTAAATCACTTATTGTTTCAGGTGATGCAACTGTTGCAGAAAGGCAACAAATCTCGCACCGTCGAGCCGACAGCGATGAACAAGACCTCGTCGCGCAGCCACGCGCTCCTGAGCGTCTCGGTGAAGCACTCGGTCCCGCTGGACAAGAAGGACCACCTGAGGATGCGCGTGAAGCACGGCAAACTGTTCATGATAGATTTAGCCGGGTCGGAGAGGGCGAACAAGACGAAAAACCGCGGCAAAAGGCTGCAGGAAGGCGCGCACATCAACAGGTCGCTGCTGGCCTTGGGGAACTGCATCAACGCGCTGAGCGGGGGCGCCAGGTACGTGAACTTCAGGGACTCGAAGCTCACCAGGCTCTTAAAGGACGCTTTGAGTGGCAATTGCCGCACCGTGATGGTGGCGCACGTGTCGCCGAGTTTGACCCAAAGAGACGAGTCCAGGAACACGCTGATATACGCCGACAGGGCGAACAACATCACTAACAAAGTCGAGAGGAACGTTTTGGATGTCTCCTACCACGTGACGCAGTACCAAACGGTCATAACCGAGTTGCGGGACGAAATATCCAGGCTGCAGAGCAAGATGACGGAGGAGAGGCCGCGTTCGGCCGACGTAAACCGCATGAACGCCGAGGAGCGGAGCAACGAGGTGAGGAACCTGCGAGAGCAAATAGTCGACACCTTCAAGAACCAAATGAAGCTGCGGAGGAAGCTGATGGAGATCGACTCGCACCTGCTGGGTTTGGGTATGGAGGCCGAGCGGCAGCATCTAATCATCTCGCATTGGGAATCGCGAAGCAACAAGTTGTACAAAAACAGCGTCAACGAGTCCAGAGCTAGAACTCAGCAGAGTTTGCGGAGACGCAGACTGACGACGGCGGACGGTTTTAGATCGGCCGGCAATTTGGATTCTCTCGACGACGAGTCGCTGGATATCGCCTCCGATGGGGAGTTGGAAGGCGAGGCCGCTGTTCAGACGGCTTGGGGGGAGCTAGCCGACATAGAGCGCGAGCAAGACAGATGGGGGGAGTTGAGATCGCACATAGAGCAGAAGTTGGAGGTGTGTAGACAACGCGGGGTCATGCTAGAAGATGTAAGGTAACTTTCAACACATCGAACATTCTCTACTAAATATTTCGTAGAAACTACCCTCGTTATTGTCCTCTGACGACGAGAGGGAGATTTTGGCGTTGATGTGTCGTGTTCACGAGTTGGAGGCAGACAAGATGGCCTTGCAGTCCGAGAGATTGGTGAGGCAGCATGAGCTACGCAGGAGAGATTTGGTCATTCTAAGATACGACCGACAAAGGCAGCTCTGTGAGGATATCATCACGAGGCAAAGGCATCTCATCGAAGGTACTTATCGAAAAAATAAAATGTGATAGCATGCAGCAATAATATTTGTAGGTAATAAGATCAACCTCCCAGCTGATCTCCAAGAGCTATACCAAGTCTATCAGCAGGAAATTCATGCGGCTACTTATACGGAATTTAACCCTCCCCCAACAGCTTACACACCTGATAAATTGCCACCAATAAGTAAAATGTACGATTATAACATTCTATAACATTTTATGCATAATCAAGTGGGTTATTTCAGATATAGCGACCCAATATTTCGCCGTCAAACTGCAGGAAGTGACGGTAGCGGCAGGTCACCCCCATCCTCAGCAGAATCCGGAGAGGAAGTGTTGCCAACTGTCAACGATTCCAGCGTGGATAGGGTTATGGGTCATGCAGTTTCCAGACCTGGAGCTGGGATGAAGTTGCCACCACTGCCACCTAGCCCTCCTGTAAGAATTTCCAGAAGCAATGATGAAAAGTGATTTGGGTTCATCTAATGTTCTTGAATGAAGGTTTTGTGATTTACTTCTTTTAAAGGTAGTTATCTTCTTCTATCACCACTAGAGTTGTGTTTTGTATTATGAAATGGTTAAATAAAAATACTACATATACGTAAAGTTTTATTTCTTCAATAACTTAAATAAATATTGCATCCTACATAACGCTAATCTAAAGTTAATAATACTTTGAAGGTAAATACAAAGAAGGACTAGAATTTAAAATAATAGTAGGTATAAAAGTAAAAGAAATATAATCTGAAGAGAGCTAAAAAGTCTTTAAACAACGTAGACAAACGACCAATATAAAATATTGAAAATAAGAAATGCACATGGAAAACCAACTCGCGATTTGTTATCTATCCACATCGCAACTTCCTGTGGTGTCATAGTAGTCCAAGCAGGCGATGGTGGCGGAGGTGATCCATAATCAGGTATCGGAATGGTGGTAACACTGTCTTCACTGCCCATCAGCTCATCCTGGCTTTGAGTTGTTATGGTTGGAATGGTGGAAACAGGAAAACTCTTAAAGAAAAAAGTCAAATTTTTATGAACCATACTGTAGTACCTAGTACTTACATGGACTGTGAGATAGTTCTGCTGGCATATGTTACTATTATCACCATCTAAACTACTACAAGACCTAGCTTTGTATAAACTATTGATTGACTCAGCCTTTCTTAGTTGCTTTCTCGCCAGACTTGGGGTAATTGCTCCTATCAGAATATGCTTGCTGTTTTGTTTTTTCAACTCCACTTTTTTTCTATAAAAAAAAAATTTGTAAATTGTTTACAATATTCTTTAATACATACTTTCTTCTCCAGATTACATTGACGAACGCAAACTCAGCCATAGAACAAAATATGAAGCAAGCGCAACCCAAAAACCATATCTCGCTTGCTTTGATGTAAGAAACTTTCGGTAAATTTTTAGTTAAACCTCCATTTAAGGTTATAAATGCCAACATTGTTGCTGTGCCTGATAAAAATTAAACAAGCTTATCTACATATATTTATTTTCTCTGATGAAATTTGTAAGAGATAACTTCAATCAAAAAAACAACAAAACACAAAGAATAAGTTAACTGTAGTAACAACAAAAGTGGTCGTAAATTGGGGAGGTTGAATTTCTGAGCTTCCTTATTTTTTTCAGCATAATTATTTTTGTTGTGGGAAGAATTTTGAATCCATTTGTGGACGAATCCAGTTTCCAATAACATAGAAATAACGCCATTGAGATCCTCCAAAAGAGGAAACTCAAGGTTTACCAGCATCGTTACAGCATAGCTGAAAGTCGCCTTTGGTATGCAAAAAAAAATTGCGTCTCCGTTATCGTCCAAATAGCGATCAACGATGGATTCGAAATTAATTTTTTCCAGCACTTGGGCACAGTTGGTGTGGGTTTTAAAGTCACATGGACAATCTTCCAAACTTTGGCAAGCCTCCACATCTCTTGGGGACTTCACAAAAGGTATTAGGTTTGGAGGTGAGTACAGCTTTAGATTGCTTGCAAATAAATCTTCTTCTGTGCTGTATTTTTCCACATATTCGGTTTTTGATAAGGCTTCGATTAAGTTTGAGGAAACAAAAGCGCTAGCAAACAGGTTCGCAATCATAAAGGAGGCAAATATTGACCTGAACCATTTGATCTTATTCAGTTGTGGTATTGGAGCTCCAATCATTAAGAAGTAAAGGTTCGTTATGGCATCGACATAACACTTATTGAATACATACGATATGCATACTGAAATAAACATCACCACCAGCAAAGAACCAATGATGACAAGAAGGTTCCTCAAATAATTCTGATCCAACAACACCAGTTGATGTGGCACACACCAGTTGAGTGTTTCAAATACCAGTTGACGTGCATTTGCAAAGTATACATGACGAAATAAACTGTTTCTGTACGATCCGGCTATAATGTCAACCTCATGGTTTGCCAGGGCTGCTAGTTGACCAGTCACAGAACCGTTCGGGTGAACTTCACCAAAGTGGTAGTTGTTGTTGGTGATGTAGGTGATGGCGAGGTTGTATTTTTCCGCAAAGGTGTTCAGAACATTGCCTTCGAAACCTGCATCTATGCTCGTGTTAGATTTTGAGTTGTTTTCGAGGTTCATGATAAAGGGCTTCCACTTGACAAAACCGACCCTAAGTCGTTTGATTGGTGATTGTTTTCGCTGTTTTAACTTTGATAGAATGCCATAGCTACATTTATACTGAAGACGTGTTTTCACACCTAGTATTTCATGCATATCAAAGCAATCTTTCTCGACTTCAACGACTAAATACACTGCAATATGCTTTTGGTAAAGATGTTGTAGTATTTTGTGCAGTTGATCACCTACGTTGAAGTTTAAAACTATCATATACCGTATGCGATTCTGCCAAATATTCCTGTTTTTTATAAATTGCTTTAAATCATCAAAATTTTGTATGTAGATTAGGTGGTTTACGTATTTTGAATTTATTTGGGTTATTTCCACATCCATTACCAAAGACCATAATACATTTTCATTGAAGTGCTGTAATAGTGGAGTCATATTTAATTTCACATTATTTAGGGCTGTGTAAATTACATTACTCATGGTAAAATATTTTTTGGCTAAAGAAAAAATGCATTTATTTAAAGAGGTGAGTGATTCTTCCTTTATAACGATTTTTCTGCAAAAAACTACGCATATGAAAGCTAGAAAGTATGTTACCTTCAACATTTTGAAAACTAATGTGTGACATGCTTACATTAACAAATTAATACACTTAATATTTTCATTACAAACAAATCTGTTTTTTGAGCTATTACTAATTCATTTATCAAATTGCATACGAACAAAAAATAGGGCTAAAATTACACCTATTATCTTATGTACTTACCCAGTGTTACACGAGGCGCACTAGCATCAGCTTGCAACCAAAATGTCACCCATGACATGCAAACCAATAGTATGGATGGTAAAAAGTAATCCATGATGTAGTAACCCACTTCTCGTCTAAGTTTGAACTTGAAAATGACTGCTGAGAATTTTCCATCTACGAAATAAAATCGTCATAGGATGTTATAGTGGTTACAATCATAGATTCTTCTTCTTCTTCTATACTTTTTATTCTCTCTTTCGAGAGAATTGGACTTGAGCCGATTAGGCTCTTACTGCCCAGTTACTAGTTTTAACGTCCAATGATTTCCGAAGAACCAAAAACCATTGGACAACGATTGACTAACGAACACGTGGACACAAATAGGTTATGTAACCTTGAAAATTTAAATGTTCATATAAATTCCTCTATTCCTTTAAAAAAGGACAAAACGAGGAATATTATCTAGGACTGGAATCCGATTTTGTCCTCCCTGAGTCAAAGTCAACTATATTTCACACTTTTTCATGGAGCTATGCACGAGCGATGCGCTTCTCACCGAGGATAAAATCGAACTCCTCACAATCATAGATTAATAACTACTACCATCCACACAAGTTTAAGGTTATTTATCATAACCTACAAATTAATAATTCACCATGATCCCTTAGATAAAACGCAGTCTTTTGAAAATTTGGCATTTAAGGCTTTTCAGGTTATGTATCTGTCAAAGTATAGTCAATGAAAAAGACTGCGATCCGTACGTGGTCACGTGGTGGGACTTTGAGGTGTGGAGCATAGTACAGTTCGCATGCTTCTTTAGCGTATAGTAGTGAATTTTTACATTTACACGTGTCAAAGTCAAAGTTTTTGATGATTTTTGATAACACGTACCGATTAAATCCTAAGAAGTTCAATGTCTATTACGTGAAGAAAAAGCAAAGATTAAAAAAACAAATCCGTTATGCCAGGATTAAGAGGTTGGAGCATATAAAAAACCTCAAGGAAAAAGCATGCGCTAGCATGCCAAGTGTGGAAAGAAAGCTCCTAAAAGAAGATGGGGATCCCTCACCGAAAGAGACCACTGTGGTGGTTATAGAAAACCATCCAAGAAGAGTTGGACCTGCGCAGAAACGCGATCACATGCTTCAATTCTGCTTGATTTCACTCATAGTTATACTATGTTTGCTGATGGTGGTGGCAGATTTTTAAAATGTACCTACTTACCAGTCAACATTAAATTCGATACAGTGTGATTTTCTGTCCAGTGTCCATCGAGCACAAACTCGGTCAGGTGCAAGTTACTAGCGACTTTTACCGGGTCGACTGGGTGCCAGCTGAGTCGCAAGTTTGAAGAGTTATAAGTCCCTAGAACAACTCAATCAATCAGGCTCAATTTTGTCGACTTCCCTGATAGCACAGTTTATTCTAAGAATGTTTTTTAAACCTTCCAGTGGGAATATTCTTAGGATCATGCTATATTTCTTCTAGTCATGTTCTAAGAATGTTTTTTAAACCTTCCAGTGAGAATATTCTTAGGATCATGCTATATTTCTTCTAAAGAACATGCTTAAAAGAAATATAGCATAATCCTAAGAATATTCTCACTGGCCTATAGGCAGGTTCTTAGAAGGTGCAAAGTTTAATGGTAAAAATTAATCCACTCTAAACATATGCTCAGAATGTTGAGAAAGTAATTGCTATAGAAAGTTTATAGGAATATTCCTGGAACATTCTGTTAAGCATATTCAGTTCAGTTAGGTACCTATGTATGTAATAGTAAAATATACCATAATCTACGTATAAAGGTAGGTACCTATACTTAGTATTAAATACTAAGTAAAAAACACAACCCAAAATATTTTTTTATAGTTATTTGTCAAATTAAAACAATATTCGATAACAAAAATACTATTACTATGGGTATCTAAATTATCCGGCTTTTATATAAAATCTTCTATCCAACTTAAATACAATGAAAAATGTTTTTTTTATGAATAACTATTTGGTTTTTTCTTTTATGAAGATTTATTTTATAAGGAAATATTTTGTTTTTTTATATTTTATTTTTTGTTAAAAATAAATATTTATTAATTTGTATACCGATTTTTTATATCTGAATTAACATTTTTATGTATAATAATCCTAACTGTCTTCAACTTAAATCTAATCTGACTTATCCCACAAAATTTTCCAATTTTACTTTTTATGAAATAATGTCATACAACTTATGGTTTAGAGGTCAAATTGTTTATTTAATATTTTTAAATAAATATATATTAATGTCCCAAAATTTTTTAGGGGGACGACAAATACATTTCACTGTCATATTATGACAGTGTATTTGTCGCCTCCTGAAGAATTTTACGAATGTAGAATCCAACATATTAGAACGTGGGTATCTGACATATTTGGAAATATTCTCAAAAGCTTCCTAGAAGCTCCATAAGAAACCTTCTAAGAACATTCCAAAAACGTATTCTTAAAATGTTCTTAGAATGCTTTTTAGGAAGGTTTTATGAAGCTTCTAAGAATCTAATTGCATCATTAAAAGGGTATCTATTGAATGTTTTAAAAGTCCTCAAGAACATTCTTAGCAATAAGGGAAGGTTCTAAGAATATTCCATTATTCCGGGTCATATCTTCTTAGAAGATTCTTAGAATCAAATTTTGCTATCAGGGTTAAGACTTACTTACAGCTAGCCCACATCAACTCGCAAATTTGGCTGTCGAACGGGAACTTCTGCAGGTTCATCCAGCAGTAGAAGGTGGTCGTCATCCTGTAGGAGTAGGTGACATCCCCGTCGGGACTGATCGACATGAAAATGTCCTTTCCGTCGAGCCCCATCAGGGCTGAGGACCTTTCGTTTTTTATGATGATGTGCGGCACCCATATTTTGTCCCTCAAAGGTTCTTCCCCCAGGAGGGAACCTCTTTTCGGGGAAATGTGGCTGTACTTTAGCCGGTTGTCCTTGTAGCTCAGTTGGACCAGAATGTGGGATTTGAATTGCTAAAGGGACAAAGTACACAGTAAAAAAATTTGCCCGTGTAAATTTTTAGTGTAGGGGTAAAATATTAGAGTTGATTTGTTGGTGTAAAAGTTACACTACAAAATACACTAGGTAGCATTTAGTGCTTATTAACTTTATTAAACACATTCAAAGAATATGAACATTATTCATTGGCACATTCACACTATTCATTATTAAAATAAATCAAAAGGGTAGAAAAACTTAATGCGAGTGTTTATTACCCCTTAAAGTGTTAAATAGTGACAAAATGTAAACTACAGTGCATGCCAATTTCTTTGTCTGTTTTGATGTTACTAAGAGCTCTTTTTTCTTTACACTACCAGTGCACATTGTATCACAATTAAAGTTAAATTACACCAATAGTGGCAAAATAGACTGAAAAAACTGGTAATAACCAAAATGCGTTTTAAAATGTTTGGTTGGTAGGTACCTATCTACCTACGCAGTGCATATCCGGAGATACCGCGTTGTGGAAGTGTGGCATTTTTGTTCAGTTAGATTTTAATTATGGGGACATTCTTATTTTTTTGGTAAGTCCTTTTTCTTTAAGCCTTAATACTCAATAAATACCAATATATTAAAAGGATGTCCATACCCGACCTATATTATATATCAATAATTTACGGCAGTAGGTCGGGTACTTGTAACATTAATAATATAAATACATACACAATTGATTTACTTTTTATTTTCAAGCGTAATGGTTGTTATATTAACCTATAGGTACCTACATTTTTATTAATTTTAAGGAAAATTTGTACACGTGTGGTAAATCCCCGACATACAGCCGCCTGACGCCTCTCTACCAATGGGATCACCCATTTTTTATAACAAAAAAAAATGGATTACTGATGAATTCTCAAGATAATTCATTGCTTACAAGTTGACAGCCAGTTGATCTAAAACTTTTACGTTTTAAGGAACCATTTTGCTTAAGCCAGCCATACGACTCAAATATAAAATTATATTTTAAAAGGCACCGATTTTGATAATTTTCAAAGATTTTTGTTCCAAATAAATGTTTCTCTTTATTTACCTTTTCGTTTTATTCACTACCACCAATAGGTTTTACTCAAATAATAGTGTTAATTTACACTAGAAGTTCGCACTAAAAGAGTAAAAGTACCTTTCTAAAATTAGAACTTTTCCAAAGTAGTGTTAATTTACACTGAACAAAAGTGGGATTTTACCCAGGAAGTGTAGAAGTACACGATTTTAGGTAAATTAACACTTTTTAATACAGTGTAAAATTACTTTATCCTCAGTGCTATAGTGTTAAATCATACTTGCTTACTTGGGGAAAACTACAAATTAACTCTAATTGTAGTGTTATAAAACAACACTATTTAGTGTGGATCTGTGTGAACTCTAATTAGTGTTGCTTAGGGTTGATTTTTTTTACTGTGTATCTTTTTTACTGTGTATCTTTTAATCGTTAATCAGAGATTTTTAGATGAACGAAAGCTGGGAAATTATATTTGTGGAGCAAAAACCGATAAATCCATTTTTAAATTTAACTGGTTTAACTGGTTAATTTAACCAGTTGTGGTACTTTTTGGGTGAAATCATTTTAATTTTGGATTGTGACCTAAATAAGTATTGTAGTATTTTGCTTAAATATTTAATTAATTTGAATTAATTTTGTTTGTGGTAATCTATGCTTCATTTATTTTAATCAAGGATTCATTTGCCACACTTTGTTGAACAAGAAACCCACTTTTGTGATTGCAAAGCAGGATTTATTTTTTAAGTTAAATTTAACAATATTTCCCATTTATAAATTTACCAACTGCCACAATCCACACAACAAGGTCTGTTCTATCTCGTACTAAAAATACAAAAAATCACTGCAACACTGCACAGTTTAACGGCGGCCATTTTTGTTGTTTACAATTTTTGTGCTTTGGGTTTGTGCTCTGTTTATACAGATTAATAATCGTTTTAAACGTTGTGTTTCTCATAGTAAGCTTTAAAAGAGTCCTTAAAGTGCTAAGAACAACCATTTTACTCCTCTATTGTAAAAAATAAACTTTATTCTATCAGGGCTGTCATAAAACTGTCAAATGTCAATTTTAAGGTTAAATTATAACCCACAAATTAACCTTCAAATTGTCAATTGACAGCCCTGATAGAATAAGGTATATTTGTTATAAAAGAGGAGTAAAATGGTTGTCCTTAGCACTAAACGGCCTTATTTGAGGCTTACAAGTGCCTCTGTAAGAAACACAACGTTTAAAACAATTATTAAACAGCACAAACCCAAAGCATAAGAATTGTAAACAACAAAAATGGCCGCCGTTAAACTCTGTGCAGTGTTGCAGTGATTTTTAGTATTTTTAGCATGAGATAGAACAGACCTTGTTGTTTGGATTGTGCCAACTGCAATCTTTTTTTTTAAACTACCATCAACATGTCTTACCAGCTGATCTGAAGATTCAATGTGTCGGACATCGATGTGCAAAAAAACCTCCAAAGGGCCTTCAGACACGGGTTTGATAAGCCTGTCGTATCTGCAGCTATCAGAGAGTTTGCTGCTGAATTCTTCTTGTGTTAGCAAGTCGAGGTTCTGTATTGTGGTTAGGTTTGGGCACTTGTCCACTATCTCCGACTTGATGTCCTTAATGGGCTTTGGTGTCGTTGAGGGTATTTTTTGGATGTGGGTCTCATTTTTAGGCGTGGGTTCTATTGTGTTGAGGGTGGTTCTAGAAATAAATTAGATGTGGTTGGAAAAATTGGGGAAGTACAATACAAGGATTCTAATAATTTATATGAGTCATCATGTGATTTAAATTCAGAATTCCACATTGGAATTTCTATGATTTTATTGCAACTTTAAAACGCGTAATCCAATAAACAAATCGTTTGTTATTCCTTTTATGGAAAACAAGGAAATACCCAATTTAATTATATCTACTACTACTTCCATTATCGTACATGTTTCCATGACCCTTATTAGTGATCTTTTAAAACACATTGACAAATTGTGGCTTTATGGTGCTTTAGTCACGGGCTGAAGTAGCAACAGATTTCGATGTTTGTAAATGTAGCTCTGAAATTTTGATTTTCAAGAATTTGATAATAGATCTGTTTTGTATAAGTTCATCAAAGATCCAAATTGAAGCAACTCATTACCAAGACTGGGTTCCAAATCGTCTTTGTAAACTTTTACCTACCAATTCATCTGCTGCAGCATACAAATTTGCAGTATCCATCTCCTCTAAATGATTAAGAAATCCAAATTTTGAACGTACATCATCGTATGCATGCAATCTTCAGTAAGAGAAACACATAGCTGATCGATCACTGGGATAAAGCCTGACACTTTAAATTTATCTTTTGGGGACAAGTTAGCATCTTGGGCTTTCATATAATCGAGCGGATCCAACCTCACATTTCTAGTTCTGGTGCGAGATTGTACGTACTGGTCAGTACTTGATATTCCTTTATCAGCTTCTTCGTATTTGTCAAACTCGTCTCTTTTGGATTCAACAAATAATTTCAGTGATTTCAATGTATGCATTGCAGCCTCAAGAGTCATCTTTGGGTCCTGCAAGATCTTGTTTGTTGCGTAAAATGGCTCCAAAATGTAGTTCCAAAAGATGGCAAATATAGTGGTTTCGAGCCCACTCATCTTCTCCAAAAGATGCGTTGCATTAATTCTCACGATCTCTTTTTGCTACTTATCACAAGATATGCTGGTAAGAGCTTCTTTGATTTCAGAATAACCGTCGACAATAGCTTTCGTAGCTTCAGCTCGACAATTCCAGCGTGTATCGCTAAGCCTTTTCAACACGTGAAACTGTTTGTTTGTTTTTTCCGATAATTTTTCAGTTAGAATTCGGTGTCTTTCTGTACTTACCGTGAACGAAATCAAAGAATTGAACAGCCGATGTGCAAGCATTAGTAGCAGCCTTTTCAACTAAATTAAGAGAATGACCACAACATGGTACAAACACTGATAAAGGATTTTCCTCCAAAATCAGAGCTTGCATGCCTTTGTATATGCTGCTCATATTTGCAGCATTATCGTGTGATTGGCAGCGACAATCGATAATGTCATTTTGATGGTCGCCTAAAAATTTTAGTAAAGCGTTTGCTGTGGCTTCACCAGTATGGCCACAGTTCGATAAAAAGGTCAGAAATCTTTCCTTTGACATCGATCCTTCACGAATGTGAAACATCCTGTATACTATTAAATTTATTTACACATATGATATTGTTAAACTTTTACACCCAAAGGGTAAAAAACGTAGCAATGACCTAAATTGTTAATTATTATTTAATGTAAACTATAAAGTAGGTACCTAACGTCTGTATATTAGATCGGGTAAATATTTACATCAAAAAGCGGCATCCAATATTTACAATTTTAATTACAATGTGCCTCTGTAGGTATTAATTAATGTATATGTAAACCAATTTTAAAACAATAAAAAGTCAACAATGATTAAGTTGTTACCTAAATATTTTTTTAGAAAATTAACACCAATTACTGTGAAATATCATAATTAAGGACAAATGTTGGAAATGTTGGAAATTGTTTTTTTATAAAATTTGTATAAACAAGATTTATTATAAGTATAAATAATTTATCAGATTTTAATGTTACCCATGCATATGTCCAATCCAACATGACACATTTATGTATATATATTATATCATGATTTATGACTTTATTTAAGTAGTCTACTCAAATAAATATATTAACTCGTTATACAGGGTGAACTCATTAGCCGGAACAAAATGAGCTCCTTTGTTAAGACTAGATATGAGTTTGACCTACACTTTTATTGTGATTTGATCTTTCTCAATTAAGTAGATATTACAGCTCAGGTTCCAGATTTTTAACCGCAATTAATTATTTTTTACAATGTTTTAACAGTCTAAAACCTATCCTCCGTGACTCTTTCTAGGTTAACCTATAGGTTTTCAAATATCTGAGGTAGTAAAAGCATACTAAAAATATCAGTTCACTAAGTAAATTAAACACATCCAAAGCAATCGAATCAAATATAAAACATTATTGAAAATTAAAAGAAATAATTTTTATAACAGTTTATGTAGGTGTACAAAAATTGATTCTATAGAATATATTGTCCGTGAATCTGTTTTTGCTTTAAATTTTATGCAACGGATGGCGCTTTAATCATTTTAAATAAGCAAAAACCTCTGTTTACGACATTATGAATGCATGTGATTCCTGAAGGTCAGTTAGAATTTATATGCAGATGAGGGTGTTGCTGTTTTATAATTCAAAAGTTTAAGTTCATTAATTTGCTATTTAAAAACCTCTCCACCGTGAAGTGTAATATCTTAGTAAGAAGATTTTTTTATAAATATTTTATGTATTTTTAGAAAATATTAAGGTGTCAAAAGATGCAATAACTGATTTCAAATATACAAAGGGATCATTAAAAAAAAAAACATACGAAATCCTAACCTCCGTGAAGATCTAATATTCAAAATGTATGATTTGTTAAAATTCTTGCATTAGTGCAGAACCACTTATAACAATGAAACAACCAAAAATAAAAAATAATCATCCTGATATACTATATAGTATATACGATTTTATTATTTCTCTAACGAAAATTCAAGGTGTCATCATCTCCTTATAAAGTTTATAAGTAATTAGTTTTAGTATTGTTTATTATTGTTATTACTAATAAATAATTAACCACTGCAGTGGCTTTGTCTAATGAATATAAATTAATACATTTATTAAAAATAGTAAATAAAATAATATATATAAACTATGATGATATGTGTATTATTAAATCTCAAACCTCAAATTACTGTATATAGTAATTTGAGGTTTACCCAATTGAGTGTGAATTAGTTATTGACCAAAAATAATTTTTATTATGATGTGTATCATATTCTGAGGGTTTAAAATCAAGCAAAAACTGTTGTCAATACATGTAAAATATTTTTTTTTCTTTTTGTATGTATAATTTTATTAAATCAATTAAAAACAATAGTTGTTTAATTGTTCATGCTATAATATAAAAGGAATTTTAAAATTCAAATTTAATTAATAAACAATAATAATTGTTTTTTATTTATTATAATAGTATACTTACAACGGTATTTTTTATAAATCAATAAATTGTTATGAATAAATACAATTTTATCATTCCCAACAAAATCTTATGTTTTAATTTAATATTTTTTAAATTTTATACCTTTTATAAAGTTATTTATATTTAGTTAATTTTTCGCAAATATTATTTTATTTTTGTCGAAATTAAATTAAATTTGTTATAAATGATGCGTATATTAAAAAAATACAGAATTTTTTATACCTGTCATTTGATTTATTTTCGGCGAATACACTCAAACAAAAAATCACCACCAAAAAAATTTTCATTCTTTAAGTCAGTCTGTGCGCTTTCTTAAAGCCAACTAAGAAATTCGCGAAAATCAAGAGCGCGTTCGCGCCAAGCTGATTTTAAAATTAAACTAATCCACCACAACGGCAACCTTGGTTCTTATAAATTCTTATCATGGCCGATCGTCATAAAAGCAGCATTAAATTATGTCCACCAGATAAAAGTTTTACTGAAAATCGCCGAAAAATGATTAATTAAGAAAACAAAAATAAAGCAATGGTTTCTTTGGAAAATTGTGTTAGCAAATACGTATGTAAAATACTTATACATTTGTTTATTAATTTAAAAATTTGAAAAACTCACACTGACATTTTAAAAGCCGGTAAAACAGATTCCTAACACCAATCATAGTAATAATAGTAATATTATAACTATAGGAAAGATTTCTGACCTTTTTATCAAGCTGTGGCCAAACTGGTGAAGCCACAGCAAACGCTTTACTAAAATTTTTAGGCGACCATCAAAATGACATTATCGATTGTCACGGCCAATCACACGATAATGCTGCAAATATGAGCAGCAAATGCAAAGGCATGCAAGCTCTGATTTTGGAGGAAAATCCATTATCAGTGTTTGTACCATGTTGTGGTCATTCTCTTAATTTAGTTGGAAAGGCTGCTGCTAATGCTTGCACATCGGCTGTTCAATTCTTTGATTTCGTTCATAATTTATATACATTTTTCACGGTAAGTACAGAAAGACACCGAATTCTAACTAAAAAATTATCGGAAAAAACAAACAAACAGTTTAACGTGTTGAAAAGGCTTAGCGATACACGCTGGACTTGTCGAGCTGAAGCTACGAAAGCTATTGTCGACGGTTATTCTGAAATCAAAGAAGCTCTTACCAGCATATCTTGTGATATGTAGCAAAAAGAGATCGTGAGAATTGAAGCAACGCATCTTTTGGAGAAGAGGAGTTGTCTCGAAACCGCTCTATTTGCCATCGTTTGGAACGAAATTTTGGAGCCATTTTACGCTACAAACAAGATCTTGCAGGACCCGAAGATGACTCTTGAGCCTGCAATGCGTACATTGAAATCTCTGAAATTATTTGTTGAATCCAAAAGAGACGAGTTTGACAGATACGAAGAAGCTGCTAAAGGAATATCAAGTACTGACCAGTACGTACAATCTCGCAGCAGAACTAGAAATGTGAGGTTGGATCCGGTCGATTATATGAAAGCGCAAGATGCTAACTTGTCACCAAAAGATAAATTTAAAGTGTCAGGCTTTATCCCAGTTATCGATCAGCTATGTGTTTCTCTTACTGAAAGATTGCATGCATACGATGATGTACGTTTAAAATTTGGATTTCTTAATCATTTAGAGGAGATGGATGCTGCAAATTTGTATGCTGCAGCAGATGAATTGGTAGGTAAAAGTTTACAAAGACGATTTGAAACGTAGTCTTGGTAATGAGTTGCTTCAATTTGGATCTTTGATGAACTTATACAAAACAGATCTATTATCAAATTCTTGAAAATCAAAATTTCAGAGCTACATTACGAAACATTTTTTTACAAAAACTTTATTCTGATAAGAAACGTTGATACTTACAAATTGGTTATTTCAGTAAAACTTAAAATTAATTCTTCCAACAAGGTAAAACTGATTATATGAATTAATAACCGATTTCTCAGATGCATTGTATTTAAATCTTATTTTTTTTTCATTACAAACTAAATAGTAAAGTAAAAGTTCCATGCAATAAGTTTAATCTACAACAAAAAACAAACTATAATGACCAATTATTTTTACTTTTATCTAAGGCAACTTTAATTGACTTCCCCCTGTATATAAAAAGTCCAATCGAAATTTCGATGGTATTTTTGGATTCCCCAGATAAAAATGCATTAAAATACATTTTTTTATCTCAAAAAAATTCAAAAGTAAAGCTAGAATTTTAGGGAGAGACACTATATGCTTAAGCATATTTGTTAAGTTAAGCGTCATTACTGGATTTTATTAGGTCGCAAATATTTAACCATAAAGTTAGATACGTGGTAGTTATTATTAAAACAATACATTTTTATTTACTTTTCTACAAAAAACAATGCTGCGCTGTATCGGTAATTAATGAACAAACTAAAATTTGCATGTATTAGATCATTAAACCATAATATTATTTTTTCTTTAATTCATATATGAATTTTAGAAAAAATGATCTAATACATTTTATATAAATATTTTTTTGTTTTTTTTATATCAAATACTGGTTTTGCAATTATTCATTACGCATTATCGTATGAGTTGTAATATTTATTTAATCATAATTCTTGTGAATTCCACGGTTGGTATATCCCATTAAAATAAAACTAATTTATTCAATAAAAATATTTTATTCACGCTAAACTTTTTGCATGTGGCTGCATACAGTTTATAGTATAATTAATTAACTGTATATCTTGCAGCATTTGCGTTAATCTTTTAAAATGTCTTTCAGTGTACGGTAAAGATCCCTCCAAAGTCGAACTTAACCCAATCGGTCTAAAATCGCCGGTCTGAAGCTCGTTCAGTAAAATATTTAAAACCAACTGAGCTGGTTGGCAATTTTTTCCATTCATATTCCAGTTTGTTGCGCATTTCAGTAAACTCTCTTTCTGATCGTTTCTTAACTGTTTTATCGTCTCCGCCAAACCGGTGTCCTGCGATTTAATAACGCCCTGTACAATCCTCAAAACTTGGTAGGGTCTGTCCAATCTCAGCGCGAGCTTTAGGGCTTTCAAAAGTTGATTGTTGTGAATGTAGTTGCTCAACTTTTGCTCCTCCAACGCCAATTCTTCCTCTTCTTTTTGGCGTTTCAATCTACGCTCCTCAGTGGCGTCCTTCCATTTGATCAGCAAAGAATCACTGCCGCCTGTGATCACGTGTGACTCGTCCTTTTTCACTGCCAGAGCCCATATACGACCGTCGTGTTCGTCCAAAGTGCAGTCACATTCCGACGTTTTGACGCTGAATAACTTCAACAAACCGTCACCTCCCGTACTCAGTATTTGCATCCCGTTGGATATGAATTCGGCCCTTAGCACGCTCGATTCGTGCCCTTCGAAGGTTTTGAGGCAGTACAACTCGGCTACGGACCACAACTTTATGGTGCAGTCGGCGGAAGAGCTCATCACTACTTGATCGACCGGCGAGAACCTAACGCTCCATACGCCACGTTTGTGCCCCGTCAAAACCCCAACCAGAGTCAGCGATTCGGTCCACAGCTTGACGGTTTTATCCTGCGACGCCGTCGCTATGATTTTATCGTTCGGTGCTACCGCCACGCAGTTTATGTCTTTTTGGTGGGCGATTTCGGTGAAGGTGCAGTTCAGGGGTTCGTTTTCTTTCAGTTTTGTCGGTACTTCCCACATTTTGATGCACGTATCTTGGCTTACGCTTACAGCGAAGCTGGATGAAGCGTTTGCGAAGGCTACAGAGCCCACAGATCCCGTATGCCGCGTGCCTATACCCACACAAGACATAGTGCAATCTTCATCATTCAATAACCACAATCTCACTTTGTTGTCTTTTGCTGAGGATATAAGTAGATTAGGGTTTGTTTTGCTGGTGTTTAAAGCTAAAACTATATCCGTATGGCCTTTGAGTAGTTGGCAATTCATTGTGGAGTTATCATACAACTTTATATCGTTGGAATTCGTCGCTACAGCTAGATGGGTTTCCTCTTTACCCACATACGTTATATCGAGTATATCGTCGGAAAAACCTATGAATTGTTTGAGGCAAACAAAACTCTTCAGGGAGTGGATTATGATGTTTTGTTCTGCCGTCACCACGGCGAGTGCTTTTGATTTTTTACTGTGCACGAGGTGAGTTATAGCCAACCCCCCCTCTTCCGAAGCTTTGGAAACCAAAGAGTTATCCTGCACGTATACTTCTTTGGCTGTCTTAACATCCCACACCTTGATGACGGCATTTTCGCCCGCAGAAGCCACGTAAATACCGTCGGGATCGCCCTGGAAATTCGGTATTTTGAACTTCAGCGGCAGCACCACAATGCTTTCCAGAGCTTCATACACGGCGATCGTTTTTAGCGCGTGGGTATTATTATACTCCCACAAAATGATGACTTTGTCCCTCCCAGTGGAAACGAAATTCTCGCCGTTATTGGCGAACCCGACGCTGGTAACTTTACTGAAATGTGCGTCATACACCCCGACCGTCTCCCCTTTACCCAACCCCCAACTGTGAATTTTACCGTCATCCCCCGAGGCAAAAATAATATTTTTCTCTGGGTGAAACGCGACCACGTTGATGACCCCCTGACACCCCCGCAAACTCAACACGCAAGCCTGGTGCGTCAAGTCCCATATCCTCACAACCCCATCTGACCCGCCGGAGGCCAACTTATCCCCATTCAAAGCCAGCTTGGCAATCGGCCCTTTGTGAATGTACTTCCACATCTTCACGATCTCCCCGTTTTCGTTCCACATCTTCAGCAAACCGCTTTTGTGTGACGAAATCAGCCGTTCCCCATCCGTAGTGAATGTTTGTATGTAATCGGCATCATCAGAGTCTTCCTCGCCGATTATTTTCGACACTACGCCGTCTTCCACGTTCAATAACGAAATATTGGCGTTTTTTTGGCAATACAACGTGTCCTCGTGCCATTCTATGTTGCCCCCCGTGTAGAAAGCGCTGTGTTTCGATTCCGGTTCAAATCTACGAAAAAAACAGACTATAGGTAAACAATACGCACATGTCAAACATAACCTATACTTTTAAAAGTCACTTTCTTTAAAATTTCTTAAATAATTGCAGCTAAATAACGTGTACTTACACTTCTTTCAGCTTGGCGGAGCTCATTTGGCTTTATTTTGGCTTTAATACAACTTGTTACACGCACAAACCCAGTTTTACTGTAACACACAAAATTCGGTAGTTCAAATGCTCAACTCGCTATAGCCTATTCCCCTTCGCGAGTGAGGTTATGTTGACATTAAAATGAATAAATCTGTATTGTTTGCGGCTAAATTAGTGAAAAACTTGAAGCCGATACGGTTTTTGGCCTCTGCAAACGCAGACGGTGTCGAAAAAGAATCGAAATTCGTGCCGGTATATCAATTTCCTTACATCCGAGCAATATCCGCTATAAATAGGCTAAAAATATATCACACTGCATTTTCAGCCGCTGCTCTACCGATTTCTATTGCTCTAGCATCGGAACATGTCGTCCCAAATGATACTGTGTGGTTTGCAGGCTGTATTGGTGCGTTTTTAGGTTTTAAATGCATTATTCATAGTAAAGTTTTTTTAGGTATATCAGGTATTATCACCTTGTATAGCATAGGATATTTGTCGCAGAGATTCGTAGGTATAATTTATTACGATGAAAGTAGAAAGGTGGCAAAATATTCATACTTAGATTTTTGGGGGAATCGAAAGAATAAAGAAATACCAGTTGAAGATATTATACCCATTTCAGAGCTGCCTGTTTCCACATTTGATGGTTTGTATTTAACGTTGAGGCAGTTTTCGTGCAAAGAAACATATAAATTTAGTTTAAAGTTTGGTATTATATTGGATAAAGAGCAACTGAAAAAAGTTTTGTAATTTTTGTTGTTGTAATGTAAATAAAGTATTTATAAGTGTTGATGATGTTTTTTTATCATGTTTTGGGGTAATGAAAACATATTATACAAGCTATTTTTTATTTTAACTTATAACAACCTTAACTCCATCTATAGTGAGCGTAGGCTCGATTAGCTTCGCACTGCCTGTGTAAATCTTGCTTTCTCTTAATAACTCTTCCAGTATTATTTGCAGCATCTATTAACTCTCTAGCCAACTGTAAATGAAACCTAACAGTGGAGTCTTTTTCTTTTGCCGCTGCGATCAGCCATTTCATCGACAAAAATTCGGATTTTTTATCTGTCAGCGGTACAGGAACCTGAAATAACACAAAATTAATAATTTAAATGTAAATTTTATCATTGTTTTACCTGATATCTGACACCACCTCTTTTAATGGGCGTTAAGTGTAAAATAGGCTTGCAATTGTTAATGGCAGTATAAAAAATAGTTTTGGGGTTCAACTCTATCTTAGCTTTCTCCTCTTCAGACTGGCATTTGTGGTACTTCTCCAACTGCAGCCTTTTAACACTTTCAAAAGATTGGGCAACAAGATCTCTCGCCAATGGTTTTAAACCATCTTTCATTACATAATTTACAAACAAACTACAATAAAAACAAATAAATAAAATTGAGTATTACATATATAACATAATTACTTACTTAACCAGATCATCATGAGCTGTAGAGCAAGTTTGATTGTTCAAAGCAGCTCTCGTAGGTATGTGCTTCAAATTTTGATCTTCACCCGACTTAATTAAAGCTTCTAAGGCGTCTTTTTTGTATATTGGGTTAATGTAGTACGTGGGGTACTGGGACATTCCATTTTGCTGGATAAATGTACTGAAATTTGGAATTTTTGGTGATAAATGTATGGTTTGATTTTAATGACAAGAACTGAGGTTATTTTTTAAGCTTATTTTATAAGTAATATAATTAATGTGGATGTTACAATATGCAGATTTTATGTTTATCTTGATTAAAAAATATATATTTTATTAAAACAATTTATATCTTAATAAAAATTGGAAAATATATAATGACCTTGGTAAATTTTCAATAATAAATAGACTATACACCTGCGATTTAGAGGTTAAGTGGTTGAAATGTCACGTCAAAAAGGGTTACTTGTGAAAATTAACCAAGTTTTTAATATTTAAGTGATTCTATTGGCGCATTATGTGATATTTTGTTAAATACATACCTTAATAGCGGTGTTTTCGATTTTAAAATTTGACATTTATTGAACAGCGTTTTTATCGTGGCCATTTTTGCAGACAGGCGCAGTTCGCTCCACTAGATGTTGTCGTTTGTGGGATTCGTGAAATTATATTTGTTTGCCAAATAAACATTTAAAAACGATGTTTTTCGCTTGTATTTGTTGATCATAAACTAATAAATCCTGTGATGATAAGTTTATAATATAAAGTTTGCGAGTGCTCAGTGATATTCCGCTTTATAAACGATTTTCTAATACCAAAGTAGGCAAAATGGCAGATCCAATGGGCAATCAGAATAATTCAGGTATTAATGAATGTTTATTTGCCTTAAATAACACGCACAATTGGGTTTATTTAATGTGTGTGACTTAAATTTGGAATACTGAAATCTCTTATCTAGTGTTTCTTGAACTTTGCTACTTTACTGTCTATAGAAAATTGTTTCTATAGAAAGCAATAAACCAATCAAAGCACGGCATTCCACATCACACCTATAGTGTGCTGTGGAGAATACTCTGCTTTGATTGGTTTATTGCCTTCTATAGATATCATTCTCTATAGAAAGTATAGTCGCAAATTTTACGTTTAAATTTTAAATTCCTTTTTAGTTCGTAGACCCATGCCATTGCAAATGGAGTTCCCCAAAGCCCCAGCGATGGCCCCTTTTGCTTTTCGTCCGCTGCCTCAGCAACCAACGTCAGATAAACCCTCGCCTACGGGCAGACCAAAAATGAGCCTCCCCAAAGCCCCCATGGAGTCGACAATCGAGAAAACTCGGTACGTCTAAATTATTTTTTCAATTTGTATAAAATTAATTTTTATATGGATTTAATTTTATTTAAGCTTTATTTATAATTTTACCAATTCATTAGTTGTTTTAACATTCACAGTTTTGCCCCATCTGATCGAATTAAAGCAAGGTAAATGTTTGTGGTGTGTGTTTGTTGTTTGTAATGTTGCGTTTTTTTTTTTAAATTACTAAAATTTGAGTTAATCTGTAATATACGTAAATTTCATAGATTTTTAAATAGATATTCAAAAAATTATGTTTAGTTTAGTGTCTAGTTAGAAAATCTAACAAAATGTACCTTACAATTTATTTAATTACTTTCTATACACAATCTAGTGTGCGGTGGAGTATGCCGTGCTCTGATTGGTTAATCACCAAAAGAAAACACTTTCTATAGAAAGTACAGTTGCGAATTTCAAAAAACACGCCCAAGTGCTAGATACAGTAGTTTTTTGAAGTAACAGTTTTTACGAATATTTTGTTTAAGGTAGTTTTTTAAAGTATAAAGAATTTTTAGTTTAATTTGAATTATATTGTATTAGATAACACAGTTCAACACGATTTTTCTTCCATGAAAAATTTTAACAGATTTTAAAAACGTACCTACTTGTCTCATCGTTTCACGAAATCACGTTATTTAAATTTTTTATACAGTCATTCTTATTATTTTAACCTATACAGATTTTTAATTCTCTATTTTGTTATAATCATTTTTTTTATATTCAAAAATTGTATGTTTTTACATGATACAGAAAATAATATTTTTATTTTTTTTTTATAAAAAAAAATTCTTTTTTTTTAATAAAACAGATTTGTTTTTATCTTAAAACTATTAAATTTATGTTGGAAACAAATCTTGGTCTTTTAGTTTAGCGATTATACATTGCTTGAATCTATAGTGGTATCATAACCTAAAAATCGCCACTTGATATACAGGGTGTTTCACATTCAAGTTTCTGGGGAAGGAAAAAATATATTGATTTGAAATTTTAAAAGCCTTTATAATCTATTCAAGTCTCTTTTTCCAAAATATTTTGAACAAAATGCCACTTCCAGTTTGAGCGGAAGTGACATCAACCTTTCGATTAAATTAACTATTTTCTATACCCAAAGTTAATAATTTTAGAGATATTTACAAAATGCCACTTCCGGTAAAACCGGAAGTGGTATTTTGTTCAAAATATTTTAGAAAAATAGGATTAATTGAATTGTTTTTGAAAACCACGTTCGAACCACGTAAAAGTGCAAAAATGTATATTTTAACTACGCAGTCTAGCTTTTTTTGAAGATGTTATATATATTATGACATGATCTAAAAATCAATTTTTAAAGTTTATTTTCAAAATTTATAGGAATTTTTCATGGGAGAGAAAAAATCAAATTTTGTCGTACTGTGTAATATGACATTTACCAATTGAATACAATTTTTAAGAATCCACAAAAATATTACACCACTTGCCATAGTTATTTTCCTAACAAGTGCGCAAAGTTACATTTTTCCGCACGTTACTGCGATTGCAGTAGTGCGGAAAAAATACTTTGCGCATGTGTTAGGAACAATATTTTTTCTACTAGCGTGCGCAAAGTTAGATAAGAATGATTATTAAATTAATTTTTATTAATGTTTATTACAAAGGAACAATTATTCATATTTTCTAAATTAATTGTAGAACAGGTTAACTCATTCAACGGATGAATGGTACTTTTTTTTGGTAGCGGAGGATCTACAAAAACTATGACCTGTGTACTCCTCAGGATTTTTAAGTTTTAGATGTGCAGCTATTTGTGCAGGCATTTTACCAAATGTATTAATTCCTACACATTGGGTAGTGCATGCTCTTCTTTTATAATTGACAAAAAACCGCTTGTTTTCGCAAATTTGAATATTTTCGAAACAGTTGTTAGTAATGACCATTATTGATTTCATCGGATATCACAAAGATTCTTGATGTGTAATTTTTACTGTCCGAAATATTCACGATTACCAAATTTTCTTTATCTTCTATATCATTATTTTTGAGAGCTCTTCTAGCCTACAAGCACCAGCCAACCCAAAAATGGTGGCATCTTTTATTAAAAGGTAAATTTCATCTGGTGCTTCTTTAATGAATCTTGAAATGTCATCTTTCTCAAAAATTTTGGACTTTTTTGGTCGGTATCCCACATTTTCCTTTTTTATATATGGGTCATTTTCAAGAAACACCCGCTTTCAGGAAAATGAAGATCAAAATATTTTTTTTGCTTAAATTGACTTTTGGTTGGAATTTTATAAATGTTTAGAGTTTTGTTTACTCACATTTAAGACAGGCAGTTCACTTTTTAATTTTTTTTACGTTTTTTTCAGAAAAATGTGTTTAGCTAGCTTTATACAGTGCTTGCAAATCCAAGTCCGACCACACTGGAAAGGACGGCTGTTCAATACCCGCGTGAAAAGAACAAGGATAGAACGCCAAATAGAATTTGATTGGCCAGCCGGCAGGCTACGACAACGCATACCCATCGCGCACCTCGCAGCGTGCTTGACACGAGGATATCAGAAGTTCTGATTCAGAACGAGAGTTGCAGTGGTGCCAGCAAGAGGTAGTAATTTTAGTAAAAAAGATTATTTAATTAAAAAATGTAGGTAGGTACACGTTGGAACAAAAAGTTCAGATTTTAATCTGGCATTTTGCTGGTAATTCTGAACGAGAAATTCAAAGATTATTTGCGGGAATGTTCGAGGCCAGACCAAACAGAGAAACAATTCGACGAACCGTTAATAATTGCTTGTTCGAACATTTAATTTAATTTTTTAGTTTATTTATTTTTAGAGTTTTATTAGACCAGGGTCGATAATTTTTGAAACCAAAAAAAATAACAGTAGGATGAAATATTATAATGAATAACGTAATCAGAATGAAGTATCTAAATTCAATAGTATGATTTACATGTATTTTTATATTTTATGAGATTTTCTGACATAAATGTTATTAGAATTTAATAAATAAACTTTTTAACTAAAAAAATTGCGACAATCACATTTTTTTGATGAAATTGTACATAATGATTAAAATAAATTTTCGAATTCGAGTTTTTTTCGTTATTCATTATAATATTTTTTGCATTTTCTGAGAACATTTACCATAGTTATGTATTTTTTTTTACACCATCAGAAAGTGGAGAGTTCATCGAACAAAAATCACACCGACTTTTTGAAAAAAGCTGATATTTTGACGCGAGAATTTTCGATTGAAAATTAGGGTGCTTTTTTGATATTAAGTCAAAATAAGGCGAAATAATAAATATTTCAAATCAAATAAATTACAGTGTATTTGGGACATAAAAAGGTAAGTTTTCACCAAATTTCGTGGAAAAAAATTTTTTTTTTGAAAAAGATAAAAATAAAAAACCAAAAACTTGGTTTTTTGAATTTTTCCCTCAAATTTTGAGGTTATGTAAAAAAATTGTAATTACAAAAGTTGTAGATCCTTTTATTACCTACAACTTTGCCATTTAACTTTTTTCCATAGGACTTGTAGTTTTGCCGGAAATCGAGATAAACCATTTTTTACCCTTAAAACCCCCCCCCCTCCCCAGTCAGATCGCCCGTAATTTATTTTTCCTTTTATTTTTATTATATTCTTCTCCTTTTCCAATGGGTTTCATCCTACTGTTATTTTTTTTGGTTTCAAAAATTATCGACCCTGGTCTAATAAAACTCTAAATAAATAAACTGAAAAATTAAATTAAATGTTCGAACAAGCAATTATTAACGGTTCGTCGAATTGTTTCTCTGTTTGGTCTGGCCTCGAACATTCCCGCAAATAATCTTTGAATTTCTCGTTCAGAATTACCAGCAAAATGCCAGATTAAAATCTGAACTTTTTGTTCCAACGTGTACCTACCTACATTTTTTAATTAAATAATCTTTTTTACTAAAATTACTACCTCTTGCTGGCACCACTGCAACTCTCGTTCTGATATCCTCGTGTCAAGCACGCTGCGAGGTGCGCGATGGGTATGCGTTGTCGTAGCCTGCCGGCTGGCCAATCAAATTCTATTTGGCGTTCTATCCTTGTTCTTTTTACGCGGGTATTGAACAGCCGTCCTTTCCAGTGTGGTCGGACTTGGATTTGCAAGCACTGTATATCTCCAATGTGTTACCAATTTGAAATCCAAAATTTAATTCAATAAAAAAATAATTTGAAATAAAATGTACTTAGTTCACAAACTTTTGACTCCAATTTTTTATTTTATTTTTTATTAAAAATTGTATGCTTTTTTTTAAATATGTATGTTCGTTAAGTTACTTTTTAAAAGAAACCATTCCGATTATTTGTTAAAAAAACAATACCATTAATATTTTCTTTTAGTCACTGTATTAGTGAATTGAACTAAACACGTATTACCAAGTGATAGTGTATAAAAATCATTTTAAGTATTTTTTTTAACAAAAACTAAAAAAGTAACGAAATAGACATTGGTATCACAACGGACAGGGGTACACAAAGGACTTAATCAGATAACGTAAAAAAGAAACTATATAGGGTGGTACGATTTTAGAGTAATGCATAAGCAAAATCTCTTGTAGTGTAGTGAGCACACTTGTACAATAACAACTTAGATTTCTAAATTGTAGACACCCTTTTTCTTTGACTATAAGCTGGTGAAGGTCCCTTTTAGTACTTTTATATTGCGTGGAATTTTTCCTTGGATGTAATCTATATCATGAGTTGTAATAACAAATAATTTTAAATTGGTTAATCATAAACTACTTTTAATAAAAGCGACGGTTAATATCCACTTTGTTGTCGAAAAATTCTATTGCATTACCCTAAATTCCATTGCGTTACCATAAGGTAACATAGTGGACTCGGTAACGCAGTGGACAAAGTTTTGTAAAACCATATTTAAAAAATAATAATAAGACATTATAGTCATTAATTACTCTCAATGAGCTTTAGTGCCCCAAAATAAACATAAACATGAAAAATAGTAATTTTTCTTAGCTTATTTTTATTATTTTTTGAGTAACTTAGCGGACAAACAATTATTACATTCCCGTTACCCGCACCTGTTTCAACCGATATCTTCCTGATTGAATAAATAAATTCAGCTGGGTAATGTGTACGTCCGAGCATCATTTGTTGATCACCTGAGTACCAAAAAAGTTGCCATATAAGTATATGTTGTTTTTAATATTCTATCGGTAACGCGACGGACTTAACGCAACGGAAAAAATGTCTGGGACACGAGTCAAATTTAAAAAAAGTTGATTAAAATTAATTATTTTGTATATAAATTGTTTACTGTATTAACTAAGGATTGCTATAAAGCAACACTTTGTTTGACGCACGCTAGTAGAAACAAACATATACATTCCTTACTCAAGTCAAGAAGCTTGCTTAACCCTCCCTCCCCAAACCAATCAAAACACTGTGAACTCTTCTCAGGGAGCAAAGGATGAAAATCTGCCAGTCGATGCACTCGACCGGCAAGCTGAAAATCGACAACGTCGTCTACGACTTCACGTCGGAAGACCTCCAGGACCTGGGCGAGATAGGTCGAGGCGGTTTCGGCACCGTCAACAAGATGATACACCGGAAGTCTCAGACGGTGATCGCCGTCAAAAGGATCAGGTCCACCGTGGACGAGAAGGAGCAGAAACAGCTGCTGATGGACCTGGACGTCGTCATGAAGAGCAACGAGTGCAAGTTCATCGTCCAGTTCTACGGCGCGTTGTTCAAAGAGGTAAGGTAATACTGTAAAATCAAGAGTTCTATAAATGGTTACCTTAAAGTCAAATCGTTAGATGACGCTGTATACAATTATAACTATCTCAGACGGTAATATTATACAGACTGTATAGAATCAAGTAAAGCTGGAGACAAGGATGACAAATTATATCCTGATCAGAGAAAAAGAAACAAACTTTAATTGGGCGTGGTTTAAACCAAGCCATTCGTAATTACGAACCATAGTTGCCAGGTTGTTTTAAATCAGAAGAGAACGATTATAATTATTTAATAAATAGTTCAATTTTATTTGTTTGAAACTTTAAAAATAACAAAAAAATTAATAATATGTCAAAAATAATTTGATTTAGTTAATTTTCTTACTTTTAATATTAAAAAATAGGAAAAACAACCCTTTTAGGAAACAATAATAGCAACAGCGCGGCATGCAGCCAGATACAAGGGCATGCAGTTTCAATCTCTACCACAGTGGGCGGGGTTTGGCACTTGTTTTATTTAAGTGTATCTATTCGTTTTAATACACACTGTACATATGTATATATATAATTCCTTGAAAAATCATAAAATTTTACACTTAACTAGGGATAAGTTATGCGGTCCAAGTTGGTCCAGAATATTTTAACTTTTAAATCAAAATATGATAAACATAAATTGTTTCTTGATGCCAATAAAAATGAATCCCCTAAGGGCGACTGTTGGATCTGCATGGAGCTAATGGACACCTCCTTGGACAAATTCTACAAATTCATCTGCGAGAAGTTAAAAAAACGAATCCCGGAACCCATTCTGGGTAAAATAGCTCTCGCTACCGTAAAAGCGTTAAACTACTTGAAGGAGGAGTTGAAAATCATCCACAGAGACGTGAAACCGAGCAACATCCTCCTGGACAAGAAGGGCAACATAAAACTGTGCGACTTCGGTATTTCCGGTCAACTGGTCGACAGTATTGCTAAGACTAAAGATGCTGGTTGTAGACCTTACATGGCCGTGAGTTGTTTAAAACGAGATGTAAAAATCCCAATACACGTTTTGGAATTTTCAGCCTGAAAGAATAGATCCACAAACAGCAAAAGGTTACGACGTCAGGAGCGACGTCTGGTCGCTGGGCATCACGTTGATGGAGGTGTCGACCGGATGTTTCCCCTACCCGAAATGGTCGAGCGTTTTCGACCAATTGCATCAAGTGGTCAACGGGGATGCCCCGAGACTTTCCTCCAACGCCAACGCTTTCACCGCCGACTTCGTCAATTTTGTGAATACCTGGTGAGTACTAGCGCGACTTTACTTCTACAGCGGCGAGATGTTACGTCACGGTTACGGGAAATATTACGTAAAAATATGGAACGCCGTTTTGAATTTCAATCGCAAGTAACTTTTTTATTTGATGTCGGATTTAAACGAATATTGAAGAATATTGTAGATAAATGAATGTACAATCGCTCACATTTTTTAAATTACTAAAAAATAGACGTACGTTTATAATATACAGGTTTAAACAAAAAGATGTTTTTTACCATAAGTTTAAGACACTCTGTAGAGTGGCAAAACCGTATATTGTTCTTAATTAAGTTTTATTTATCAAGTCACATCTATTCTTAATACTTTTGTTTTTGGTTCACCTCGATATATTTATTTTTGTGGAAAATATTGATTTAAAAAAAACATTGCAATTTCCAAAATTTTTCTGTATGAAGAACTAAGGTTGCTATGGTCCATCCATAGGCTATGTAGAATGACAGTGACAGTTTTGTTGAATCATCCCATACTTGGACATGTCATACACGGCTTTCAAAAGCTATCAAATTGTTTTTTGCAAATTAATGTTTGAATTTTGAGGTGTCTTCTTACTTTAAAAAATGGATATGTCTCCGACTGATGTTGCCAGAGCCATTAATTTAATCCTGGATGGACGGTCACAGTATTACGTGGCAAGTGTTTTAAACATCACAAGAAGTGAAGTACAAAGGGCAACATCAGTCGGAGACATCTTTAAAAGTATGAAGACACCTCAAAATTAACACATTAATTTACAAAGAACAATTTGATAGCTTTTGAAATATGTATAATATATATATTATGACATGTCCAAGTATGGGATGATTCAACAAAACTGTCACTGTCATCCTCCATAGGCTATGGATGGACCATAGCAACCTTAGTTCTTCATACATGAAAAATATTGGAAATTGCTATGTTTTTTTTTTAAATCAATATTTTCCACAAAAATAAATATATCAAGGTGAACCAAAAACAAATCTGTTAAAAATAGATGTGACAACTTAATTTAGAACAATATACGGTTTTGCCACTCTACAGAGTGTTTTAAACTAATGGTAAAAAACATCTTTTTGTTTAAACCTGTATATTATAAACGTACGTGTATTTTTTAGTAATTTTTAAAATGTGAGCGATTCTCCATTAATGTATCTACAATAATCCTTAATATTTGTTTAAATCCGAAATCAAAAAAAAAAGTTATTTGCGAGTGTATTTAATAACATAGCGCAAATTGTTATATTAAATACTAAAACCGCGCGCCAATTTGATATTTATTTTATCTTTAATAGTTATCAAAGGTTTTACTATTTAATAACTTGCAATTGTTCTAAATGGAAAAAAGTAAAGCTTTTTTGGAGAAAAGTGGTATATTGTACATAGTTTTGGCAAATGTCGTATATTGTATAAAGTCAAAGAGTTGTAAGTAGCTATTTATTTTAAAATATGTCACTAATACTTTTGTAGACTTGCAGGTTATTGTATAAATAGTTATTACAACACCTGTGTGTTGAAAAACATTATTAATGAAAAGAATATAAAAGTCAAAATACTTTAAAAATGCCCTATAGAACCCATATTGATCCAGATAAGGAAACTAATATGGATTTATATGGTTCTATATGTCCTATATGGAACGACCTGGTTTACAGTTTGGAATCTATATGGTTTAATATGGAATTTAATTTTAAAATGTACAACTTAGGGATTTTTATATGGATTTATCTGGTTTCTGTTTTATGTGTCTTTCCATATAGATTCCCCTATATGGTTAAATATGGATCTATCTGGTTTCTGTTTTATGTGTCTTTCCATATAGATTCCCCTATATAGTTAAATATGGATCCATATGGTAATAATTTTTTCAAACCCAAACCATATTGGGCCAGATAGAGCTCCAATATGGTTCAATCTGAACCTATATGGCAATCCACATAGAAATCACTTTCCTATATGGTTTTCCATGTATGGAATTCTATATGTTTCAAATTCCTATATTGAACCAGATAGATTTTTATTTTGTGTTTCTATATGGCATTTTTAATAGGAAACACCTTAAAATCCTTAAATCTAGTGTTTTTTGTTTTCCCAAGACAGGTCTGCCATACTTTTTACAACATTCGTATATCGCCAAAAGTCGAATGCAATACTTGAATTTTAAGTAAAGTTTTAAGTTTTTTCAACATTCAAGTGTTGCAATAAGTATTTATACAATATCTGCAAGTCTCCCCAAAACTATTACAGTTCATTTTTTTTATCTGGACTCGTGTTTTTTGTTAGGTTGGTGGCTTATGCCCAGTATTTAAAAATTGGTCCTTCTGCTTTGTTAGTACATCGCCTTATGGACATTTTTGAAGTAAAAAAATAACGAATTTGGCTATATAAATATTACATCACACATTATTTTCACATTATTCACCATTGGACAATATTTACGTTCACAAAAAAATTTAATTTCTTTTATATAAATTCTTTTCAAAGCGAAGATTATTATCCGCTAGGAATACTTTCTCTTCTGGGCCGTAAAGCAACCTATATTTAACTACTTTTTTTATATGATTTTACTCATCCAAGCACCACCAAAGCCAAATTAATTGCATTTTTAACTACGAATTTCGACAACTCAACTTGACTACTGCACAATGTAACCAACAATAATTTATACATAACGACAATTAGATTTATAACTAGCTTAGTTTGTTTTAATCAATGCGACCAACTTGACAACTGTATTTACCAACCAAAACCCTAAATTTGCAACGTTGCCGCAGTCCAGATAAAAAAAATGAACTTTGGTGACTGAAGCTTTTTATGCGGTTCTCTTTCAGTTTGATAAAAGACGAGCACCAGAGGCCCAAGTACAACAGGCTTCTGCAGGATCCTTTCGTCCTGCGCGCGCAGCAGGAGCAAGTAGACGTTGCCGCGTACGTTTCCGAGATCATGGACGAGATGGCCAACAACGGCATCAGCGCTTTCACCACCAACATGCAATAATAGTTTGTTGGCGAGTGAAACGGGCCGAAACACAGATAACACCGCTAAATTAACGAGAGTATATTGCTCAAATGATACATAAATAAAAGTGTTCTTGGTGTTTTCGGCGGTTGGGTTATTATTAGTTATGAAGTCGGTTATCTCAGGTGATAGTGATAAAACCTGCGTATGTATAGTACGTTCAGCTGCCGAAAAAGCGCGGGATTTTGACTATATATCTTATGAGTGTTATAGGTTATACGACTTCATAAAAATGTCCAAGCATGCTGTTAAGATTTGGGACTATATCTTTCATAGCATGTTAACTTATAAATTCATAAGATACAATGCGGTTTTTAAGAAATTATAACAAAGAAATCATAATCTTGAAAACGCCGTTTTATTTTTTATTCGGGAATCATTTTTATGCGTAAATAATAAAAAATACCACACAAGAATTTTTTTTCTCCAAATTAATAACTGATATTTTTTATTTAGTTTATTTAAAAAAGTTACTTCTTATTTTTGTATTTTTTTACTTAACACTTGTTTTTAATTTGCTAAATTAAAAATATCATAGGAGAAATTTTTAAATCCATTTAATTTTTATTTTATTGAATAATCAGATATTTTTAATAGAAGGTTTTTAATTCGGATTAAAAGTTTGGACACCCCTGGTATTCCAAACTAATTCTGTCGCTAGATGGCGGCACAATATCTGCTTATTTACATTTGCATTTAAAAATTTCTCCCATGATATTTTTAATAATAAAATATGCGTTTAACTAAAAAACACTGCGCGTCAAAATTAACGCATAACAATTTAAAAAATCCAACTCTAAAACGCCTTTACCAATCTTTATAAAATTTTGAATAAAAATACTTTAACTTATATCTCAGTTTACGTGTTTGAGAGTTTTTCGAGAAAATATCCTTATTTAATAATAAAAAAGCTCGAAAAAAAACTGTGAAAGACCGTATTTTTGTAATAAACGTTGAAAATGTTGTACAAATCCAACGAACAGTAACGAAAATACAGCGCTTCAAAGTCGTCAAAAATGACCATTTTTCAGAAAAATAATCAAAAAGGGGTAATTTTTACCGACTTTGAAGCGCTGTATCTTTGTTACTGTTGATTTTTACAAAATGTTTAGGATATACCTACTAACAATAATACGGTCTTTAACAACATATTTTTAATTTACTTAAAAAAAATTATTTTATTTAATTAAAGGGCTTTAAACATATTTTTTTTAAAAACCCTCGAACACGTAAACTGAGATATAAGTTGAAGTATTTTTATAGAAAATTTCATAAAGATTGGCAAAGGCGTTTTAGAGTTAGAATTTATTAAATTAAAATAATCAGTTTGGCATAAAAATTAAATTAAACTTTCAAATATCTTGTATGATATTTTTAATATGCAGAATAAAAATTCTTACATGATATTTTTATTTAATTAAAAATATCACTTGAGTGTTGAACCCATAAGAATAATTCCTAAATAAAAAATAAAACAGCGCCTTTTAGACAATTCTCTTCCACAGAAAAACATCGGAGTTTTCGAATGTAGGCAACCCAGATTGCACGTGGAGGTAATCCTGGTTGCGTTATGCGTTTTTTACGTATTTTGCACGGATCGGGTTGCCAATAGGGAAAAATTGTTCATTGTTGTAATTTGCATGAAAAAATCTCGAATTTTCGTTTGTTGGCGCACTATATTTTTCTTTATTAGGAAAATGTTGCATTTTGTTTTTAAAGAATAATCAAAAAAAACGGCATTTGGTTGATTCGTACCTATGAATTTTAGTCTTGGTGACATTGTATAATGAATGTTACCGGTTAGTAATAATATTGTTACTGTTACAACAGTACTGAGTCCATTTTGTACATACATAATGAAACTGCATTGAATTCGGTTAGTAGCGATAATTTTTACGTTTTTGTTTTTCTTAGTGATATTTGTGATGTTGAAAGTTTAGCCCAATGTATTTAAAAATGTCCGTAGTTGGTGACGTAGCGTACCATTTTATTGATGTGGTGTTTCCTCTATTCTTTGCTTATTCTTCTTACCTATGTAACTTAAAAAATGAGCTTAAAAACAATCACGAGCAATTGAATTCAATCAATTTGTGGCTGTGACATAGACTGTCAAAAACGATTTTTTTGAAGGAACAATAGATAGAGTGAAATAATAGCAATAATCTTAGGGTTAAATATATAACGCGTTTTTAAATATATTGGCTAATTTCTGTTTTAAATCAAGGTGCTTTTTACTATTTTTTTTAACTATTTATTTATATAGTCACGGCCAAATCTGTATGGGTGCACGTCATCAACGGCATATGACGTCAGCGTTAAGGTCTATTCATACGTGCCCAGACACAATCTAACGCTCGTGTATTGTTGACTGTTTATAGCGGTGGGGTCTGTTATTAAGATGGAATTATAACGTCCTTGTTATAATCTTCTGAACTAACTAATTAGGAGTTTGTTACAGGCAAATTTTTATTAAATGTGTTTAAAGAGAAAACAAACGGAGTTTATTACATTTTTATTACATATGCACATAACAAAAAAATTCTAAATTATCAGAAACACAAAATATATAAATTACCAGTCGTCCTTGTCATCAGAGCAAACCAGGTCAGAATTGAAGTCTGATTATTTCCCCAAATTTATTATTAAGGGCGCAATGTCTTCGAAATCTAATAACGGCTAGTTGCCAACAAGCCTTATATCATTGTTTGCACAATCCAGGGATAGAATCTTATAAACATAATGTATAATATTATTTATAATAATTTGCAACAAACGATGCTTCCGGACGAAATGTCACAATTACAAAAATACGTCAAATATAAAATGACAGCGACCCATCAATAATATTGAACGGTGCGCGCCAGCCTTAAGCTATTACCAACTGGCACACACAAAAATTACTAAGTGAATGGTTTTATTTTGATAATTTCGTGAAAAAACGTTTTAAAACAAGGAAATTGTTACAGTTCTTGGTAAACAATACGCAAATGAATGATTTCTTTTTAATAACACATCAGAATTACGCCTTAAAAAAGCAAATTTAACGGCAGTAACTTTACAATTCAAAGTTGGTAATGCTGACGTCATTATATCTCATTGATGACGTGCACCCATATAGATTTGGCCGTGACTATAAATGTATATGTATATTATGACCTAAATGTGTTTGTATAATTTTAAATTCCGCATTGAACAATATTCAATCACCACTAAGTTTGTTTAATTCGTTAAATATTGTGGAACACAAATATAATCTGTTTTCTATTTAAAATTGTTAATGGTTTAAACTAATAAAAATGTTGCCTATTGTAATGTACCTTGTATATACTTCGATAAGTGTATGTTGATAACTTTAATTTTATACTCATAAACGTTTTAAACAAATAAACAGTCCCCTGTTTATTTAACTATGCAATGTTGAGTATGTAAAATATAATTAATTAATATACAAGTAACTTATAAGTCTTTTATTTTTCCCTGAGAAAATATTACAACATTAAACATAAAAATTATACACATTCTAAAAAAACTGTTTTTAACGAAATTAGATTTTTTTCTACCTTATTGACAAGTTGTGGCTTTATGGCGCTTTAGTCAATGGCTGAAGTTAGTTGACAGTTGTCAAAAAATATTCTTTTTACTTTCAGTATAAAAAACTGCTTAAAATAGGGTTTTATAATAGTACATTCTGTAACAAGTTTGGAATACAGCATATTCCGCTCGAGGAAAAATTTGACACACGAGCCGAAGGCGAGTGTGACGGTTTTACGAGAGTGGAATATGCTATTCCAAACGTGTTTCAGACATTATTTTCTCTACGACTACGTAAGAATAGTAACGCTTATATAATTTTAAACAGAGAAAAGAAACCAAGCAGTTTTTGACATTTAAGTTTTTTGTATTGTCAAACCATTTTGTGCCGTCACAATTTTATAATGTAAATTATAATAAATTTGGTATGCCTAAATCTTTATTATAATTAAAAATAGTTATTTACACTTACTAATAAAAAAAATAACAAATACAAAACTAATTTTACAAGTAATCTATGTCAACATCCATTCTTTTTCAACATTTTAAAGGTCTTTTTTTAAACTTTTTGAATCTGTCAAAACTTCAAAGCCGGTATAGTAGGTAACTGATTTATCATTTTAATATCAAATTTATTATAATTTTGATTTTATTATTTGAAAAACAATAAATGTAACTAATTTTTTGTGCCTAAACCTTAATTACAACTGCTATTATTTTTAAATAATAAATAATACAGTAATATTTAAATATTTTTAAATTTTTTACGTTTAGTAAACAGCCAGGAGATGTCGTTACTTGTGACCATTCTTATACAAGAGTAGGAATCAGTGTTGCCAACCGTAGCGGAATTCCGCTACGCATAGCGGGATTTACCCCCAAAAGCGGCGTAGCGGCGGTGGAACAAAATAATGGCAAAAGGTAGCGGAATTTAGTTTTTTTTAAATACGTTTTAGTAAAACATTTAAAACACTAATTTTTTTTCTAGTTTGTTCTGTTTGTTTAAAAAAACATTACATTTAAAAATATTAAAATAGTGTTTTTCTTAAAAATTACACACAATACACACACAAGATATTTAATGAACGTAATTTTTAACTTTCGGTCTCATACACCGAATCGACTAATGGCGTTTCAGAAAACAGTGAGACTAATGAAGGGTTTAAATCTTTTGTGCTTAGCTTTATTTATAGATTTCCTTTCGTCCTTTCTCCCGCCCTCCCGTAAAATGCTATATATAGCCGCCGTAGGATTTATAAATGCTACCGCGGCTTGCGTATTGTTTATCTTTTACGGGCGGGCGGGACTTCCAGCGTTAGAATATTTTTGTTTTGGTTTTATATAGGGATTTTTTGTTACCTGTTTTTTATATTTATTAGGTACTTCTTCTTCTTCTTCAAAATTTTTGGCCTTTAGCTAATTTAAAAGCTATTTGGCCAGCTCATGATGTTGATATTAGGCACAGATTATATTAGGTACTTGAAGAAAGTATTTTGCTTAACATTTCTTGTCTTTATTTGCATTTAAAAAAATTGTATCCAAAGTTTGGATTCCAAACTTTAAGCCAAAATAGAGCGGGTGTAGCGGAATTAGGATAGATTCGGCTGTAGCGGAGCGTAGCGGAATTTTGATATTGTTGTAGCGTTATTTGTTATTTTCGAGTTGGCAACACTGGTAGGAATATTCTCGCACAGTATTGCAGAAAAACATCCTTTCTATGATCAAAAATTACACTAGAATGTTACTATTCTTAAGTAGTCGTAGAGAAAAAATTTTAACATATTTAAATTTGTATTTGACATATGTTTTTGACATTCTCGAACATGTCATGACATTCTCAAATGAGTTTTTGACAATCTTAAACATGTTATGGCACTCTTTAATAAGTTTGATATTTTAAATATGTTTTTATTCAAACTTTTAATATTCTAAAATTTGTATTTGACATTCTAAAATTTTTTTGTGTTATTATTAAACATGTTATGACACTTATAAGAGTTTATAAATATGGCTTTAAAATTCTAAAATATGTTTTGGAAATTTTTAAACATGTCATTACACTTAAATATAGCTTTAAAAGCTTTAAAATGTGTTTTGACATTATAAAATGTATTTTTGATATTCTTTAACATGTCACATGGGACTTAAATATGGCTTTGACATTCTAAAATGTGTTAATGACATTCTAAAATGTATTTTTGATATTCTTTAATATGTCTCATGACACTTAAATATGGCTTTGACATTATAAAATGTGTTTAGTTAAAACTTTTAACAACTTAAATATCTTAATTAAGTCTGATATTTTAAAATATGGTTTTATTAAAACTTTTAACATTCTAAAATTTGTATTTGACTTTCTAAAATGTTTTTGCCATTCTTGAACATGTCATGACATTTTAAAATGTGTTTTGACATATTTAAATGTCTTGAAACTTTCAAATAAGTTTGATATTTTTAAATATGGTTTTATTAAAACTTGTAACATTCTAAAATATGTTTTGGACATTCTAAAATGTGTTTTTGACATTCTAAAATGTGTTTTTGACATTCTAAAATGTATTTTTGATATTCTTTAACATGTCACATGACATTTAAATATGGCTTTGACATTCTAAAATGTGTTTAGTTAAAACTTTTAACAACTCAAATATCTTAACAACCTTAAATAAGTCTGATATTTTAAAATATGGTTTTATTAAAACTTTTAACATTCTAAAATTTGTATTTGACATTCTAAAATGTTTTTGCCATTCTTGAAAATGTCATGACATTTTAAAATGTGATTTGACATACTTAAATGTCTTGAAACTTTTAAATAAGTTTGATATTTTTAAATATGGTTTTATTAAAACTTGTAACATTCTAAAATATGTTTTGGACATTCTAAAATGTGTTTTTGACATTCTAAAGTTTATTTTTGATATTCTTTAACAGATGACACTTAAATATGATTTTAATATTCTAAAATTTGTATTTGACAATCTAAAATATGTTTTTGACATTCTTAAATATGTCATGACATTCTAAAATTTTTTTTGATATTCTTTAACATGACACTAAAATGTTAAATTGTTAATTGCTACTTTTATTAAAATATGTATATTTAACAATTTTTCCGGTTTTTTTTTCGACAACAATTAAATTCGATTTTAATGAAATTTACACAATTTGAAGCTTCATTTATGCACTTAGATATTAAGAGCTACAATTTTTGTAAATTTTATTATAATTGAACAGCAAATTTGGCTAAAAACGTTTTGGGTTTTTTCATTGAAAACAAAGACTATGCAAATAATTTATTTATTTTTTTAGGTTCGTTTATTTACACTGTTTTAATAAATAGTACATCCTGATATACAAACAATTGGGCATAACAAGATAAATTCAAAATCAACAACAAATAAATGCACCACTTTATCACACATTTCCTTCCAGATTTTTATTTTTTCTGCCCAGCACTGGAGATTTTATCTCGGTGCCCGAATCATTGTCCGAACTCACACTATTCTTCAACTTTAAATCCTCACTGACACTCTTACTTTTCCGCCTCTGTCTTTTGTCGTTGCTCTCCTTTACCGACTCCATGATTTGGTTGAACCGCTCCGTCCAGAAAGCGTTCTGTTTCTGCACTATATCACTGTGCTTGTTGATAAAATCCGTGTCGGCTGGCAACGACAGCTCCCACCCTTTATTGTGCCGCAGCTTAGAAATCCCCGTAAAAATCTCCTTAATTTCCTCCGAGGGTATTTTCATCACAGACGATACCTTCTTCCTTTCCACATACTGGTGCTTGGTGAAGTAATACAGCTGAAAGAAACACCTTTTTGACTATGTCCGTATATACAGGGTGAGTTTTAAGTTGACGCGTTCCTTTTAACAGCGTGTAGAAATCAGATAAACAAATAAATATTTTAAGTAACTTTTTTATCAAAACTCAAAAATAAGAGAGTTATAGGCCTTCCAAGTTTAATTAAATTTTGAGCCGGTCCTGGCTATTGTTAACAAAAAACATAACCATAAAAATAAAAATAACAACAAAGTGACTAGGTGCACGTTAGAGTGCCCGCAATTTATTTTTTACGGGCACGCTAGTGACGTCATAATAATAATCCGGTTTTGTTACCCGAACATATAATTTTTGTTGTCAAGCTAGATAGCGTAGATGGTAGGGCGTTTGCTCTGCATGCGAGAGGTCCCGGGTTCGATTCTCAGAAGTTGTCGAAATTTTTTTTACTTTTTTATTTCATAAATTTGTTGTTCCTTTGTTAAAAAGTGATTTATTTTTATCGTAACATAAATTTGCCCATTTTAGTTGGGTTTTTTGCTCAATGGGGCGGGGGGGGGCCAATGGGGCGGGGTCGGTTGGGTTGTGTTGTTGAGTTTGGGTTGGTTTGGTTTTATTACGTAACTAACGTGCCCTTAACATGTATACAGGTACAATTTATTATTATATTATTGTTGTGCCGCCAATTTTAAATTAAGCGGCACGGCAGTGATGACGTTTTTTATCTATTACGTCACTAGCGTGCCCGTAAAAAATAAATTGCGGGCACTCTAACGTGCACCTAGTCACGGCGAAATAACAAAATAAACAATGCAAAATGTCATCTATGACAACAAACATAACCATTTAAATCTAAATGACATTTAGCAATGAAAAATGTCAAGTTTTTTGTGCCTCAATTATTGTTAAAAATGGCTCATAATTATAGCAATAATGAATTAGTGGAAATGTTACTAATTTATGGAGAGTGTCGTCAAAATGCAAATGCTGCAACTTAAGTAAATAATGATATTTTTATTGCAAAATGTCAATTTGATTTAAATGGTTATGTTTGTTGTTAAATATGACATTTTGCATTGTTTATTTTGATATTTTTATGGTTATGTTTTTCGTTAACAATAGCCAGGACCGGCTTAAAATTTAATTAAACTTTGATGGGTTATAACTTTTTTATTTTTGAGTTTTGATAAAAAAGTTACTTAAAATATTTATTTGTCTAGCTGATTTCTACACACTGTTGCGTCAACTTAAAACTCACCCTACATGTAGACAAAAAGGTCTTACTTACCACATAATCTCTGGTTTGACACATCAATTCGGCTGGTACCCCTCTGGTGGCCGAATAAGTTTCGGGAGGGTACAAAACTTCGGATTTTACCACCCAGTTTCCACGAACGAGGTTCGCCACTTTCGGCAAGGTTTTCAGTAAAATCGCGTCTGTTAAACCTTGCCCCCCAGCGAGGAGCATGTGCAGTTGTTGGAATTGGATTATTTGGGCTGAAAAGTTAATTTGTATTTGACATTCTAAAATGTGTTTTTGACATTCTTAAACATGTCATGAAACTTAAATATGGCCTTGACATTCTAAATGTGTTTTTACACAGTTAAATGTCGTACAATCATAAATGATGTTTTTAAATATGGTTTTATTAATATATTCTAAAATTTGTATTTGACATTCTAAACTGTGTTTTGAAATATAATAATAATAATTCTAATTTTGACATTTTAAAATGTGTTTTGACATGCGCTTTTAAACAAGTTTGATATTTTTAAATATGGTAAAATTAATTAATAATTGGTAATTTTGGTGAAACTTTTATCACTTTAAAATTTCTATTTGACATTCTAAAATATGTTTTTGTAATTCTTAAACATGTCATGACACTTAAATTTTGCTTTGACATTCTAAAATGTGTTTTTGACATTCTTTAACATGTCACACGACACTTAATTATGGCTTTGACATTCTAAAATGTGTTTAAGTCAAAACTTTAAACATTCTTAAAAATCTTGACACTCTTAAATAAGTTGGATATATTTAAATATGGTTTTATTAAAACTTGTAATTCTAAATTCTGTTTTGAACAATTTTAAACATGTCTTAACACTTAAATATAGCTTTGACAATCTTAAATGTGCTTTTGACATTCTTAAACATGTCATGACACTTAAATATAGCTTTAAAATGTGTTTTGACATTATAAAATGTTTTTTTGATATTTTTTAACATCTCACATGACACTTAAATATGGCTTTGACATTCTAAAATGTGTTTGAGTCCAAATTTTTAACATACTTAAATATCTTAACGCTCTTAAATAAGTTTGATATTTTTAAATATGATTTTATTAAAACTTGTAACATTCTAAAATGTGTTTTGGTAATTTTTAAACATGTCATGACACTTAAATATAGCTTTGACATTCTAAAATGTGTTTTTGAAATTCTTAAATTTAATTTAAACTTATTTGACATTCTTGAACATGTCATGACATTATAAAATGTGTTTTGACATACTTAAATGTCATGACACTTTAATATAGCTTTTACATTCTAAAATGTGTTTTTGACAATCTAAAATGTATTTTTGATTGATATTTTAAAATATGGTTTTATTAAAACTTTTAACATTCTAAAATTTGTATTTGACATCCTTGAACATGTCATGACATTATAAAATGTGTTTTGACATACTTAAATGTCATGACACTTTAATATAGCTTTTATATTCTAAAATGTGTTTTTGACAATCTAAAATGTATTTTTGATTGATATTTTAAAATATGTTTTTGACATTCTTAAACATGTCATGACATTCCAAAATATGTTTGATATTTTTAAATATGCTTTTATTAAAACTTGCAATATTCTAAAATGTGTTTTGACATACTTAAATGTCATGACACTTTAATATAGCTTTTACATTTTAAAATGTGTTTTTGACAATCGAAAATGTATTTTTGATTGATATTTTAAAATATGGTTTTATTAAAACTTTTAACATTCTAAAATTTGTATCTGATATTCTAAAATATGTTTTTGACATTCTTGAACATGTCATGACCTTCCAAAATATGTTTGATATTTTTAAATATGCTTTTATTAAAATTTGCAACATTCTAAAATGTGTTTTTGACATTCTTTAACATGTCAGATGACACTTAAATATGGCTTTTACATTCTAAAATGTGTTTTTGACAATCTAAAATGTATTTTTGATTGATATTTTAAAATATGGTTTTATTAAAACTTTTAACATTCTAAAATTTGTATTTGATATTCTAAAATATGTTTTTGACATTCTTGAACATGTCATGACATTCCAAAATATGTTTTGACATAATTAAATGTATTAAATAGGTTTAATACTTTTAATAAAACTTGTAACATTCCAAAATGTTTTTGACATTCATGTCATGACACTTAAATATGGCTTTGACATTTCAAAATGCGTTTGGACATTATTAAATTTATTGACAATCTTAAGTAAGTTTGACATTTTTAAAAATTGTTTTATTAAAAGTTGCAACATTCTAAAGTGTGTTTTTGACATTTTAATACATTTTGACACTAAAAAACTCAAAAAATTACTTACCATCTTTTAGCAACAATTTGCACTGTTCTTGTATGGGAAAAGACCGTAGTGCATGTAGAGAAATTATGTTTGATGGTAAGGTAGGTTCTACTATAGCTTGTTCTTGGTCTTCTGGAACTAATAACCTAATATATTCAGCATCTTCCAAAGATTGTGCCTGTCCTATATCGTCCGTATTATCCGATATCAACTTCAGTCTTTCAACCTTAAAAATAATATTATTTATGACAAATTCATATAATTTATTATACATACATTGCTGATAGTGCTATTTTTGTCATGCCAAATGCATTCACTCCATGGTTCTTCGGCTCTTTTGGCCATAAGGGCTTTATAATTGTTGTCCAATTGTTTTTTCCATTTTTCATCATTTTGCATGAATTTCACTGTCACTTGTTGGGCAGTACTTGGCCCTGCTTCCTCTTCATCCGACTCTTCACCTTCGGCTTGCCTTTTTTTTTTCAAGCCATTTTCCAAGTAGGGAAATACAGGCCTAAATTGATATATACCTTTTAACGTGGTCAAATGTATTTCTTTTCCATTATAAGCCGCTACAGCGTATTTTTTACAATTCTGCACACTGGTAGACGACTGCAAAAAAACTTTATCCACCATTTCGTTCTCGAAGTAAATTTGTTTGTCTTTCTGCTTTTTGTGAAGAGGCCCGTCCACTTCGTGCGCTATAATTTCGGCCTTACCCGTGTCGAAGTTCGGGGAATTTATGTTTAAACCTATTTCCAACTTAACTTCATCGTTAACAGGCTTAAAAAAGCATTTTTGCACATTCATCTCCGTAGGGTCAAGCTTTCTTTTTAAGGGGTATTGGAATAAATAAAGGCTGTCTTCTAGTTTTTTTGAATGTATTATTGGTATCTACAAGTTCAAAGACTAGTTTATAGACTTCAAACACATGGTTTATGGACTTAACCTAGACAAATTTTAATTTATTATAAAAATACCTCTTTTATGACTGGATCATCTTCATTGTCGTCTGTATCCGATAAAGGAGGTTCTGTCTCCATTTTATCAATATTTTTTCAATTACAAAGGGATTATTTTTGATTAAAAATCGTTTTTTAAACGCCAAAAAGAAAACCAAAATACCCAATGAAGTTAGCCGTAAAAGTTCGTAACCTCCACTAAATACACTAGAGCACAAATTATAATCTCTGGACTTGGTTTAAGGTATAAGGCAAAGTTATAGGATTCCTAATTTTGAAAGAGAAATGCATTTATGAATTAACAGCGATTAATTTGCAATAAAATGACAAAAGAAAATAAAATCAGTGTACACTTTTGATCTTCTTGCAGGTACAATCTAACCAGAGATATCTCTGTTTTTCACGTTTGTACTGTCAAATTGACTGTCAATTCACAGCTGTTTTAAATGATGGTGTGTTTATCTGTAAAATGATTGAATATAACAATTTTCTGGATAGCGACGAAGTCAGTAAAACGAGTTTTAGTGTGTTTGTGGCTATACTGTACATGAAAGTGTTATACATTTTGGTTTTAACATTATACGCTCTACACAGGCTCAATGATTTTTTCTTTTATATTTAGTTATGGTTTTTATTAAGAAGGTATGAATTATTACATTATTATTTTAGTGAATTGCCTAATAGTTGTTTTTTAGCCTTCCATGCTTGAAAAACCTTGGGTTCTTTCAAGCAATAATGATAAAAATGTTGTTTCTATCGAGGAGGATGTAACAAGGGAGTTAACTAATTACCAACTACTGGGGATTAATTTTTTGTACCAAAATTATAAGGCTAAGGTTTGTGTTATGTTTAGCAAAATTATGTTTATATTAATCCAGTATTATAGTTGCAAGGTGCTATTTTAAATGAAGAAGATGGTATGAATATGATTTTGCAAGTTTGCAGTTTTTTAAACTCAATTTCAAAGGATTTTAATGGTAATTTTTTAATTTTGGTGGTTTGCCCTGATGATTTAATAAAATATTGGAGGTATCATCTAAGTTTGCATTCTAAATTGGAAGTTATTCAAGTGAATTCAGAAAGTATGTTGAATATTTGTTTTTTATTTTTGAATGAATTCTATTTGTTAATTTTAGGTAATTTTGAAGATTTTAATGGGAAAAAACTTGCTTTATTATTAGGTTTTTCAAATCTAAACCTTGTGGACAATTTAGTTGATAATGAGTATTTTTCTGTTATATTTGATGATTTTGATTTGGTTGCCAATAAGAGGAATGTTAAGAAGTTGACGAGTAGCTTTAATATTGGTTTAACTAAAAGGAACTTTATTGTGAGTGAACAGGTGTGAAAAAAATAAAATAATAATTAATAATAATTTTTTTAGTTAAACAAAGATCAGAAATTAAAATGGACTATGTTAAATTGGAGCAATAAGGGTTGTGTTGGTAAATTGTCAGAATTTTATGAGTGAGTACAAAAAAATTATATTTTAAAATAAAAAATAAAAAAAAAATTTCAGTGTTGATAAAAATAATTTGGAAAAATTAAGGGATAATTACCGACATTGGTGGTTTAGACTTACTTGGAATTATTGTGAGTCCTTTAAAAAATATAATTTTAATGAATTGAATGTAAGTTAAAGTATGTATTGTTTGTATTTTGTTATAATTGTATTTCCTTGTAGGAATATAATAAAAAAGTTAAAAATTATTCATTATTAGGGGGTAATAAGAGTTTAGAAAGCAATGTAAGTCCTAAGGCAAAAAAAGTTAAAAATAGTAAATACACCCCTTTAGATATTGAGGAATACAGTAAACCAGTAACTGAAAAAAAGACAAAAACAAATAATGAAGAAGTTTCCCCAAGTAAAAGTTGTGAAAAAACGTTGGAAGAATTAAAAAAGAGCCCGAAAAAATTCCAATTCATAGACTGCACAAACAAAGTAAAGTACTCACCGAATAAACAGCAAAAACAACTGAAACGTCCAAGCTCTGAGGAAGATTTGGAAAAAGGTTTCGAAAAAGAACCTGAAACTGAAATTGTACCCCTAAAGGATTTTTTCAAGCACAGTTATTCTCCCACTAAAAAACACAAAACCACGGAAGAACTGCCGAAAACACAAGTTGAGAAAGCAACTTGTTCAAAACCAGAGGATTCAGTTTCTTTAACACAAAAAGTATCCCCAATAAAATCTCAGTCAATTGCAGATGATGATGATGAAATTGAAAGATTGTTAAGAGAAACTGATGAGTTATTAGGTGAGGATTAGTCAATTTTTATTACACTACCACACACATAATCCTTGATATTCTGACATGCTGTTTTTATCAAATATCATATTATAATAATTAAAAACTTGAGAAATAAAAAAAGTTTGTCAGATTATCAAGCGCAATTTTTTTTAACCAATGATTTCATTACCCAGTATTCTTTCTGTGATTATTATTTACATTATAAACGTTGTAGTACATATAAAATACTAGTAGATTTATTATAGTTGTTGAAAAATTTAAGACTAGAATTCACAGAGACTGTTCCAAAAATGTTTTTTAAAAATTAGGCTCATCTTTTTAAGCTGTGAATTTTATATAGAATCTTTATTGGGACATTTAAATTTATATTATATCTTTATTTCTATTGCATTAAATAAATGTTTCTAACTATAGGTACCTATTGTTTTTTTAATAATAATAATAATAATAATAATAGTTATTTATTGATTATCATAATTATAAAAATAACAACAATCAAAAGGCCATTGACCTAGGTCCTTCAGCCAAGGTTAATTAAAATATAAATGTAATGTATTTGCACGTGTTAGAAACCAAAATTGAAATTAGATAGAGTTTTTTTAATATATTATAATAATGGCAAGTTTTCCTTGTTCCTGTTTTTCTTTGTTATAGAGGACAATCTACCAAAAAAATCATTTTTAAATATATATTTTAACTTTAAATAGTTTCTATTTAGTTTCTTCTTCTTCTTCTTCAAAATTTTTTGGCCTTTAGCTAATTTGAAAGCTATTTGGCCAGCTGATCTATTTAGTTTAAGGATTTTTTTATTTATTTAAGGGTTTGTTGCATATTTCCATCACTGGAAAAATCTTGCTCTGACTTGTTGATTCTTTTCTATAGAGAGTAAAGTTGAAATTTCAGGAAATGTAGGTATTAAAAAAAAAATCCTTGTATGTAGTATTTATTAATGTATTTTACATCAACACCTATACATATCTATAAATAAATATATACAAAGTTATATGGTACATATTTATATATCACAGGTAAGTAAAAAAAATAAAGAGGAAATCATGATTCCAAAATTTTGGAATGTTAATATAAGGGCACTTATCATTTAAGTACTGAGAATATTTGAGTATTGCAATAATCTCGTAAATTATAGTTCATCTTTTAACTTAATTTTCTTATTGAAGTGATAGTCTGGACAAGTGTGGATTTTGTTGAAAAACGAGTTGACGTAGCTAAAATTCGTGGATTTATGCGCCAGTAATAAGTGCAAGTGTTTTAAATTTTTCAGTTTGTGAAGCAGAATTTGCTTTTTTCTTGTATTGGCTCTCCTCCACATTTTTAAAGTATTCTCCGTTTGCGATAGAGTCTCTATTCTTAAGGTAGATATGCAGTCCAAATTCTCATCTGAAAACTGAAAAAAAAAATTATATTGTTCTTTTTGACACTTAAATCAACATACCTGTAAATGGTTACAAATAGACCACAAGGCATTTAATTTCATGGTTGGGTCCAAATTTGTCAAAATGAACCCTATCAAATTTGGTACAGTAATGGGTAAATTTCTCGGAAAAACTCTGCTCTCAGATTTCCTAAAAACAATAAAATTTAACACAAGTAAATCAATAAAACATTTAATCATCATACTTAGTGGCAGGGAAGTAAATTATGGTAGGAAAACTCTCCATTGTGTATTGCCAAGGCAACACATTCGTATCACCATCAATTCTACTGAACATCAAATTATCAACCAGCGATAATTTTCTCGCAGCTGTCAAAAATGCGTGCGATATGCCGCTGCAAAATGCGCATTGCCTTGTATAGTAATAAACTAAAATTGCCTATAAAAAGAATAATTTAAAATTAGCAGATTTAAGAATTAAAAGTTAATTTTTGTGATAATTTCAAAATTCAAATGGTTAACCCAACTTTTTACAAATTTTAAATGTTAGTATAGTCGCCTTCCTCCAATTTAAAACACGATTGGTTAAAATCACAGTGAATATTGAAATCGGCCAACCATGATGCCTAACAACGTGAATAATGGGTTCATAACCAACTTGAGAATCTGTGTTACCGTGATTTATATGAATCGAAATGTATTCCTTGAAAATGGATTAACAACAGTTTTTCACAGTGAAAGTAAAGAACATGTTTAAAGTACTTTACGGTTTTAATAAAAAAATATTTAAAAATGCCAAACTTACTTGAGATTGTCAATACATTTTACTGTGTCAACACACATTTTAGAATTTCAAAGCCATATTTAAGTGTCATGACATGTTTAAGAATGTCAAAAACACATTTTAGAATGTTACAAGTTTTAATAAAACCATATTTAAAAAATCAAATCTATTTAAAAATATCAAGACCTTTAAGTATGTCAAAACACATTTTAGAATGTCATGACGTGTTCAAGAATGTCAAAAACATATTTTAGAATGTCATATACAAATTTTAGAATGTTAAAAGTTTTCATAAAACAACATTTTAAAATATCAGACTTATATTGTTAGGATATTTAAGTATGAGAAAACACATTTTAGAATGTCATAACCTGTTTAATAATGTTAAAAACATATTTTAGAATGTCAAATACAAATTTTAGAATGTTAAAAGTTTTAATAAAATCGTATTTTAAAATATCAGACTTATTTAAGATTGTTAAGTATATTAAAAGTTTTGACATTTTAGAATGTCAAAGCCATATTTAAGTGTGTGACATGTTAAAGAATATCAAAAACACAATTGAGAATGTCAAAAACACATTTTAGAATGTCAAATCTATATTTAAGTGTCATGAGATGGTTAAGAATGTCAAAAACACATTTTAGAATGTTACAACTTTTAATAAAACCATATTTAAAAAATCAAATCTATTTAAAAATGTCAAGACATTTAAGTATGTCAAAACACATTTTAGAATGTCATGACTTGAGAATTTCAAAAACATATTTTAGAATGTCAAATACAAATTTTAGTATGTTAAAAGTTTTAATAAAACCACATTTTAAAATATCAGACTTATTTAAGATTGTTAAGATATTTAAGTAAATTAAAAGTTTTGACATTTTAGAATGTCAAAGCCATATTTAAGTGTGTGACATGTTAAAGAATATCAAAAATACATTTGAGAATGTCAAAAACACATTTTAGAATGTCAAAGCTGTATTTAAGTGTCATGAGATGTTTAAAAATGTCCAAAACACATTTTAGAATGTTACAAGTTTTAATAAAATAAATATCAAACTTCTTTAAGAGTGTCAAGACATTTAAGTATGTCAAAACAAATTTTAGAATGTCATGCTATGTTTAGGAATGTTAAAAACATATTTTAGATTGTCAAATACCAATTTTAAAATGTTAAAAGTTTTAATAAAACCATATTTTAAAATATCATACTTATTTAAGATTGTTAAGATATTTAAGTATGTCACATTTTAGAATGTCAAAAACACATTTTAGATTGTCAAAGCTATATTTAAGTGTCATGATATTTTTAAAAATGTCCAAAACACATTTTAGAATGTTAGAAGTTTTAATAAAACCATATTTAAAAATATCAAACTTGTTTGGGAGTGTTAAATACTCAATAAATAATCAAATACACATTTTAGAATGTCAAAAACATATTTTAGAATGTTACAAGTTTTAATAAAAGCATATTTTAAAATATCAGACTTATTTAAGATTGTTAGGATATTTAAGTATGTGAAAACACATTTTAGAATGTCATGACATGTTTAAGAATGTTAAAAACATATTTTAGAATGTCAAATACAAATTTTAGAATGTTAAAAGTTTTAAGAAAAGCATATTTTAAAATATCGTTTGTTAAAATATTTAACATTTTAGAATGTTAAAGCTATAATACAGGAGTAGAAAAAAGTGAACATTTTATACAATGGGATGCACTTACCTTATTTTTGGCTAATATTGTCGGTAAAAACGTCTCGGACGTCAATTCTCTAACGCAAACATTTTTATTTTGCTTGGAATCGCAAGATTTTAAATTGTTTTCGAACTTGTGAGTATTTTTCGAATCTACACCCGATATGGAACGTTGCGACCTCGTCAGGTAGTTTTTCGTGAAATTTACGATGAAATTTCTTAAACTTTCCGTCGTGACAGTGTCGCGCATAACATAATGACTCTCCATCTAAAAAAAACAACACAACAAATCAGGGGTGTCCCTGCAGCTTATACACTCACAGGCAAAATAATCGATCCACACAAATTTTCGATGAATTTCAATCGCAAATAACTTTTTTATTTGATGTCGGATTTAAACGAATATTAAAGAATATTGTACATAAATTAATGGACAATCGCTCACATTTTAAAAAATTACTAAAAAATAGACGTACGTTTATAATATACAGGTTTAAACAAAAAGATGTTTTTTACCATAAGTTTAAGACACTCTGTAGAGTGGCAAAACCGTATATTGTTCTAAATTAAGTTTTATTTATCAAGTCACATCTATTAACAGTTTTGTTTTTGGTTCACCTCGATATATTTATTTTTGTGGAAAATACGGATTTTTAAAAAAAACATTGCAATTTCCAATATTTTTCTGTATAAAGAACTAAGGTTGCTATAGTCCATCCATATGCTATGGAGAATGACAGTGACAGTTTTGTTGAATCATCCCATACTTGGACATGTCATATACAGCTTTCAAAAGGTATCAAATTTTTTTTGTAAATTAATGTGTTAATTTTGAGGTGTCTTCTTACTTTTAAAAATGTCTCCGACTGATGTTGCCCTTTGTACTTTACTTCTTGTGACGTTTAAAACACTTGCCACGTAATACTGTGACCGTCCATCCTGGATTAAATTAATGGCTCTGGCTACATCAGTCGGAGACATATCCATTTTATAAAGTAAGAAGACACATCAAAATTTAAACATTACTTTGCAAAAAACAATTTGATAGCTTTTGAAAGCCGTGTATGACATGTCCAAGTATGGGATGATTCAACAAAACTGTCACTGTCATTCTCCATAGCCTATGGATGGACCATAGCAACCTTAGTTCTTCATACAGAAAAATATTGGAAATTTCAATGTTTTTTAAAAAAATCCATATTTTCCACAAAAATAAATATATCGAGGTGAACCAAAAACAAAACTGTTAAGAATAGATGTGACTTGATAAATAAAACTTAATTTAGAACAATATACGGTTTTGCCACTCTACAGAGTGTCTTAAACTTATGGTAAAAAACATCTTTTTGTTAAAACCTGTATATTATAAACGTACGTGTATTTTTTAGTAATTTTTAAAATGTGAGCGATTGTCCATTAATTTATCTACAATATTCTTTAATATTCGTTTAAATCCGACATCAAATAAAAAAGTTATTTGCGATTGAAATTCATCGAAAATCTGTGTGGATCGATTATTTTGCCTGTGAGTGTAGATGGCGCGCAAATCAATAGATGGCGCATCAAGCCTACCTTGTCGTTGACGATGACGGCGGCCGTCTTGTCGACAAACTCGTTCAAATCGACGCCCAATCTTTCAGCGAAATGATAGTAAACGAGACTATCGATGAGGATAAAGTGAAGACTCCTGTTGACTTTACAAGCTAGACCGCTGGCGTCTTGCGCGTTTGCCATGTTTACGTTTTCTTCGAAAGAGTGTGGCCGGAAGTTTTCCGAGTGCAGAAAGTTCCGACATACTTCGTTTTTGTGTATTGTTTGGAGGTTTTCCGCCGATCTATGATCGTTCTCCCCTAAATGATCTTTCATTTGATGGTTACCAACTTAACCAAACAAAAACTTACCTGTGTACATTGAAGTGTCATATTTGTACTTGCTTCTCAAATACTTCAACTTAAAGCAGTTCTCGTCGACGTTTTGGCAGTACTGGGAATGCTCCCTGAACTTTTCCAGACTATTTTTGCTGGTGAAAAAAGTTTTGTCGCATATACCCTTGTTTTTTTCGCATGTTACGTTGCTGAAAGATTCCGGGGCCAAATTAAAAGTTGAACTGTCAAATGGGTCTTTAACACCTTGGCATATGTTTTGTAGTTTTTTGTACTGTATACTATTTACTGAAAGATGTTAAATATATAGATATATTTTGGTTTTTTTTTTGTAAAATTTACTCACTCAGTCTTTGAGTTCTAATTTGGAACAAGTCTAAGTGCATGTAGATGTCGCCACAATCGTTGTATTCCCTACTAATCAATTGCATCTAAAATTTATTAACGCCTATATAATATACAGTAGACTGGTCCAAAAAAATCAACAATTTTTTATTTTTTTAAGTATATCGAAAATATGGTTTGGGGTGACAAAAAAAATTATTGTGAAAGTTTGAGTCCATAATATTAATATTAAGAGGTCTATCATCGCAATTTTAATTTTTTTTTCAAAACTCCCAAACCATTGAGTTTAACAAAATTGACTCAAAAATATTTTTTTAAGAAAATTAAATTCTCTACAAAAAAAGTTAAAGTGAAATTTTCCGTCCGATGAACCATTTCCTTAAAATCATGCCTTAAATATTGGTATAGTTTTACATTTTGATCTTTTAAATTGGAATTTTGTAATTCATGTAAAAATCAGTATCCATAAAAAACCGATAAATATTCTTATGGGAAATCAAATGCTTTACAAAAAACATTTTTCGCTAAATTCACTCAATCAAAAGTTATTCAAGGTTAAAATTTCGTTTTGACTTCAAATTTAACCTTGAATAACTTTTGATGGAGTGAATTTAGCCAAAAATGATAAAAGACTTTTTTTGTAGAGAATTTGATTTTCCGGGTACTGATTTTTACATGAATTACAAAATTCCAAAGTTAAAAGATCAAATTGTAAAACTATATAAATTTTTAAGGCATGATTGTAAGAAAACGGTTCATCTGACGGGAAATTCTAATCAAACCTTTTTTATAGAGCATTCAATTTTCTTCAAAAAGTATTCCTAAGTCAAATTTGTTAAACTCAATGGTTTGGGAGTTCTGATACAAAAACTCGCTCAGGAAAAAAAAATCTAAAATTGCGATGATAGACCTCTTAATATTAATATTATGGACTCAAATTTTCACCATATTTTTTTGTCACCCCAAACAATATTTTCGATATACTTTACAAAAAAAAATGTTCGATTTTTTTGGCCCAGTCTAATATACAGGGTGTAGAACTTACCAAAATAATAATTCAATCAAAAAACTTGTTTAAAAATAAATATAAGTAGGTACCCTGAGTCTTCATAAAAACTTTGTTTGAAAAATAAGATTGGCATAAAAAAATTAAATTAGGTGTACAGGGTGCTCAGAAATTTAAAAAAAAATGCTTTATTAGAGAAGTACAGTTTTTGCTTTAACATAAATGGCGTTTATCAAACTTTGTTTATCAAGTTTGATACATAATATACTATTAACATTCAATTGAATTGATTTTTAAATAAAATTAAATATTGTTTTATTTTGTATTTAGACTTTAATTTAAATTGTAGACGAGTTTTCCTTATAAAATAATAAATATACATATGGGCACTCAGTATATTTCATTCAATTTTTTTTTAATAAAAATCTAATTTTTATTAGATTTGTCCTACAGTGCAAATTTTTTCCACAATTTCTTAATTTTAAACCACTGTGACTTTGTCCTGCTTTTTTTAATTTTGAACTACTTCATCTTTTGTTTACCCCGCCCACAAAACACTTCAAAAAAGTTTATTTTTTTTACCTAACCTTAAAATAAAACAACTTACCATGTCATAATAATCATTGCTGAAATGTAGTGGATTTCTTGGCGTAAATAGAATTAAAGTAGGATTTTTTGGTAAAATATTTGACAGCAATGTACTTTTACTACCACTGGGTGAAACCCATTGAGAAACATGATCAATATTCACAATAATCCAATGTAAAATATCATCTGATGTCCATTGAGAGCTATTTGGATAATTCTAAGAAAAAACATAGAAAATAGAGAATATTTCACATTAATATTATTTGCAGTTTGAGAAAAGTGCCAACTTTCGCCACTATGCGCGCTGCTAGTCACTTACCAACGTAATATTCCATAAATGTAGCTGCAATTCAGGTTCATCACTTTTTACAGGTAAAATGTAAAATTTAACGGTTTTTAAAGGATCTTTTTCCAAAAATCTCAACGCTGCTAAATAATAACTCGCAAAATCCGGACTGCCTGGCAAGGCGTTTAATTTGGCAGTTATATAAACCTTAAAAAAATAATGTATACGTTGATAATTTCATAAATAAACTACAAACATCATGATAATCCGTAATGGGATCCTCCAATTGTCTTTCTATAGGATTGCATACACCCTGTAGAAATTTTATGATGTGCATGGACTCCAAGGGTCCTGTATATGGTATACCTCTACCATGAGATGGGTATGCCACAAGGACTGGCCATTTGTAAACCTTAAACAGTTTTTGTATTTAACAATTTAACTTTAAATATGGAAATATGGAAGGCAAAAGTCTTACTCGACAAATTTTGTTCGATTGCACAGCTAAATCGCGCACGTTATTTGTGTTTTACGTTGCAAGGAAAAAATTAAAAAACCGGTTTCGATTGATTATTCTTTATATCATTGATTAAGAAACTCAACGCTTAAATGCTTAAATAGTTACGTTGGTGTGTGTATTTTATCTAAGGGATCATGGTGAATTATTGTGTTTTTAGTTGAAAATAAAATTTAAGAACTAAATCGTTGCTTTTTCATGTTTTGCCAAAGGATCCAATTCGGTAAGTACATTTGTTGGTGCAGAATTAACTAATGATAACTTTACCTAATATAATTTATATTTAAGTTTGGAAATTTTAAAGAAATTAGTAAAAAATAATTGTTGCACAAACATAACCTTAAAAACAACCCTTTTTATATTTGAGTTCTCAAAAAAACGCCGACAACTGCATTTTAAACAACAAAATATACCTACGAATTCAGTGCAACATAATATTATATATAATACATAATATAATGGTATTTTAACGTTGAGTGGAGACTTTAAAGAATTCTTAATCAACGCTTTTTATAATGCTAAATGCTGTTTAAATTTAGACGACTTATTTGTTTGACGATTATTACTGAATTGAAATGTTTACACTTTTCACGTTAATCATTACTAAAATGTGTATTTATGCATCTAATAGATACAATTTATATTCACAGGGACTGTATGAAATTTATTTCTTCATTCGGATTAACACTGTTTATTGGAAAACCGATAAAAACTCAACCAGGATTTCCTCTCGAAATTCACCGAACAACACAACAAATCGTGCCACGGTTTTTTTCGATATTTTTTAACATTTTCCGGCTTTATTCTCAAAAATACTCGACTACTTTTTTTTTAATATTCTACCATACTTTATGCGCAAACATCTCTAGATTACAAAAGTGATCAATGTTTTTTATTCATTTTATTATTTTTTAAGTCGCAATTTATTATTTATAACACGAAAATTATTTTCATCAGTAATTTTAAATTAATTTGTCGCTAGGGAATGCGGCAGGAAGTGGCAACTGGAGTAGTTCAAATGCACAGTAGGTATTTATACGTAATTTTTCTCTACGTCAAATTTGGCGACAATATGCGAAAAGATTCGGGTTTTGTTCTTCTATCTATATAACTATAGAAATTATCTCTATGTATACCTGTAATTCACAAAACTAGAAGGTTCTAGTTTTGTGATATAATTATATGGCGTAGATAAATTAAACATACTTACCGTTTGAACTACTGCAGTTCCACTTTCGGCCGCGCTTTCGCAGCGCCAAACTATTTTTATCATTTTTTTAGAATTAAAATTATACTTACACATAAAATTAATTTACTTTAAAAATAATTAAAACTATGGCAACAAAATTGACTATTTACCTTATTATACTGCTGTTTGCATTCACTGTTGGGCTGCCAACAGTTAACTGCAGCAAAAGTCACATACTTCTGCATAAAAACAGCTGCTTTTTCAAACTCCTCCCGAGCGCTTTGACTTTCAGCGCTCCAAGGAGCGTAAAACATCATTATCGTCACATCTGCAGACCTTGCCAACTCTATCCCTTTGCTAATTTGCCCTTTATACCAATCTTTGACGGTGCTGTTCTTTGGAAAAAATGGATAGGCTGCAGGGCTTTTGGTAATCTTTGGAGGACTAAAGAAAAGCAGAATGTAGATTTTTTTACACTTCCTGTATGTTATTTACTCATTGGTTAACGCTGCGTAGGTGACGACCACCAATGCAAACACAGCAAATTCCTTACACACATTTAACATTCTAGCACTGATCGTGGGAGATTGCTCGTCTATCTGATCGATAACTTCTTGGTCAGATTCTTCGCTGCTGTCACTGCTACTGCTGGAAGTTGCATCGGCATTTGCATTATTATCACTTATCATTATCTGAAATGGTCATTCAAAACCCCCCTTTTTTTAATACCAACATATCGCTGTAATGCTGACTGAACGTTACCTTAGCATTTCATGTAGGGTTATAGATAGCACCATATCATAGCATAATGGGTTTTTGACGGGCTATTTGTCTCTCAGGTGCACGTTTTCCACAGTTTTTGCTTTAACATATTTGACAATTGTAAACGTAACCTATATACGTCAAAACGGGCTTAGGACCAATCAACAGGGCATAGGGTGGACCAATGGGAACGTTGCTTACATCATCCGCGAGTTTGTAGGTAGGCAACAGTCTTTCATCGCTGTAATCCTGATTGCATACTTGCATTTTCTTTTAGGCTTTTTGAATTTTGCAGAAAACAAAACAATTTAACATAATATGTTATATTAATAGGAAAATGATACAAACTTAATTGTTAATAATTTATTATACATAAATAAAGTTCATAATTTACTTCTTTTTGGACAGACATGCGCCAGATTGGCAGCCAGTTGTTCCTATTTGTTGAACAGGTTGAGGGAAGATGAAAGGCTGTTGGTAAGACATTTGTTGGGTTTGAGGTTGTCCCACGACCATTTGCTGGGATTGAGGTTGTCCCATAATCAATTGTTGACCTTGAGGTTGTCCCATTACAATTTGAGGTTGAGGTTGTCCCATCAGAACTTGTTGAGGTTGCCCTGCTACTACTTTTTGTTGTATGGGTTGTCCATACATCCATGGCATCAACTGCATTTGCTGGGATTGCATTTGTTGCGGGACTTGTTGAATGGCCATTTGTTGAGGTTGAGGTTGGATGAAGGTCATTCTTTGAGGTTGTGGTTGTACCATTTGCTGTGTTGGTTGTTGAACCACCATTTTTTGAGGCTGTCCCATCAGAATTTGTTGAGGTTGTTGTTGGATGTTCATTTGTTGCGGGAATTGTTGAATGGCCATTTGTTGAGGTTGAGGTTGGATGAACGTCATTTTTTGAGGTTGAGGTTGTACCATTTGTTGGGCCATCATTTTTTGAGGTTGTTGCTGGGTATAAGCCATGGATGGATACCCTTGTGCATACTGGTAGGGTTGTTGGTTCCAATAGTAGCCCCATGGGTTGTTTCCTGGGCATGTAACGGCGCACTGACTCCCGTAACAGTTGTTACACGATCCGCAATTGGTGTTACTTGGGCACAAAACCATCGCGCTTACGCAAGCTGCCATAAGCAAAACAACGGCTATGTTCTTGATATACATCGTGGCGAATTTTTTTAAAACGTTTGAGACTTTGGTTTTGACTTTTTTCCAATTTATAGTTCGAAATTTTTTCGATAACACTTGACCTGCAGATTTTTATCATAGGTCAGTCTAAAAATATTACGCGTATCAATTTTTTTACATTTGTTTTGATTAATAAACTTCTAAATAATAAAAATACTAATGATTCTTGAAATTGCACCTAGTGTGCTGTGGAAAATGCCGTACTGTGATTGGTTGAATGCTTTCCATAGATATCAGTTTCCGTAGACCAAGTACCAATTTTAAAATAAGTGCAGTTGTAATATCCTTTTTCTATGGTTGTAAATCTCCTGTATACACGTCGATAAAACGAAACTTTGAGTGATAAAATTGATGTAAGGTCGATGTGCCTGCAAAATGGCAAGACTAAAAATAATTCCCAGCATTTTATTTCAGTTTACACAAGCCAAAACTAATAGCAAATCTATCCTTGAAAAAGCCAGACATCTGTTTGATTTAAATTCGATTTTTTTTATTTTTACTACTTACACGAGTTCTACAAAAATACACAGCGTAAGTTATTAGTGGATTTATTAAAAAATATAATACAATTATTTAGTTTAATAACTACAGGGTGTTGAGATTACTTTTTTGTTAATATAGCCATAGACATACCTAATGTCTTAAGACTCAATTAAATACCTACTCTCTATGTATGTAGATGTGGACGAAATTTAACCTAAAACAAATTAAAAACTATGTAGTTATAGCTTATGTTAATTGTAAGTAAACTATAAAAACATCTGTTTGAAAAAACAGCAGTTTAAAAACCGCTTAGCAGTAACCATAGAAATAATATTTATTTCTATGGCAGTAACATACCCAATTGTGTCAGTTACTGGTGCGTTTTTAAAAGGATTTTTAGGATACCGAAATTTTGTTGGTAGCATTGGAGAGAGGGTTAAATTTTACAAAAATATGATTTTTGCGAAATTTTTGTAGATATGAGGTGTCAAAGTTGAGGAAGTGATTTTTGATCACTTGTGCCATTTTTACAATATATCTCGATGGATTTTTAGTATACAGAAATTTTGTTAGAAGCATTGAAAAAAGGGTTAAATTTCACAGAAATATCATATTTGTGAAATTTTTGTAGATATTTGGGTTAACAAGATATAAAGTGTCAAAGTTGAGGTAGTGATTTTTGATGACTTGTGCCATTTTTACAGTATATTTCGATGGAAATTTTGTTGGTAGCATTGGAAAGAGGGTTAAATTTTTGTAAATATCTGGGTTAACAATATATGAGTACATTAGATGCACAACTCTGTATTTGCAGGATAAGTGATTTTAAGAAAAACACGAAAAACCGCTCATAAGGTCATATTTAAAAAAAAAAATACAAAAATCGTATAGACGTGCTTTTGCATCATTTCTTATTCAAAAAAGTAAAAAAAAGTCCTTTAAAATTAAGTAGTTTAGTAAATAATTGAAATTAAAAGATTTAAAAACATAGTTTTGCATCTTCCTCGTTCAAAGACCAAGTTTTGCAAGTGAAAAGTGCAAATACCAAAAAAATAACAATTAATCAGGTGATTGTTATGCCGTCAGTTAATGCGTATACTAGCGACGTGATTGGTGATTGGTCAAATACCGAGTTTTGCATCCGACAAATACCCAGTTTTGCAGCTGCGGTAAGTTTATAAATGTATTTTATTCTACAAATATTAACTTATGCATCTGGTTTACTTAGTTATGCTGTGGGCAGTGCAGTTATGATCATAAATAAGATAAAATATATATTTTTTTTAAATGTGCAAAAACCGAGTTTTGCATCTAATGTACTCATATAAGGTGTCAAAGTTGAGAAAGTAATTTTTGATGACTTGTGCGGTTTTTACAGGATATCTCGATGGGTTTTTGGGATACAGAAATTTTGTTAGAAGCATTTAAAAGAGTGTTAAATTTCACAAAAATTTCATTATGGTGAAAATTGTGTAGATATTTGAGTTAACAAGATATACAGTGTCAAAGTTGTGGTAGTGTTTTTGAGGAGTCATGGGTCATATAACAAGTGTTTTTACCTGATTTAAATATTAATCTGTAATCTAAACGTTAACTTCATTGTTGAATATGTGGTCTTCTATCGGCACAGCATAGAATTTTACGTTTTTCAACCCCCCTTTGCCGTTTTCATTGGTATTAACATAGTAGTCATAGCATTGCTCACTTTTTTGGCAAATTCTGTACACAATCTCGCAGGTAGGGCATACTTCGTGTAATTTCTCCGGCTTGGGTTGTGTTAGGTTGACTGGTAAGTAACAAGGCGCCCAGCACAAACTATCTTCGCACTTTTTACACCAATTTCCATATTCGGGAACGTCGAATTCGTCGTAGATTTCGAGAACAATACACGAGGTACCGTAATTGAAAACCAAAGCGCAGAACAATAGGAAGTTTAGTGACATTTTCGTGTTTGTATTTGGTGCTGAATTTTCATTTGTATGTGTACATTTTTAAGATTACCAAGGTCAAGTGTATCATCGTTGATAAAAATAAAATGTCGTTAGTTATGTATAGAATTTACCATTAATAATAATTGCGGGCAGGGCCGTAAGGGTTTTCTTTTCATTTGATTTAAATCGTTTTACTTTTTACTTACAAATTACAAATTGATGGTACGGTGCTAGTAAATGTTGATGGTAACGCGTGATGTACATCACAGGAGAAAAGTATTTGGAATTACTGGAAGATGTCCAGATTTGAATACCCTAGACTTTTTTCAAGTTATATATAATGTTTATTTACTCTACAATAATCAAGATGAATCACTAAATAAATCTTACTACCGTTATAATACTTATGCAGAACTAGACGAATACGTAGATCCAATTAATATCATGTCTAATTATAATACTTTGCCTTGAACAGTTTTTTCGACCTGACAAATTGACGCAATATCGCTCATTAAATAGATAAATGTGTGAAAAATTTTAATTTACTATTAATTTGTCTATTTATTCTATTGTTTGTTTTTTCATTATTTAAATAATATTTAGGATTATATAACTGATCAAGTTTTGTTTCTTGTTAATTATATATAATATATTATGGTTTTGTTCATTTTTATTCAATAAAAAAATATCGAAAAAAAAACGTGGCACGATTTGTTGTGTTGTTGGGTGTATTTCGAGAGGAAATCCTGGGTTGAGATTTTATCGCTTTTCCAATAAACAGTGTTAATCCAAATGAAGAAATAAATTTCATACAGTCCCTGTAAATATAAATTGTATCTGTTAGATACAATAAATACACATTTTAGTAATGATAGTAAAAAGTGTAAACATTTTAATTCAGTAATAATCGTCAAACAAATAAGTCGTCTAAATTTAAACAGCATTTAGCATTATTAAAAGCCTTTAAAGTCTCCACTCAATGGTAAAATACCATTATATTATGTATTATATATAATATTATGATTCCATAAGTATATTTTGTTGTTTAAAATGCAGTTGTCGGCGTTTTTTAGAGAACTCAAATATAATTTTTTTTTATTAAAAATGGTTGATTTTAAGGTTATGTTTGTGCAAACATTATTTTTTACTAATTTCTTAAAAATGTCCAAACTTAAATATAAATTATATTAGGTAAAGTTATCATTAGTTAATTCTGCACCAACAAATGTAGGTACTTACCGAATTGGATCCTTTGGCAAAACATGAAAATGCAACGATTTAGTTCTTGAATTTTATTTACAATTAAAAACATAATGGTTCACTATGATCCCTTAGATCAAATACACACACTAACGTAACTATATAAGCATTTAAGGGTTGAGTTTCTTAATCAATGATATAAAGAATATTCAATCTAAATCGAGTACTAAACCAGTTTTTTAGTTTTTTCCTTGCAACGTAAAACACAAATAACGTGCGCGATTTAATTTAATTTGATACTTATAACAAGAAATTGGAATAAATAATTATAAAAATTGTATGGCGTATTTTTCAAAAATTAATTA